ATCATAACTAAGCAGGATCGAGCTGGCTCTGCGGAGCTGTATCAGAAGCGAAGACCTCGCCAAACCCCTGATAATCCACGGGCTGGAGTCCGACTTTCCTCTTTCCAAAATTCTGCTTCACTTTTCGCCTTTCGACATTTTACTTCCAGAAAGGCTCCATTTCTTGTCTTCCTACTCGCCTACACCAGTCGTGTGGAAATTTTGAGGGGTACAGTCCAAGGATAGGTGCACAAATTTATTGACGGAGTATGCTTGCTGTCGCTGTCCAAAGGTTTGATCAAGAGGGCGTGGCACTGATTGTTTTTTGGTGGGCATACACGATACAGATTACGCAGGGCATGCGTCTTAGCGTTGGAAAACAGGTAATTGTCTCGCTTGAGTTCCATGCAAAAGAAGATTCGAGCATCGCCCCGTGGGTGTACCATAATTGGAAGGGACTGTCACAAAAGACTGGTGGAAGCAATGGGAGGTTCTTTGTGCGACTTTGTGCATATGGACCGCAGCGTGGCCACTATCAAAGTTTCTTCCCTTAGTTCTTTATCTTAGTGGTTCCACTTCTTTCGCTGCCATGTACCTGTCAAGCTATAACCTCAAGGGACAAAGCGATATCTCATTGTGACTGACAGTGCCACTAAAAGCCTTTTCTTTTTCTACGCATAAGTTCATATTAGTTCTCTTTGTCGCAACGCAGCGAACCGTAAGCAAGCTCTTTCTTCTTGTTGTACGAAGCCATCCGTTAGTCTTTGTACACATACAATGCAGTTCAACGTCCCCTCTTTGTTCGTCATAATGGCCTTTGCCGCTCTTATCTTACCATTAAAATCCTTAAATAATTCTCTTCTCCTTCCCTTCTATACCTACTCTTTCCCTAACCACTTTCAACCCACGGATCTCCAAAACATTTTCAGTAACTGCCATGGAAAACCACCCATCCAAAGCCGCTGCACACAGCCAGACACCCTCGACTATCATGTGTGACCCTCAGCGTATTCAGCCCTTTGAGTCCGAGACTCAACCAACGCCAAGAGACAAATCCCCCCTTACTTGCTGGGAATGCGCGACATGTGGCCGCAGGTATATAGACCCAGCAGCCACGAGTCTTTTCATCTCACCCCCGCCAACCACCGAGTGCATTATGGTCCAGACCGACGAGACCTGGACCCATGAGAAAGGAGGATACGTGAATCTTTCCATCACTGGCGGAGCCACCTGCGATTACGTGCGCATTAATCGCGCCGTTGGCGACGCAGACCTCGGCGAACACATTGCCGAGCCAGAGGACTCCGCTTCTGCGCTGAACATCCCGGCTGTGAACGGACTCTCGGCGCGGGTTTGCGATAGTATGAAGGTGGAAGGGGAATATGGTCGTGTCAATAGGCAGAATAAAGCCGTGGATACTAATTGCGACGATGCAAACGGTGAGTATTGCGAATTCTGGAACGCAGAGTGTAAGGATATTGATTGCATCCATGAGGGAGACCACTGCCGGTATGAATGCGCGATGGCAGAGTTGAGTGAAGAGCCTGAGCCTAAGGTACTCGCTCCTAAGCGCGGACTCAGATTTTGGCGATCAGTGCCGTAGGTGTATCTGAGGCTTTAGGTCTGTGAAGAAGACAATCCCAGGGCATGAGAGATAATCACTCGCTTTTCCGCTCAGTTTCAAACAAAGAACAAGAACCTGATCACTCAGTGTAGGCAAAGTCCACACTATGAAGGTAATGAAAGACCAACAAACTCGAACACCTTGCAAAAGCAACAAGACGCTTTTTAAGAGAACCTCCAGATCGCACAGAATTGCCTTATAATTCACATTAGGGTAAGAAGTAGCAACAAGGTTATCGTGACAACCTCAGCTTCTTTAGCAGGTTTTCCTTCCGAATAACAATTGGTGAAGCGCGGACTATGGAATTGAAAGTCGCTAAGAAGATCTCGATGATACGACCACACAGGTCTTCCCTTTTCTGGTAAAGCGCTCCTCTACGGTCGACCCTGACTCCAAAATTAGAACTCCGCTCAAAATTCCAGGCTTTTCAGACTGTCTTGACCCTCAAACAGCAACGCTCCTGACCTTCTCCATCAAACCTTTCAGACTCCTTTCGTCCTCCGCTCCCACAATCGGGTTCCCCCAGCTGAACCCAGTGATTGCATCGTAAAACCACGCCACAATGATCAACCGGCCTTCCGAAATCTCTGGAGCGAACAGCTTCCGAAAATCATCCCTTTTGTGCTTGAACTTGAAGCGTTGAGTGATACTGGCCTCGTACAGGCCCCTCCTTTCGGAGAAATGACCAAGAAGGAAGGCCAAAGTGAGCGAGCCTGTCTTGCGAGCACTCAGGTCAATGATCCAATGTCTAGACGGCTGAGCGGAGGAGGTATCTGAGATCATGATGTCGGCGGCTACGAGGTGCTGTTCAGCACTGTGAAATCGTCATGGGCGGACGATCTGAGAACCGTTTTGGCTCACACGGGATACAGACGTACTAGCAGGCCCATAATACCCCTCCTTGTGCAGATAGGATGTACAAGATTCTCAACATCGCGATCTTACTTCTCATGCTTCTAGCAACGAGCTTAATAGCACTGTCAACTTTATCCACCCCCCTGTGGACAACAGTATTCTCCTTAGGGGTCGCGGGTATTGCACTGGGTGGCGTGCTCACAGTAACGCCTTGCTCTGATTAGCGCTGTATCCCACGAGGAGCAAGCACTTGTGATCTCGCTATCATACGCCTTTCGCTCTACTGGCTCAGTCATTGGGGTCGCCATGGCGGCAGTAGTGTTCCAGAACGTGTTAAGCAGTCAATTGTGGGCAAGGCCCGGGAGCTCGGACAAATGCTGCAGAGCTGATCTCCGGACTCAAAAATAGTCTGGAAGGGGTCAATGTTTTCTGCCCTTACGGGATCAGTCCCTGGTTGGGGGGAGCTACATGTGCGCTTTGCAAGTGGTTTTCTTTGCGCTAGTGGGCTCAGCTTTTCTTGGTCTTGTCAGTGGGTCACTGATGCGGGAACTCAAGCTGTCTTCAAGGCTGGATAGACAACATCAAGATGAGGAAATTTTGTCAGTAACGGTGTGAACTATTGTTTCAATTGGAGTTCATAGTCCTTGTCTTGTCACCCACCAGAGCCAACTTGCCAGCAGCGGGGATATGCTGGATTGAGCGGTGAGTCCTTGAGAATTGGTCTCTTTTCTGTTGAGTCCACTCTGACTTCCTTCCTTCTCAGAGCACTACGCAATGCAGATCCAAGTAGCGTACCATCTGCTCCTTCCACTCCGTCTTTACGCATTTACTCATGCAGCGCCGTCTCCCGCGCCGCTAATCCTCTCCGGCTCAACTCCATTGTCCCTCCTCAAACGCTGTTGTTGGAATGCTGCAGTACTGCATTGTAGCTACCCCTTATAGTGGTAAATTGGTATGGGCTTTATATGGTATATAAGTAGCCTACATATCACTCTATAGCTAATAAACCCTTCATCCTCCAGTCAAACACAACAGCTGTATCTTCAACCAGAGCCTAAGATCCAGCCCTAGCAACCGAACTCACCGCCCTACCAGGTCGAGACGACGAACACATCCCCGGACTCCCACCATCTTCAAAATCTACGACTACGGCCACACTTTTACCGTGCTTGACACCAAAGGGGCCAGAGAGTGTATCCGCGCTGCCATTAACAATGCTGCGCCCCACCTCGGTGAATTGAACCGCGAGGTTGGCACCGGAACGGTCTTCAGATACGAAAAGCCACGCACAGTTTGCATCCCAAGCGCCATTGACCGGAGGCAGAACTATAATTACTGGTGACAATTTTAGCCGTCATAGACCAGAGAAGCTTGCGTAGGGAGTTTCAGTTTTTGATTCTGCAAGAGGGACCGAGCAATGACGATTTGACGACTAATTGGTCAAACCCCAAATGAACAAATGCAGGGCCCTCCAGGCCCTAACATGCGTGGTTGAAACTTCCTCGATGCATTGCTGCTTCTCTGCTATCTTTTTCTCATTTTTTAGTACAGCTCACTCATGCCATTGATCGAAGGATTGTACAACAAGTGTGTCTACATAGTCTTTGTCACAACGTACAAGAACTCAGTAAGGCACTGGCAAGAACCATTTCAACTCCCTTTGTCCAACACAGTGGTTATGGGAAAAAGCATTGTTCCGACTATCACTATAAAAATACAAAGACAGTTAACACCAACCCCCTTTGCGAAAAGAAAAGGAATCCCCAGAGATCCCGTCAGCAGAGCAGAGCACTGTGACATTTTCAACTAATCGTTACTCGTACCAATACGAAATATCGACGAATAATCATACACATCAACCATGTACGGAAATCCTCGAGCGGATGACTACTATGCAGAACCCAGTGGCCATCGCCATAGCCCCCGTGTTGAACCACAGTATTATCAGAGCAATTTCGATGATGGAGCCAGATTTACCGATCGCTTTGAAGACATGGCCATTGGCACACACCATCACTCATCACAAAGTGAAGACTATGGTAAACGAGGCACATCTCATCACGTGGATGGCATAGGCTCGGACTACCTTTCTACACAAAGCGGACATGACGGTACACGAGGTACGCACCACCACAAGGACGACGAAGAAGCTCCACACTCAAAATCAGTTCGTCAGCAAGCTGGAGGGAGGAAAGAGCTCAGAGAGCGACTATTCAAACAAGCCTTGCAGCCGTTCAACAAACACAGTGGAACGCCCTACCCTTGTACTCAAGCTGACATCGATTTCCACCTGAAAAGTTTCAAATCACGCAATAGAGGTCCCTTCGTGAAAAACTGGGACGCAACGAAAGAAGTCTTGTGGCAGAATGACGAAGCAAGGCCTGTCCCTCCGGCCGAAATCGCTGCCATCAACAGACTCTTGGACGCTGCTAACAGCGCTACAGACGGAGTCGTCCTCGGCCCCGATTTTGCTATCAAGGCATTCTCCGATCTTGATCTTCTCTTCTTTGGCGGCCGACTCCGCGGCTACGTCACCGTGAAATGGAAAGCAAATGAATATTTTCGCAAAAATGGACACCAGAAAGGAACTTGGGCCTTAACCGAGGGACAATGCACAAGCTCCGAAAAGGGACAGTGTCGGATCGTGCTGAATGCCACCATGATATTCAAGGAAGCGTGGACGAAGCAAACGCCAAATCCCTCGGAGAGCATGATCGGGACGTTGTTACATGAGATGTGTCATGCTTATGAGTCAGTTCGGTCCCCCAACGATTTAGAGCCACACGGTGGGCACGGCAAATTATTCGGCACGAGGATTGGCGTTGTCGACAAGCGAGCTATGCGGATCTTGGGACTGTGGGCGATTGAAACTTGGGAGCCGCATCGGCAGCACCATATCTTTGTCCCACACTGCGTGGAGGGCGAAGGAGATCGTGACGGCGAATACTACGGGAGTAGCAGTCATGGCGGTGGCAGCAGAACCGGTGCAAGCGAGACGCACAAAAGGAGCGACGAATCTGGCAGAAGAGGTAAGCCAGATGACGGAGGAAAACTTGATAGTAGTAGGAAGAATGGTGGGAGCTCGAAAAGGCCAACAAGAGGGCACAAAGGTACGGATTGTGTGATAATGTAGCTCGCGCATTTTAGTGTATAGTTTGTGTTTATAAAAACTTGGTTGACACAGATGGGCGGAGGTATCTGAACACACGCAAGACGGGTCTCACATGATAAGAATCACGAGCCCTGTATGGTGTTCGAGTTCCGGGGAAGTCGCCGTTGATTTATGTCGGAACCCTGCTACCAATCTCCCCAAAATACAAGCACTCGAGATGAGCCCTAATCCATGGGGCCACTCTGTGAGCCATATCCTCATTTTCTCCCTGCTCTAAAGGCAATCTCAAACGTCACTGACATAGCCAGGCGATCAGAGTGCGTGCTACTTAGCCAAAGGTAACTTCAAGCAGGACATCCCGTCCCTTCGTCTCGACTTCAACACAACGTCCGATATCGCCGGTGATCCAGCCCCCGTGTTTGTAGTTGAGGACAACTTCGGCGATTGTGAACAGTGACCCAAGATGGGCCAGGGAGCTGTCCCCCCATGGAGGGACCAGCAGTCATAAGTTTCAAGGCTGTTTTGATGCAAGGTTGGATTTCAGAGGTGAGAGAGGGACCGCGGCTGAGACTCTTGTGCTATAAGGCTATGCAGGCAAAATACGGCGTTGACATAGAGTTTACCTCGGAGAACGCGATGGTCACACACATCTGGATAGATTTGCAACTAAAGACCCGATGATAAAGTCATTGATCGCGAGGTATACAATATTCGGCGCAGAACCTAATTTCAGGAGCCGCGGAAGCCGCTTGCTTGATGCTGCAGGCTTTGTTATTTCAAGTTGAGCGATCAGCAAGATTGGAGAAACAAGTATACATTGCTGTACTGGAAGCCGTTTGAATGGGTCCAAGCTGGCGGTGGGCAGGTGGGGTGACAAGGGTGGCGAAGGCTTTGATATCAACTGACTCGTCTGCCTGGAGACGTACGTCCATGATGGAAGACTTGGCAGCGGATCTCCCCCCTAGCGGAAAAGCCTATGAAGAGAATGCTGGACACTAACGAAAGTTCAAAGCAGATCTAGGCAGTGTAAAGCGAGAGGATCATAGGCAGTTTCAAGATGGCGATGCAGAGGCGGCATGAAGGCAATGATAACTCAGAGACAACGCTGTGCACTGACGAGGTTTTCGAAGCATAGACCTAAAGAGATCAATTTGAACGCCACAAGTCTCCTCGATAGGTGTGCAACATCGTTTTTATCCTCGGGTCTTTGAGTCGTCTTCGCTGCAGCATATAGCCCACCCGGCGTCCTCCCACGGCGCTTCAAAGATTCAACACAGGGATATTCCTCTGCTTATAACCATACCATTTCGGCTTCGATCTCCCATACGTGCTATTCCATTTGAGCTGCAAATCCTCGATCGCACTAGCCCACTTCACAAGCTCGGCCTCAGACCATGCGGTGCCCATGAGTGCAAGACCGAATGGCATTCCGGTTGAGGAGTTGACGCTTGCGGGGAGCGTGATCATTGGGTAGCCTATTGAGGCAATGTTCTCGTTAGCTTCTTAATAGTAGACCATACCCGGAACCATCATTACTTGACCCTCTAAAGCTGTCACGTACCAGCTTGAGCAGCAATTTGATATGTCTGTGCGACATCAGGAGGGACCAACAGCGCTGAAAGTTGCCTGCCGTTGTTTTTCAGAGCAGCATCGATGCCATCTTCTCTTGTGGATCGTTGACAGAATGACAAAGCCTCGTAGTAGGTTGAATTCATGATACCTAGTACAGGTCAGATTTCATGGCTCTCAGATGACAAAGTTATCCCGCTCAAGGAACGGCCGGAAGGAGACAGAAGAACCTTGCACGGAGTACGGACCTCTGGTAGCAAGCGACGCCAGGAAGCTGTCTTGCCCTGAAGCAAATGCGGGTTGGACGTTCGGCGTGCCACCCTCAGTTCCATCATTATCATAATTGTATCTAAGCAGAGGCAAGTGGTAAGCAAGACTTTGTTATCACACAGACGGCTGCCAAGCCACCGGTATCGTACCAATCGAGAGATCTAATACGTTTTCACTTACTGAACAATATCCTCAAGGGATCTAACGTCGGTGTTTTGAAGCTCGGCAAGATATGTCTTAATGTTGTTGTAGAAATCCACCTAACGATTAAAAGTACTTGGCCGACTTTTGAGAAAAAGGAAGCGAACACACCTTTACATAAGTGAACTCGGATTCGTTTGGATATCCTCGAGTTGTTCCATAGTCCCTGCCGCGAGTACAGTAAGCAATAGTGCCACCTTCCATGCGGACAAAGAACAGACTCACCAGTTCCAACCATCAGGACTTACAGTAGTCTGATGATTCGGCAGCTCAGTTCCATTAATTACAGTGGCACCGGCGCCTCTTATGAGTTCTATGAGTCCAAGCAGAGAGGCCTGCTGCTCTTCGCTTGCCAGAGTCCAGAAGCTTTGCCATGGTAGTCCGAAGGTAGCGTTTTGGAGCGCACGGCTATTGGTTAAGAACTGGCTGTAGCCACCCGGGGGTACCTTACCCTCTTGGCCCAGAGTGTAGTTGTCACGGAGATCGATGCCGTAAATTGCGTCAAGTGTATAGACAGCGTCTCGAACAGTTCTGGCAAACGTACCGACGGTATCTTGGTGAGTACTTTCTGGAATGACACTGCCCCCGTGAGCTATGCTGATGACACAGAGACAATGGAAGGGAACTACTACCCAGCGCGAGATGTCAAGCCCACAGTGGGCTTGATGCCTACCAAGGCATTCCTCTCCGCAGGATTGATGACTATACAACGCAACAAAATCAACAGCCGAGCATCTTGTACTGGGCCGGATATAGGAGCGTACCACTTCCGTCGGTCTCAGTCCCCAGAGCAAACATACACAAGTTCCCAGATATAGCACCAGCACTCCCAGAGCTACTACCACCAGGATTGACAGTCAAATTGTATGGACTTCTTGCCTGCCCTCCTCTCGCTGAGTATCCTTCTGAGTACTCACTGCTGCGCATGTCCGCCCATTCGCTGAGTGTGGCCTTTCCAAGAAGCAACGCACCTGCCTGCCGGAGTCTAGCCACGACATGAGCATCACGTGGAACGATTGACCCTAGAAGCGCCCAACTGCCGGCAGTGGTTTCCATCTTATCCTTGGTGGCAATATTGTCTTTGACGATGAAAGGGATGCCGTGCAGTGGACCGCGGATTTGGCCAACTTCTCGCTCAGCGTCAAGAGTTGATGCGATTTCAAGAACGTCTGGGTTTAGCTCTAGTATTGCACTTTGTTCTTCGAGGTCAGTGATCTAGCATCATAGCAACCCAAGAAAAGGGTAGACAAGGAAGGAGCAAAGCCGCCACAGTAGGTTGCTTTGACAGAAAGGGGGGAGACACGGGAATCTGCAGGACTTCATCCTTTGGATTGTTTCTCAGATAGGAAGGATAAAAAACAATTCTCGTATTTCGCTCCGCAAATTGATCTCACATCAGACAACGACGCATGGACCACAGCAGGCTGAATGTATGCGCGAGCAAGTCTGCCATGCTTACTTTGTGTATTCATTCGTCTGGTATATCCGTTGCAAGTAACACAACGCTATCATTGTACTCGTCAATTGGCCCTCCTTCATAGCATTCTGCAAATAATCAACAGTAGCCTCTTCCAGAACAAGACCATTGCATGCCGGCATAGGGAAAAGATTGTCAAGATGTTTGTAATTGGGGAAATCATAGGGGAATGGTGAATTCAAATCCTCTGATAAAACGAGGTTGGTCTCGTTACCGTAGTACTGCGCGCCATGGCTGACCTCTGTCGCAAAAGCGCGAAGTTCAGAGGTACCAGCGAGAAGACCCAATACGTAGAGGTAGAGAATAGACAACATTCGAGACATGATTGTATATAAAGGCGACAAAACAATGTGATTGATAGAAAGCTTCTTGATGAACAAAATTAGAGATCTAGAGTAGACCCGAAGGATTCGATTCCCTGCAGATGGTCATGCACGTATACGGTCTTACAGTAGTAGACTCTCGGGCACTTCCGTCGCCTCTGCGGGCCAGAGAATCTGCTTCAGTGAAATCGTGAAGTCGGCCTATGAATAATGTCCCAGCTGCTCTGAATGGCCCAGTGCTGCTGAAAGCTATCCTTGTCCTCCCCGCTTTCATGCGTCTCTATCGCATAACACTTTGCACCTCCATTTCGCCGCCGCCCCACTCTACTGAACCGACCTACAATACCCACCGCCTCATTCGCACCTTGCTGTCGCCGAAACAAAGGACCTGTGATAATTGCAAGATCTGAGATTACAGGAAGGAAAATTGGAAGAAAGAGTCAATAGCATCAACAACAATGATGACCGCGACAGGAAATTCCAGGCTTATCTTTGGCCAAATTATCGTTCTACCGGGGAAAAAGCCGTTTGCTAAATCATTCAGGAAGGAGGTTCATGAATCTCGCAATTGTCAAACCTGAGATTACCGAAGGGAAGCCGTACGCTGACCTTATTCCAGAAAAAGTAGCAATGAGAGCCAGCACGACTGGATCTCTAGCTATGTAGACGGAAGCCTCTTAACGAGGATATGAGCCGCGTAATGTCTAAACACAAGCCCCGAAGCCAATACTCTTGCACCCGACACATACCCCGACGTGGTCAGCAAATAAATCAGCTCGGGGTTCTGTGAGACCCCTAAACCAACTCTCGTTGAGAGGAAGTTTCACAACCTCACGACTATTCAACCCACCAAGAGACGGCGGATAAGAGCGTCGTGAAAATACATCCGGTGATGGATGGTCGCCAGGAGACCGCTTTACATCAACGCGCCGCAGACGTCTTCCCCGCTCCAACAGACCCAATTCCTTCACGGTACAGAGGATTGAACCAATCTGGTGCCATAGCCTTAGGATTCTCGTCCCGGTGAAACTTTGCATGGGGTTAGGCATGATCTGTTTTCTATAATAGACACAAGATTCCACACGCAATTCAGCCCACCAGCTTGTCGCCAGTGACAGCCGTGGAGCGGGCGCGACAGCTAAATTCTCCGATACAGGAGCTCACCTAGAAGCACAACGGTGAAGGAAAAGTCAATGGGACCTTTATTGTAGCCTTGTACTAGTACCAGTAGAATCATCCATGCAGCCAAGATGGTCTATGTAAATCGATGCTAGAGCAGGCTGTGCTGCAACAATCAGCTCAGTCATGAATAAGAAAAATACAGTAATCCATCAGCATGTATCAGCATGCGTGTCGGGCGTAGAAGACTAGAAGAACGGCACGGCTAGCTGCCGCAAGGTGTTGAACGTCAGTCAGACGGACTTGTGGAGTGGTGGAGTGAGTAGTCAAGATAAAGTAGGTAGGTACATACAGTAGGTCAAGTTTGTTGTAGGAAGGGGAGAGAGTCAAGTTTCAGGGGGGAGCGTCGCCGTGCATTGCCGTGCCTAGCGTATGTTGTATGTTCCCCTGCGTCTCACATTGCGGGAAGTTGGCATTGGGATTTGGCAGTTGACATGATGAAGCGGAGTTACTCAAAATCCAGAACTTCAGAAGGCTAGAAGCTGAGCACTGACCAGTGACCATCATCCAGTCCGGCGCCAAAAGATTGATTGCCAAAGACCAGGAATCCCTCCATCTTGCATGAGCTGCACGGAATATTTGGCTTGGCGAATTAGCCCCTCATGTTCCCCCTAAAACTTCTCATCTCCTGAGCCCGCACTCCCCTTCCACTTCTTCTTCTTTCTTCCATTCCTGCACTCACCAGAGCGATACCTGGTGATTCGCTCGCAATCCTTCCCTCTTTGGCTTCACACAACCTGGCTGGACCAATTGCCCTTCATTCTTTATCACTCACTACCTTACCTTGCAATCAACAAGCACAGTCGTTATAGAGTCAGCACATCAGGCATGGCAGCTCTCCGCCAACTACTCAATGCGCGAGGAATCACCAAGGATGCAACCACCTCGGAGGAGGACCAGCGACGAGTTGATGCCAAAATGCAAGCAATGGGCTATTCCATTTCACCACCAATACCAACACGACTAAGGTCCAGCAGGAGCGAGGACCAAGGACAGAGACCATTTCACTCCAAGTTCAACGAGAACGACTTTGCGCAACATCCTCTGTACCGCGGCGGCGATCCAAACGGTGCAGAGCACGGCAACTCCTTCGACGACCCTTCTCGTCCCCAACTCTCTCGCTCGGCGACAGATGATCATCTACACCAGAGCTACGCAATGAACGATGGCAGGGGTGGGGTGGATGTGTCATCGTACTACGAAGATGGCGAACAATCGCCTGCACTGTCGCCTGCGTTGAACAAGCACCTCGCACTAAGACCTCTCGACCCGCATGGGCAACAGCAGCAGCAACATCCTAGCCAAACCAAACACGGCCGGCATCGCAGCAGGTCTGCGACAGACGACAATTTATACTACGGGGTCGAAAGGGAGAACAATGCGGTTAGCAAAGAGCACAGGAAGCACAAGCCTAGGCAGGAGTCACTAGCGGGTGGTTCTACGAAGCCGTTGCCAGAGAAGAGGTCAGACGAGACGATGAAGGAGAGGACGATGCAGCTTCTCAGAGATCGTCAACAAACACCCACACAGAACAGCAATGTATGTGCTGCCACCATGCCACTCCTCTACGACGCGCAAAGCTTACGTATTAATTTCATAGGGCCGATTCACACCCCAAGCCCTCGTCGTCCCCCACGACGAAGCCACCAAGGTCGCACACACCTTCTCCGGGTCCGACGGCTCCCCCACCGACTCCGCCGGCAACAGTGTCAGCAACAGTATCAGTGAAGGTGGACACGGGAAGCACGGCCGCAAGCGCTCCAGAGATTTGGACTACGGCGTACACCAGCTCGCGGAGATGGACTACCAACAACTGCACAACGAATCCTTCGATCACGTTCCTGGCCACATACCCTACCACGGCCTCCCCGACCCCTCACTCCCTCTCTCCGAACGCCTGCACAACATATATCCGGATAAGACGCACAAGGATAAAGCGGCACGGGCAAAAGCTTTCTTTGCCTCTCTCACCATCGACCAATATGAAGAGTGTGGGGATTTGCTACTCGATGGGTTCAGAGATGTGATGGACCGGCTGAGGCAGGCACGGCAGCAGAAACGAAAAGCGGCGAGGGCGATGGAAGAGCAGATCGCGAAGAGGGAGGAGTGGGTTCGGAAGAAGAGGGGGGTGTGCGAGCTGGAGCTCGGAAGACTGAGGAGTGCGGGGACGGCGGTTGTGAAACCTATCAAGTCGAGATGATGATGATCCCTCTACGCTCTTTACTAACCATTTACACTCAATAATGCCCCCTACGATTCTACATGGGTGTTCAAAGGGAAGGGATGGCGACGGTGTTATGATGGCGACATGATAGATCTGGATACCCTCTACCTACATGACCCGAATACGAGTAGGTATATTAAGTTCCAGAGTTTCCCTCGAAGCTCTTGATTGGCCATGCATCTGACAGGAGGTGACTGCATCCGACATAATGAATCCCGTGAATCCTTAGACCCGAACTCAACCGTTGGCTAGGGCCCTAGGGGGTTGATATGGTGGGGGGATGGGTGGCATGATCTTACGTTTGGGGCGCTTATAGCACCCGTAGGAAATCGGCGATCAGCTCCAGGTACCATCCGGTCATCCCGTGCCAGCTGAAACCCCGCCGAAACCTCACACCACCACACCCAAAGGCTAGGGCAAGTCCACGCAAGCTCTACTCTATGTAAAAACGACTTCAGAACTTTCATCAATTGATGATATCTGCATCAGAGTATGTATGGTAAGGGAGATCCTAACCGCCGTCGAGGCAGACGTGTTTCCAATTGCCAAATTCTGCCCGATAAGGGAGTACATGAAAGAACTGTGTATGCAGCAGTCAGGGGTGCTTAGGTGGGTCTGCGTGGAGGGCTCCGAGGGTCGTTTCACCTCTCCCTTCAAATTCCTTCGCACTTCCCAGCAACGTCAAGCGCCCACGCAGCTGCAAGGATTGCACTTATGTAGGTAATTTGGGGAATCCTTTGGGAATGGATCTAGATCTGCATGCTCATCATCATGTACAGGTACAAATGGAAGGTATCAAAAAGGAGATGTCGTGCCTCCCGTGCTCTGCCCGCTTTTCGCACCATTTACTAGACCATTATTCTCATCCCGCTTTCTCATTCTCCATAGTTGAAGAGACACTGCCGTCCCATTATTCTCATGCTTCTCCACCGTGACGCGCATGAATAGGCTCTTAAGCCATCAACCACTGATCAAACCGTACCCGCCGCCACAAAAGCAGCCGGCCGCTCCTCCTTCAGCAACACAACCACTGTCCATCAGAACCGAACCCCCTACCACCGAGCATCTTCCCAACACCACCAACTCGAGAAGGATGTCGCCCACAGACTATAAACCGGCCAAGCCGCTCCCCCTCGCCCAAGCCGCCGGCTTCCACACCTCCCCGCAACAACAACGCACCCACTCCCCACACATCGTCGACCAAGCCGTCCCGCGCAAACCCATCACCGCGAGCAAAAACGGCAGCGCCGACAGCCCGCCCCCCAACGCCTCCGCCAGCGACTTCGCCCGCTACCACTTCGAGCACAGCCCGACGGCCACCCCGACGCGGACGTCGTACGCCGAGGACCTGGCCATGGACCCGTCGGTGCGGCTCGAGGAGTACGACTGGGCGGGCCTGGAGACGCAGTTCGCGAAGCGCATGGAGGCCTTCAAGGCGGTCGAGGAGGGCATCTGGGAGGAGTGGCGCGGGTGGGGGGAGGTGTTCGGGGCGTGGGCGGGCACCATCAGCGTGCACGACGAGGAGCGGGCGGGCAAGCGGCTGCGGACGCGGATCGCGTACACGCAGGGCAGCGAGGAGGGGCTGGAGGCGAAGCGGATGCACTGTGAGATTCTGTGCCTGTGTTTGTGGTTGTGCAGGGTTTGCTGATGATTGTGTGGTCTGGGTAGATATCAAGGTCGTGCAGGCTTTTGAGGGGGCGCTGGCGCTGTTGGGGGATGGGTGAGGAGGGGGAAGCTGGAGTGTTTGGTGATCGGTTTGTCGCTGGCGGAGCTTCATGGATGTGGGTCTCTTTCGTGGAGTTGGATCTGGGTATGAGGGTCTTAGGGTTTGGGGAGACGCGTATCACGATTGCGACGAGCTTGGTTTGGGTTTGAGAGATGAAGCTACCTCGAAGACGCGTATGTACAGATACCCAAACTCAAATGCACGTCTATCTTCCAAGACCTATTGCTTCTCCCCCTCCTCATCCCGTCCAGCACATCTTCACCCACCAACAACGACAACAACAACAACAACAACAACAGACTCTCAAAACACAGCGTACCACGCATACACCACCGCCATCAGAGGAACCAACACCATCAACGCCCTCCCCACCACCCTCAAAATCACCCAATCCCTCGCCCGCCGAAAACTCCTCACATAAGCCTCCGCATCATTCACATGCGGGAACGCCCCCACCGGCCTCTCCACCCCCAAAAACCCACACAGCGGCCCCCACCCCTCCTTCACATCAAACACCAACAGCCGCTCCCCGGGCACCACCCTCCTGACCACCTCGCCATGCTCCGCAAACGTCCTCCTCATATTCGCGTCGCCGAAATCGTCCCTCCCCCACCCCTCGAGCATGATCTCTTTGTACCGGCACCAGGGTTCGACGAAAACCGGGTCGAAGCGGCGGAGGAGCTGCCAGGAGGGCCAGGCCATGACGGGGAAGATGGTGGCGTGCATGGAGGCGAGCCATTTCTCGACGGGGCGGTGGGTGAGGATGAATTTGGCGTCGGGGTAGGCGCGCACGAGTTCGTCGACCATGCAGGCGGCGGGGAGGTCCATGATGGCCTGGTTTTGGGTATGTTATCAGACTTGTTGTTGTCATCATCAACGCATCATGTTTGCCATACGGCGACATGCTTTGTGAGCTGTTATATGCTGGGGGAAGTTGAGTAGATGGGACTGCTCACGTCGAAGTTCCCCAATACGACATCGAGCTCGCGCCGGCCCCACGGCGCGCCCGAGCCCATGTACTTGGCGCGCATGGCTTCGGTCCACAGGGTCAGGTTTCGAAAAGGGTCCGCCCACATGTTGGTGCCGTGGCAGGGGTGGTACCCGAGTTGTTGCAGCGCGGTGTACATTGCTGACGATTCATACGTCTTCTGTTAGTGAGCCGTTCGGCGCGGGAGCAGTCTAGAGAGGGGTGGGGCTACATACACATCGTGCCGGTCCGGTTCAGTCCTAGTACTATGACCTTCATGGGCATGGTTCTGACGGAAGGGAGGGTGTCGACGAGGCGGGGTTTGGGTTGGGCCATGCTGGCTTGACGTGAATACCGTGGTCCAGGCAACGGTAGAATTGTTTACTGTTTTGGCAAGTATGAAACAGATAAGAGGTGATGGGAGATGAGTTGCAGTGACGCAGGAAGAATGGTGAAATCACAGCCGTGTTTATGTTTTTAAAAGATACTGCTGCCACGATAACCGAGACGATAAAAGCAGAGCGGTTTCACTCGGTGCAGACTACGGAACGATAATAGCGGCAAGATAACATGTTAACACTTTTTTGCCTCCAACTGACGCTTGTCCTACTGCCTGGGCTCATTCCTGCGCATGCTTTCGCGGCCGCTGGGCTGGAAACTTTGATTTCGCCACTATAGCGAGTGCTCGATGTGTTATGAGAGAAAGAAAAGGACCTACGCGGCCTCCACCGTTGTTTTATACGACCGTTGACACCCAAAACGACTGATCATCATACTTCTAGCTCAAATATTCCGTGACTCCTTTTCAAGTTGCTTCGAGAGAGCGCGAAGAAATACTCAAGTAACCCTGCTGCCATTCACCCCTTTCAAGAGGGAATAATCTCTTCTTCTTCCCAAAACCGAGCTCTCGCCCAACTCTGTAGCACTACATTTGGTGATGCCGTATCTTTCTTGGGATACAGTCCAAGATCGACTAGGACTTGATCAGGTTTTGTGTCTATTGATCCGTACTAAGCGATCGGATAGGATGACGATGCCAGCGGCTTCACCTACTCGTATGTCGTTGCTCTCAAGACTCGAGGTGGAATGTGTGGTCATGCACTGCAGGCGGCCTCAACTGGGAATCATAATCGAGCTGTGCAGCTGCGGCTAGAGCGGGGCTAGAGTCCTCGCTCATGGTGGAGAGTATTGCAACGCATTGTAGCGGCTTGATTTGAAGGCCATATTCGACTCGCGCAGCTCCTCCGAGAACGGAGCCGAAATTGAAGCTCAACAGTGAGAGTAAAAACCTCGAATGCCTGTTGGGATGTTTATGATTTGCTACGGACCGAGGAGCAACGCCACCAGTTCACTGATCACCCAGCATGATCAGAATATCAGGAAGCTTGGCTCAAGCGTTTTTGGATTGGAGAAGGGACTGGATTCGCAAGACAGAACGATAAGAAGATCTGCCGTCAAGATACCTTGGCAAAGGTCATGTGATACTATAATTTTCACAGTCTCTCTTCTAAAGGAAGCGCTGCATGGTTCAGGTCTTGCCAAGCATGTGTAAGCTTGACCAAGGCGTATGCTCATAGCAATGCAACTACGAAGAATGGCTCAGCACTGGACGAGCCAATTAATTTGTGCCAAGTGGCGTGTTCCGGTCCGCAGCATCGCTACCAGTAGACCTCAGGATAAGCGCTCTTGACAACATTTGGCATAAGTCACCCTATCCATCCTCCCTCGCGAGCTCCGAGATCAGATATACAGCCACGTATCCAGGGAAGAGTACTGCTACCACAACACCTGGAACATTCGGATCGACCGCGAAAAGTGGAGGGGAGACAGTCTCTCCATCCTTCCAGTATGTAAATTGATCCGCGAAGAGTTCCAAGCCGTTTTGTATTCCAAAGGAGTCTTTGAAATGGACCACTTCATGGAAGACGAGGAGCTATTCGGCCGTGACTCCAGCCACAAGCCCCAGCGCAGTGACGTCCCATTTGCGGACGACAATTCAAACATCATTTTCTGGTTAGACCTACATCTCATGTCCGACTAGGCTTGTTTAGATCCGGGATGGTGGAGCCATTCACCATCGGACGAAAACGAAAGTATTTCTGCCATGGAAAGAGAAACAGTCTCGTTCTTCGTTGGCATCTCGATAGTACGGAACGCATGCATTATTCGACTTTCCAATTGTACGCCGAAAGCGCTTCTGCTCCTGAAGTCACCCCTCATGCACGCCATATCCCAGCTAACAGGTTTCAAGACCCTGCAGCTGGAGTACCTCACCTGCAAGGAATTCTGGCTGAAGGAAAACACATCGGAGGACATTAGGGAGAAATTCTCGGAGTTGAAGACTTGCCTTAGCTTCGATACCCTCGTGTTCCTGATCAGCCGAGCACTAGAACCAACGCTTGGATTCCATCACTACAGGTGAAATACTGAATGAGCCCACATGCTGGGAACAACACGTCACGTTTCATCCGCAAGGCCATCCATTCAAGAAGGCGGAGGGGATGGAGGCTAAGTCAAGTACTTAGGCGGACGAGGTGACATCGGCGCTTTCCACTCTGGGATGGATCCTGCCAATCCTCGACGATCAAGTATGAAGGCAACAGTAAGGGGAACACTGACCGAGCTTCTCAGTAAAATTCCCAGTACGATAGGCTCTCTTGCATTGTGCCAGATGATCGCGCCATGACAATCCAAGTCAGCGACTTTCATGGTTAAAATATGGCGTGTAATGCTAGATGATCGTTTAGCTGTTCTGCGCGTGGCGATGCTCCAATTCATCCACGCTGCGGGAAATAAGCATGGGATATGAGTTACAATCTGGTTTGATATGGACTACCAAGAGTCAAACTTCAGAAGTAGTAATGTCAATCACAGAGCCATTTACTCATCAAATGTTGATCTCGTCCTAGTTTTCCACGCCTAAACACCCAAGTACCCATTCACCACCAGCGAAAGAATATGCCAAGGCGATCCTTTCATTACCGGAAGCCTTGTGTTGTTCCCGCCACATGCTTCTCGTGATTATTAATTATAATAGGTCAACTAAATCTGCGTCGTTGGCTGGTGGATGGATAAGGCATTGGATGACTCACTTGGCATGGCCTAATGCTGCACAAACACGCAGCAACACAGCGCCAACCACCACATCTGCCCACGCGACCGCTAGTTTGTGCAGTCAACACCTCGTTTATTGTCTTAGCATAGCCCATTTAGGAGGCTTCATAGCACCCAAAAATAAACAACAACAACGACACCATAGTAAAATAGCATCTCAAGATCTCCAGTGGAAATGGAATTGAACGTTCAAGGACCAAGACCGGTCAACACGGCGCCTACCACGTCCAGAGCAATCTGGAATGCATTATATAACAAACTCAGAACCAGACTTAGAGGTTCTAGGCAGAGGTACATCTATACCATACCTCGCATATTCTATCAGTCGAACTCTAACCTTTGCCGTAAAAGCACCCTTGACATCGACGGAGAGTCTGCTTCTTCAACCAAGTCTACGAACAGAGAAGCCCACGCGATCAACGGATCGCTCAAACCTCATCCTCCCAAACCATCCCTCAATCCGCAAACACCCGCATCAACCACGCCCACACCTCTCGGCACCCTATCCGTCCTACCTCGTGAGCTACGGGATGAAATCTACAGCCACGTATGCGAGCGAGAATACGAGTTCGGCCGCTTTTCGGACAGACTACACAGGAAGTGGCATTCCAACGGAAACACGGACCTGCCCAATGCTAACATTGTCAAAAACCATACGTGAAGAACTCCTCGCCGTCCTCCATGCCGAAGCCGTGTTCAGCATCCGCAGCGCGCGCTACTTTCAGAACAAAGCATGGACGCGCAACGACATCCCATTCATCGATCACATCCAGCGAGTGGGACTGTCGACCGCGGTATGCGCATTGAGCGATGAACACTGCAACGAATCCATGCTGGATCCTCGCGAAGCAAACGAACAATTGTCCAAGATGAGAGCGGAGCCCACTTCGTTCTTCACCGGGACAGAAGTGCCGAGGAAGACCTGCGTTATCGAATTCATACTCTGCACGCCAAAAACGATGCTGATACTTCAATCACCTCTCTTCGACGCCATCAAGCACCTGACAGGCTTCAAGACCGTGACGTTGAAGATTTCGTCAATCAGGGAGCATTGGGGGCCACAAGATGCATTGATCTACATCGGGGAAGATCCCTCATTCATGGATCACGCTGTAGGCTTTGCCGCCATTATCGATGCAATAGGGAGTGCGCTCGAGCCATCACTTGGTCCCAACGTCATCAGCGAAGCAATTGTCCTTCAAGGTATTGGTTGGAAGATTACGTTTCATCCGCGAGATTACCTATCCAAGCAGGAGAAGCCAGAGGCTGGATCTGGCGCTCAATTGGAAGAGGCGGCAGATACTTTGACCGCGCTTGAAAAGTAATTGATGACGATTGACATGGAAGGATAGCAACCAGGATGGACGTGGGCCACTCATCGACAGTGTATATGAATAGAAGATGAAGGCGGCACGGCAAGTAAGGAATGCTTTGAACAGGTACCACCAACTAGATATCAGTATTCACCATACATAAGCCTCAACCCCAACACCCTAGAGCGCCTTGACAGAATCGCAAAATTCGAACAACCACTTGCTTGAAAAGTCCAGGTGCTAGAACGGCGGCTGACTCAACCTTCCCAAGCGTAAGACGCGTTCCGTAACAATGCTGTATGCAGGCTTTTGGTTTCCTCTCAAGTTTGCTATCAAAGCAAAAACGCTCTATTCACAGGATTCGGGTATCCGCTGGTGATATGCATCAAGTACGACCTTCCTAAGCGTCAATCCCTGAATAACAACATGACTCAAAAGTATATGACGTAGAGTACCCGTATCTCCACGCCTCACAGAGTCCTTCAACCGCAGTACAATCCACCAAAAACCAAAAAGAAATTGACAGTGTGTCTTTCGCACCCCCTCGCACTCTTCTCAACCCCCTCGGCCGCCTCCCTCCCACTGCTCACACGCATCTCCAACAGCGGCAGCCCCTCCCTTGCCTAACCACAAATATTTCTACTCTATCGACAGCAGTCCCAACCCCTTACCACCTGCATACCCAGCTATCTCTGCCTTCCATCAACCCTCATGCGTATGCATGGAATCTACACTGACTGAAAAGTGGCAGATCTCGAGGTTTGCAGACTTCAAAAGTCAATCGGAAAGTACATGCTGTCCATTGTCACATACCTCTAAGTTTAGACAATATTTTTTGTTCGTTTGCGAGGAGGAATCTGCAGCGCCCCAACGCTAAGTATAGGATGGCACACGAAAGCATATGGGCAAAACGGAGATGGAGGGACAGATGCCGGACATTTCTACACAATCAAGCGTGCGCGACAGCTGCCTTTACCACGCAAATGGAACCACACGCCGCACCAGCTAGCGCACGACACGTTTGCCTCGCCTCATCCAGCAACAGAACCTCTGCCCCTACCACGCGAACGTCGCAACCATGCCCCCGGGCCACCTCCTCAACGCAAACTTCCTCGCCTCGTCGAGCAGCAAGACCCCCGTTCCGAACGCCACGGGTAGGAAGAAATGCTCCGCGGGAACTCCGGAAGTGGCTAACACGGTTTGCAGTTGTGGGATGTAAAGCCAGAAGATGGCCGTGCAGAGTGCAAAGGCGATGGCTGGGAACAGCAGCAGGTTCTGGGTCTGCTTGTTGAAGGCAGGTGGGTGTTGGAAAATGCTCAAGCGGCGGGTGCGGAGGGACATGAGGCTGAACCATTGCCTGTGTGTGAGAGTTAGCATCATCTTTGGATTATCCCGTTATGTAGGAGACGGCTGAGACATACATGACCACGAGATTGACAAAGTAAACGGACGAAGCCTCCGCGAGCCTGGCATTATAGTAGTCTTCGGTGACGTTGTCAGGCACCGCGCCGTACTTGAACCAGAGTGCGCTGAACGGGATGCCGGATCTCTGGAGGTACCAGTAAGACATTGCGAACGAGGAGAAGGATTCGAGAACGCCGATGAAGCCATAGGATTGCAAGATCAAGCGCCAATCGACCAAGCGATCCGTTTTGGGGTTGCGGGGTTTGCGAAGTAGAACGTCAGCTTCGGGCGTTTCGTAGGCCAGGACGGTAGCAGCGGCGCAATCTGTGAAGCAACTGATGATGCTTCATTAGTGGGAGCCTTCGAGTTTGTGGCAGGAAGGAGTGGGAACTCACCAGATGATGATCATAAGAAAGGATGACAAGACCTGCGGTAACCCGAACAGAACATTCGTCATGACGGGCCAGAACTCTGAAAACGATCCTGCTGGGAGCAAGTATGCAATTGTTGTCTTCAGATTATCGAAGACAACCCTTCCGTACTGAACGGCTTCAACGATACCAGAGAACGATTCGAGCAAGACCATGTCCGCGGCTTCGATGGCAATGTCCGAGCCACTACCGAGGGCGATGCCGATATCTGCGGCCTTGAGTGACGACGCGTCATTCACGCCATCCCCGGTCATCCCAACTATTTCATCTCTGGCCTGGAATTCGCGTACGATGCGGAGCTTCTGCTCGGGGGTTGTCCTTGCAAAGACGATCTCATCGTATCGGCAGAGCTGATCCCATTGATTTTCGTTCAAGGTGATGATTTCTGGCCCGCTGAGAACGATTGAAGTTTTCGAAGCGTGTTCATGTATGATTTCAGGACTCAATTCCCTTTTGGTCGAGCCATGCTGAGAGTCTTCCTCACGGGAGAGCGCCTTGAAGTCTTTGACGAGGCTTGGAACACTGCTGATGATGCCACAGTCTCTGGCGATTGCTTGAGCTGTAAGGGCGAAGTCGCCGGTGACCTGTAGCGCCATCAGCACAGAAATCTAGGATCAGTCTAGATTGAAGATTCACCATGAAAATCCGAATCCCCGCTCTTCTCAATGTACGTACAACCTCAGGAATCTCGGCTCGGGGAGGGTCCACAATGCTGACCAGCCCGACGAGGGTCAGACCAGTCGTGGCACTTTTTGTAATTTCGGATTCAAGGTCATTCGACACGACGAGCGACTGAGCCGGAAGGGTTTTTCGTGCGAGCAGGATAACGCGCTTTCCGTGGGCGGACCAGTCGTTCTTGATCTCTTCAATCGTGCTGCGGATGTCACTGTTCAGTACGGTTGTATCGCCGGAATTGCTCGTAAAGTGCGTGCACCGGTCTATCAAGACGTCAGGTGCGCCCTTGATTGTGAGGAGTCTGTACAACAAGATGAGTAACCGCAAGCCAAGAACGGGGAAAATACACTCACAGATCCTCCGAGCTGTAGTGGCATCCTTCACTGAGAGGAAGTGTATACTTCAAGCCCTCCGCATCAGCCAATGAGAAGGTCTTGATCATAAACTTGTTTTTGCTATTGAACGCCAGCTCGAAGTTCTTCTTCCAGAAGCGCTTTAGCTCTGATACAGATCCTAGCCCCTCGGAGAACCTCAAGATGGCCTTGTCAGTGGCGTCCCCATTGATTTTCCGCTCTTGAAGGGGCAGAGTGCCGGTAGCGGCGTCGAACTCTCCAGAGTTGCACAGTCCAGCGACGGCTCTCAGTTGGTCGACGGCATTAGTGGAAGTATTGTGGTCATCGCGGATCTCGTCTCGTGCAGATTGTGGGGTCATCTTCTTGGTGCCGATAGAGCATTCGGTAACAAACATTTCGTTCTAGCCGCCCTGTCAGCCTTAACTCTTCACATGGGCTTGAGGTCCTAATCAGATAGTTCATACTTGAGTCAGGGTACCGGTTTTGTCTGAACAAATGACAGACACAGCGCCCAACGTCTCCACCGTTTTGAAGAGACTTGCACAAAACCTTATTCTTGCGCATCAAGTTGGCCGTGATTGTCAGACTCGCGGTCAAAGCGATTGGAAGTCCTTCAGGAATGAACGCGATAGCAACACTGACGCAGTCAACGATCAGTGTAGGGACGTTGATCCAAGATGGATGGTCTCGTCGCAGCCAAGAAGCCCTAGAATGAAAGTTAGCGTCGTTCATCTTGGGGGTAGGTGCCGTTACACACCACAGAATGATCACGAGCACGATCATGGAGAGCATAGTAGAGACGATGATGATGACGAAGTGCAGGACCTCCTTTTCCAGTGTCGTCATGCCAGTCTTGGGCTCATTCGTTAACTTCGCAATGCGTCCAAAGACCGTTTTATCGCCAGTAGCTACAACGACACCCAGTCCACTGCCGGAGACACAATGAGTGCCCTGCATCCCAATGCACTTGGTCTCAAGGTAATTGTCATCGGTCGAATCTACCGTACCAGAAAGTGGTAAAGACTCCCCTACGCACTACGGTCAGTGGAAGTTCGATTTTTCAAGAACATATTGAGATGCTCTACCAGTGAGAATAGAGCGGTCAAACTTCGCATCGGAAGAAATCTCCACGAAGCGTACGTCCGCTGGCAGCTTGTTTCCCGCTTTAATTAGCAAGAGATCCCCCGGGACAATCCCGCTCGCAGAAGTAGTGACTTGGGCGCCATCCCGGAGCAGCAGGCAATCCTCTGGCATCATGTTTGTGATCGACGCCATCACTTTGGAGGAAGACCAATCTTGCCACGCATTGAACGCAGCCTGTATGGAGAAAGACAGCGAGCAAGACTATTGCTAGAGCGAGGTTCGCCTGTGTGGGAGGGTCTCCAAGTGGCTTCCAACATATGAAGACAAGTATGGAGCCCAACAGGAGGATAGATCCAAACCCTTTGAAGAAATAGCCAAAGATCTGTTTGAAGCGATGGGTGGGAGGAGGAGAGGGTGTATTTCTGCCGTACTCAACCAATCGGAATTTGACCTCCTCTTCGCTAAGACCCTTGATGGCAGAGGTAGACAGTCGGCTGAAAACTTCTTCCGGAGATATGACGTGCCATTCAAGTTTAGATAACTCTGCATGCGCTCTGCCATCAGCCTCAGATTGAACTAACGACTCTGAGATGACATGCCTGTGGTAGCGGAGTCCTTGGCTTTCTTTGCGTCTGCCAGGCCTTTCTCTTTGGATTCGTCGATGTTGAAGGAACTTGTTGGGCTCTGTGACTAGAATCTCGAGGACTTTCAAGAGGGCCCCTACCAGAAGCCGCTAAAGATCGGAAAAAAAAGATCCCGAGCTTGGACCACGTGGTTGCTCCAGCTTTTGTCTGGGGACCCTTGTGGACACTTGTGTAGACCCAGACTCAGCGGCAAGGAGCTTGGGAAGCAGCAGAGTGACGTAGTCACGCATCCCACTCCCCCAAGTATCACGCATACTCTTGGCAGTTTCCTGAGAACCTCAGTTACACCCATTGTAGATCCGTTGCTCTCGCATTGCATGCGAGGTTTGCCGTTGATTGTAGTTCAGGCCATTGGTGGCGTTCAAGGGAAGGCGAGGGCATTCAGGCGGTCGGTGCCTAGGGCTTTGAGGAGGGGTGTATTATGTGTAGGAACACTATAGTCAGATGCGTCAGTCAAACAGCGTATTGAGGAAGCCTAGGTATCTGTGGGGTTAGGTTGGGGAACGTACAACTGCTCTGTCGTGCTGGCGTTGGCAGGAGGCAGGGCTAGTCAAATTCAGCGATCTGCATTCGTCTGCACGCTTTGGCCGATTTGGTACGACTGTGAGAAAGAATGTGGCCTTCAACGGGGTCTGGTAACCGTCCAGGCGCGGCTGGACGGTGACCCACCCTAAGCCCTACCCTAAGCCCTACCCCCTATCATCAAATATCGAAATTCGATATTTTCGCTTTACAAATAGAAGAATATCATAACAGCACCCCCTGTAGGGCCTTCGTAGGGCCCCCGTAGGGGGCTCGTCATCGAGCCCCGAAGCCAGACACCCCTATTTGGACCTAAATATGGACCCCCGTAGGGGTACTGCTAACAATTTATAAAAACGCGAAGCGCCGCGAATTTTTCGAGAATATTTATTATAGCGAAAAATTCGAGTTTTGGGGACGGTTACCACCACCAAGGGGACGGTTACCAACTCATATTGAATATATTCTCTACATATACAAATTTGGCTGGTGAATACGATAAACTCAAATTCAAAGTGGTCTGGTAACCGTCCCGGACGGTTACCCTTGGCAAAAAATTTAAGCGACTCAAAATTTTCGATTTTTTTTTTCTTCGAAATTATCGTAGCTATAATTTCGATAATTTCGATTAATAATTTCGAACGATAATTTCGAATAATAATTTTAAACGATAATTTTAAACGATAATTTCGAACGATAATTTCGAGATAAAAAAAATTTAAATTCTCTAGAAGTAAATATTAATAATTATTCTATATATTAGTATATATATAAAATAAGAATTCTTTTTTTTATTAATATACTTACTTATTTTTATTTATTTTTTATTTTTATTTATTTATTATTTTCTTTTATTTTAATATATATAAAGATACTATAAAATTAAATCTACTTTTTTATTTTTATTTTATATTTTAAAGCTTTTTTTCTTTATTATATAAAATACTATAATCTATTATATAAAATATTCTATTTTTAAAAATATCTATAATTTATAGATATTATAAATATTATTTTTTAAATAAATTTAATAACTTAGTTATTTATTATATTTTTATTATATATAATATTTTTATAATAAATTTATAAATAATTCGAAAAATTCGAGATTTTTCTATAAAAACTCGAAATTTTCGAAATTTATAAATATTTTAAAATCTTCGTTATAACTCTATAATTATCTTAAAATTTTCGAAATAGTTCTATTATTATTAATTCGAAATTTTCGTAATAATTCTATTATTAATTTAAAAATTTCGAAAATTTTAAGACTCTAAGAGATAATTCGAAATTTTCGCGATAATTCTATAATAAATTTAAAATAATTTAAAAACTACTATTATTAATTTAAAAATTTCGAAAATTTCGAGACTTTAAAAGATAATTCGAAATTTTCGCGATAATTCTATTATTATTAACTCGAAATTTTCGAGACTTTAAGAGATAATTCGAAATTTTCGCGATAATTCTATAATAAATTTAAAATAATTTAAAAACTACTATTATTAATTTAAAAATTTCGAAAATTTCGAGACTCTAAAAGATAATTCGAAATTTTCGCGATAATTCTATAATTAACTTAAAATAATTTTAAAAATATTATTATTAAATTAAAAATTTTAAAAATTTTAAGACTCTAAAAGATAATTCGAAATTTTCGCGATAATTCTATTATTATTAACTCGAAATTTTCGAGACTTTAAAAGATAATTCGAAATTTTCGCGATAGTTCTATAATTAACTTAAAATAATCTTAAAAATACTTCGAAATTTTCGAGATCTTTATAAAGTATTACTAAATATTTATAAGTTATTTAAATTTTACGCGAAAATTTCGCAATTGTAATATAAGCGCGGACGCTATTCTACTTCGGAGTGGCTGACTCAGCGAATGTTCCCCGTCCCGCGCCTGGACGGTTACCACCTCACGGGAATCAATGGGTAGAAACAAGGAGCAGAGGAAGAAGCAGGCTGTGGCGGCGAGCCATAAGCACCCGCCCACCCCCTCTCAGCTTTAGCCGCCGCTTTAGCAGCTAAGCCAGTAATCTTAGTACTCAATCGTCACATATTTCCTTTCTACATAGACCCATCATTCACATTGAAAATGTAGCAAAGGTTATGCATAGAAAGAATTCCAATTCATAACAGGAGAAAGCTCTCATTCTTTACCAATCACAAAAAATTGACTCCTACTGTCAAAGGATCTTGAACGGAAGGGATTAAGCACATAAACGAAAGAAGAAGTCCTTTAAAAAAAAAAAAAATATTTTTTTTTGGGGGGGAAAAAAATTTTTTTTTTTTTTTTTTTTTGTGCGTTTGTTTTTTTTTTTTTTCACCCCCCCCCTTGCAGGTGCAAGGACGTTTCTTAGGCAAACGTTGTGAGAACCGTCCCTATGTTCAAGCAACTGTCGGACTTCTACAGTTTCATCAAGAGTTTTCGCCCTCGATGCATGACTTTTGCTTCACTCTCTTACATATTCTTATTTGGCCGTGGCACAGAGAAACGGCCGCGAAAGGTTGGGGCTCCTGCTAAGCCATCGGGATTGTGCCTCGGCCTCAGCCCGTGTAAGACCTAGTATCCGGGAGTGACGTACCACCCGGCCCTCTCGCAGGGTAGCCACGGAATCCCTACTCAAGCCCGTCGCGCTCAGCAAAGGCATTGTCGGGTTACGCCGATTCGAGACGGTGACTGTAGACCATGAGTCGGAGAGTGGGCCAGACACCATTGACTGGGCGCTGTGACCCAGACTCTACGGATCCCCCACTATTTCGAGCGTGTAATAAATCTAGCTACGTTGAGTGTAGTGAGGGAGGGACTGGAGGAGATAATGGGGCCGGGGATTTAATATGAGGGGCGTGCGCAGGAGGGGAGGTTTTGTAGAACTGCGGGCACGTATGTATCCCAGTGATTAGGTTGAAACTGCAAACACAAGACGGCGCGTGGTAGATCCAAAGGGGGTGACTCATTCAGAGAACATAGAGTTTTCCCACAACCAGATAAAAGAGAGATTCGATTGATGTTAACGAGAGTCTATCGCGTCCACCCTAGGCTGATCCATCTAACTTTTTCATGTCCGCTGGCCAGCTAGCTTGCATCACTCCCCGAGTCCCATTCCATTCATGCGTTGAAGTTGTAGCAGTCTTCCCAGCATCAAGCGCGAAAGTGGAGGAAGGAAGTTTCTGGGATACGAGTGACTGAATTCCCCATGTTCTTATCAGTGTCTGACTCATCTCCACGAGGGGACAATGGGACGTACGGGAGCGCTACTCTGCTGCTTTCGAAGACGGTGGGGCAGGAGGCGAGCCAGATGGAGGAGGTCCAGAGAAAGTGCCGGTTGGCTTCGGTCCGTGGTGACCGTCATGCGGCATACCACTGCTGTGAGGCCCATGGTGACCGTCATGCGGCATACCAGTGCCATGAGGGCCGTGGTGGTCATCGTGCGGCATACCAGTGCCATGAGGGCCGTGGAAGCTGACACCGCTGGGTGGAGGGCCGTGAGGACCACCTGATGGAGGACCTTTGTGCTCTTCGGCTGGAGCAGCAAAGACAGCTACCGGAGCCAAGGCGGCGACGAAGAGGGTGAAGAGGGTAGAGAGATGCATGCTGGCTGTTGGTGGTGGTGGTGGTGGTTGGGTTGGTGTGGTGGAGGTTTTGATTTGTAAAGATGTCCGCTTTTGCTGAATGAATGTACTTGGGTTGTGTGATTGAATGGGAGGATGCTGTCGAGCAAATTGGAAAAGAAACAGAGAGCTCTTATAGGGGAGACACTGTTAAATGGCGCCCTTCAAGGGGCTTTCTTTGTTTGCTGTAGGGGCTCGTACGCGTCAAGCTTCCATTCCTGAATTTCCACGTAAGCGACGTATGGTATGATCAAACTTTTTCCGAGGCAAGTCTAGGCTTGACTCTTTTTGTCTTCCACCCGATGATTGCAAGTCAAAGAAACGCAACTGGTTTAGTTGGTGACGAGATTGTTTGATTGATGAATGAAACACCGTTTCGGCGGAATACTAATATGAAAGCCAATGCCGTAATACAAAGCATGATCTACGTTGGTGCCCCTTGATAATATGGTTTGCTAAGCTTGTTCGTTGGATGTTAGGAAGGGCGCCTATCCGTCGCTGGCTCTGGGTTAGTGGGTATTGGATATCCGTCTCACGTTCCGAGCGCCCAGGGCAGTAATTGGCCCTGCAGCTTGATGCAAGGTACGAGGAGTCGCGGAGGCTCTTTAAAAAAGCATGACAAGAATGGAGTACGTACTTCTCTTCACAACCCTGTGCTTCATCAGCCTGCGCACATGGACAGGGAATCATCGCACTTCCAATGCACAGGTGACAACCACCCTAGATACATATCTAAGGTACCATTATACGCCAAAGTCCACATAACATAAAGCAGTATCAGAACTATTGGCTGTCGTCGCATGACGGCTCAAAGAAATTTCAACAGTAGTCGTCAGCTTCGGGTCAAAGTATGTGTAGTAGCTGCATTCGGTTTAGCGGACGCGTGGTCTCTGATTCTCACCAACAAAGGGGGACCGACGCTTAGATCTCTTCAATGATTATGAGCTGAGTCTGATGCACGATGGGCGAAAAGGGCTTCAGATTACTACTACGAGTCACATTATTGTAGATATGTAGTATGAACGGAATATATGGCTCACAATTCTGTTATTTGGACTGAGGTTATACGCTAGTCCCAAGCGGGTTTATCAGATTAGATTGGCTGTCTAGAATGCTTGGCATCATGCATCTTGCGAGAGGGATGGCCTTCAGGATGGCAGTGTACTGCAAATACATGTCAGTTGAGGGAGGTCCCAAGTCAGAGGATTCTTGATAGCTCGTAGAAGTTGTTCTTGATTAAATACAGCCGTGGAAATGATAAGCCGCCAACCAAGTGCTTACCCGCCTCCACGGGTCGCCTACCCGGAGTACAGCTAGAGAGAAGTCATGATGGTGTACAAAGATTTCGTTCTCCAAAAGGGACTCGCACCATGTCTTCTTCCAACAGCATTAATTCAGAGAGTGTACTTAAAGGATACATATGCTCGATCTCGCAATGTGGCTTCCGCCAAAAGAGTGTGTTCATAAGCCGCGCAAGATGAAACCCATCGCATTACATGCTCCATATCCAACGAAATACACAGTATCACCCACGCATGAGAAGCCAAGAACACGCCGTCGCATCCTGATCCCAACAAATATCACCTATCCGTGTCTCTTGACTCTTGAGCGCCACCTTGGATCCTTCAAAGACCAGCTTTTTAACTCTTGAGCGTCACACGAAGAGTGCAGAGAGTCTCAAGAAACGTGCTAAGGCCCCTCGGGCGATGGACTCTCACGGCCTAAAACGGGATCGGATGACCATTTCTTGAATGCTTGCGACGGCGATGGCTTGTTCTTGGAACCATGTCGGTAAGGGGCGAAATTGGCTTTCGACTACATACTCCTTGAAATCTTGTGAAGGCGATCGCGGTTGATTCCCTTGAATAAAGTCCTGGCCAATGTCGTAGTCGCACCCGATGTTCAGTGTCTTCATAGCTGCGGCTCTAATCTCCTTGATACCATCTTTCAACTCTGCCAGTGGAATATCCGAATGCTAGTATGGGTGGTCAGCGCAAGCAATCGAGAAGTACTCATTATCAAAACTTGCCTTGCTGAGCACTTCCTCACATTCTCCGTCTATTTCGGTGATAGCTATGATCTCGTCATAGTCCGGAACGACTTTTCGTGCAACTAACTCGCCGACTCCCGCCTTGGTCATTCCTCGGTTGGGGAAGTCAGACCTTTCGTGGAACCCGCGGCGTGCTTGACACTCTATGGCTTCGATTTCTACGGTGCCAGGGTCTTTCAACTTGATTAGCTCAGACACAACTTTGTCGTTAACTCGAAGGATGCTAAAGCAAAGAATGATCGCAACGACTTTGGGTGTGTGTCTTGGAGGTTTGAGAGGTTTGGGTTTGGAAGGCATTCTGGTAGTCGGGAATGGTCTGTTTTGAGGGAAAAGGGTTCAGTGCCAACATGAGCTGAGTGGTATGGCGGTAAGCATGTATGAATTTCTAGAGGTAAGAAAACCATAGTTTGGGACGCGGATTGACTCTTATTAAGATTATTGTAAACATTTGCCTGCAAGGCTTCATCTCGAACACTGCAACCCCTTTGTTCCTATTTGCATCAGAGATGTTACATGCATCTAAGACATTATCCATCGAAGAAATGTTAAGTCTTGCAGGACCAAGTCGACTTGCGACCGGATGTTCGGCTCGTATTCCTGTATTCGCAGGGTGGTGAGATTCTCCCAAACGATTGTCACAGCCTCCGCTGGCAGTACATCCTGCGAAACACAGAAATACGTGCATCAGCATGACGATGTTGCAAAACCCGGTGAGTTGTAGAAGACGAATGGTGAGCACTGCTTGGCGTTTGGGATGGTGTGAGGCAAGGACGTCCACCCTGTCACAAGATGATGACAACAGTTCGATAAGTATCGCAGTCTTTATTGGTGTACGTCCCTCGGAAACAATGAAACATCTGTCAGCGATCCCATGTAAATCAGTGTGTGATCGTTGCTTGCTCATACGTATCAGAGATGTTTGATGATTCCGCCCCCGCGGACCTGGACCTGGCAGGAAGGCGCGAGAAAGACTACAAATCCTAAACAAACCGAGAAAGCCATGAAGCTCAATCACAGCTTTATTTGAAGGCTTTTGGTCGGTCGTAAAGCACTGTTAGACAAAACTATGCTCTATAAACGAGGACTGATGGAGAGTAATGTCATTGTAAGTAATTCCAGGGTTCCACATTTTGTGACAGCGGTTCGGAAGTTTCAGCCTGTTCCCCTCTGCATTTCAACAAAGTGACTCTCACATCTTTGCTAGATGCGTTTGAGCATGGACCAATTCCTCTCAGGTGAAGCTGTTTTTGCTTTGGCATTCCTTCAGAGTTTCACCGCCTTCTGCTGTTCAGGCAAAACATCGGTCCTTACGATGTCTTATGTTCTTCTTGAAGTCATCAGTGTCATATACGGTAAGCCTTTCCGATTTGATTCCCAGAACCAATCTAATGTTAGAAGCAATCCTAATTGTAGGCCACATCTCTTTACGGGAACAGGCCAGAACACGTTGTCGGAAGCTATCATGTTTATGAGCGACATGTTCTTCCTGGAAAATCCCAGAACTTATAGGCTATCGGAAGCAACCATAGTCTCAAGCGACATATTCCTCCGAGATATTTTCAGAAATAAGTGGGAAACTGTGAATGAAGGAAGTCCGAAGTTCAGCGACTTAGATTGTCACTGTTTCTGGTAGCTTGCTTGATGCGCAACCAATCCAGACTACAATTTGGGTTGATTCTCCATCGAATTCACTTCCGCCCGGGCTTATTAGGTCTTCAAAAGACGTTGCGTCAGATCGGTGCAAACATTATACGCTGCTCTAAAAGTGCCATACTTGGGGGATTCAAGAAGAAGCACTCACTCAGCGGGGTTGCTCGAGCTGATACAAAAGGTGCTGAGGTACGGTAATCAGAAACGACTTTTACGCAGCTAGATGCGGCTAAGGTACCTTAGCGTATTCCCGCTAGTGTTGTCCTCGCTTAATATCCCACGAAAACTACACGCACAAATGAGTTCTAAACGATGATTGGCTGGGTTCTAAGGCTTAGAAGCACGCAGACAGCGGTCCACAATGCAGCTCAGCCCTAAGAAAACTCCCCATCTACGTAAGGTAGAAGACCTAGAGTCTAGATACAAGAAATCGCTGAAAAAATAAGGCGTGGGTGGGTGGGGAAACGTCCAAAACCTCTGCTTGCGACGAGAGGAATAAGAATGAGGAGCAAAAAACAGGAGGGATACGCAGGATACCGCCTACGAGTATCTAAGGCTCTTCCAACATAGCAATCTCGGCTATATTGCCATGTGTGTGCTGCGCCCCACTAGCCCCCAGTCAAGCTGTGGCGAAAAGTCTCTCTAGCGTCGGCATGAAATACAAACGCGCCGCTAAGTTCTCGTCAGCGCTTCTTTTCCAACCGAGCCATCAATCGTGGGACGCATAGAGAAGTCTCGATCTGTTTTGACCCGGAGCGCAAGAATATCAGTCCTGTCGGGGTCTAGCTTTGCACCATGGAAGTCCATCATGAAGCACCCATAGCGCATACTCAGTCTTTATCAAAGGATTCTCAAGCTCAGGACATTGGGGATGATTACGAGATTCCCCCTCCAGAACCCTCTACCTCCTTTGCCGGCCTGAAAGACCGCATCAAGCGCCACTACGAGATATGTTCCGACTACTATTACTCGCTTTGGTATGTACGTGTCGAGTGTTCACGGTACCGGGTTCCATGCTGGGAAGTAGTCGCTGATCAGCAGGGGTGAACATATACACCACGGCTACTTCCTCGATTCAGCAGACACGAAAGAAGTGGCACAGACGCGCCTTGTAGATCTCCTACTCGAGCGCTCTCAATTGCCCCCAGGAAGCCGGGTTCTGGATGTCGGGTGTGGCATCGGCGGCACGTCGCGCTATCTAGCTAAGAATAAGGGGTGTAGTGTTACTGGAATCACCATCAGCGGGCAGCAGGTAAAGTTGGCAAAAGACTTGTCTGCAAAAGAGGCAGGACGTGTGCAGGGGGAGGTCGAGACATCCAGCTCCATCGGGTTGGGTAATGGCAGTGTAAGGTTCGTCGAGCTCGATGCTGAGAAGATGGGTGACTTCTTCAATGAGTCAGAGACAAAGACGACCTTCGATTGCGTGTGGATCTCGGAGGCAATGAGCCATTTGCCCAACAAGGAACTCTTCTTTCGGAACGCTTCGATGCTGTTGAATGAAGGTGGAAAACTGGTGGTAGCGGACTGGTTCAAGGCCGAGGAGTTGACAGATGCGCAAATGGAAGCAGATATCAAGCCGATCGAGGGTGAGTCTCGCCTCGGGGTGTTAGTCAGCCATGGAACTGACTAGTGCAAAGACGGAATGCTTCTCCCTGGATTGAACACACAGTCAGAGTACCTCAGCTACGCAAAGCAGGCTGGGCTTAGTGTGTTCTCAAAGCCCTTTGATATCAGCAAAGAGGTCTCCAAGACTTGGTAGGTCCCCAAGGGCTTCCCGACAATTGTGAACGGTACCTTGACACATGCATACTCGTAGGGATATATCATGGTCGCTGGTCCAGAACCCAGCGCTGTGGGCCTTTGCCATCTCTCAGGGTCGAGACGGTCTAGCATTCCTTCAAGCTTTCCGAGCGATGAGAAGAGGCTATGCCAATGGCACATTCCGCTATGCTGTGATGGTGTTCCGAAAATAGAGTGACTCGATTGCTTCACCAAAAGTAGATTGGATATATTCCCACTTTATGACTGTGGTTGCTCTCGACAGCGCGTTACCTTTGGGCTTCTCCCGGAAAAACACGTCGTTTGTGACTGTGGTTGCTTTCGATAGCGTGTTAGTTCTGGTCTTCTCACGCAACAAAACATGTCGCTTGTGGTTGTGGTTGCTTCCAACAGCATGCCAGTGTGTGCTTCCCAGAGAAACATGTCACTAATGACTCTGGTTGCTTCTCAAAAGAAAGCGTGTTATTTGAGGGTGCTCCCAGAGAAAGGTGTCGCTCATGAATGTGATTTGCCTCCGACAGCGCGTTACTTCTAGGAACCAGCCCGAAAAGAGCTTGCCGAATATGACGCAGATTGCTTCGGGAAGAGCGTAAGACCTTGGGAAAAGTCATGTAGTGCATGCTCCTATTGTCCATGCTCGAGCTTGAACCGGCACTTTTGCTGATACCTCGTCTGACCCAGCCAAATCCAGAAGAAGCAATTACAAAGGAGTGTGGTATTGTACTAGGGAAGCGCAAAGTCTGCTTCATCTTGCTCTAGATACAACTGTGAAAAGCGTGTGCTAACCGAGTATTTAGTGCCAGTACCATTGCATCATATGGCCTCAACGCCGCCAATTGAAAGAGTGTGTTTGTCTACCACGCAGACGCAAACCCATTGCACAACGGCTTCCCAGATCTACCCAGTGATCAACCCAAAGGTACCGGTCCGTCTGAGATCAGTCTGCGTCTCCAGAGCGACCATTCTCGAGAGCGCGATCGGCGTCGCGTTGAAGGAGACTGGAAGGAATGACCAGAGGGGTTGGAGATTCGTCAGACACCTGCTCCAGTGGGGGATCTGGAATGCTAGGAGGACCGCGTCGGCCTCGGTTGATCTCCTTCCAGTAGGTTCGCAAGGGGACGTTGCCCTGCGGATCGGATAAGGCTTGCCATGCCTTCGATATTATCCACTCTGTCGTTTCGGAGAGGCGTTCGTCCTTGTGGGAGCTGTCAGCGGATGCCAATGAGAGGAAGAAAAATGGTTCACTGGAACTTACACCAGCATGGTGTTGCAGGAAAGAATTGACCTCGTCAAATGTATCGTCATCCTTCACTTGGCTGCTAATGATCTGAGCCACAGCGTTCTCGTCCCAAGTGATGTTACGCTCTACGGCATTTTCCTTGGCTTGACGCCAGTATGTGTCGATGGAACTTGCTCGAACCTCGACATTGTATAGTCGCTTGAGAAACTCGCTGGCGGCAGCCGAAGATTCAGGCAGGAGGCGCTCGATTTCAGCAGTGCTTGTGCTGGCTTTCGTGGTGGCCACATCGACAAAGTATTTGAAGAAGATAATGATCGCTTTGTGCTTGGGTTCAAGGGGAGATACGTCGCTGACGGGCGATGGCACATCGCTGACGGGTGATGGCGACGCATCCACATGAGGGGAAAGGAGGTATTGATGATCCATGTCCTGGGTGTTCAGGATGCGTATTATGAGCAGGATGTCTTGGGGTGAGTTTGATTTTGGATGAGATTGCTGTTATTGTTCTTGCAGATGTCTGTAAGAGAGGCTGAAGTTCTATGAAGAACAATATCGAGAACATGGGGACAGCCTTTTATACAGACCTGTGCTCGCTGCCCGATTCTTCTCCGTTTCATGGAATGCTTCATGCCATTCTGCAACACACCTAAAAAACGGGATGCGTTTTAGGGGACCAAGGACGATTTTCGTAGTGCTAGCTCGTGCTTCTCCCTACCCCACGCCACGATGCTGACACACGGAAGCGAACAAAGTCACAGTCGAGTCTTCTATGGCAGGTAGCTGCTGTCCAAGGCATTGGCTTTGGTCCCTCCGCTTGCCAGAGACCAGGATTTGATCCCCGCAGAGTCGTCCATCAAACAGTGCGTTTTGGCTGTTTCCGTTGATCGAGGGCCTAGGTTGCTGGCCCGAAACTTATCAAGGCATATATTTCAGAAGCTGCCGATACCATACTGTAGACTGAAACATGCGTCGGGGACATCGGAACGCGCCGAAGCCGTCGGGGTTTCAACCGCTCGGAAGTTTCAGGGCAGTATGTACGGGGTAGCCGCCTCAATTGTGCGGCCGAAAGTTGCTTCGAGCCGATGGCTCATTGTTACAGGTATGGGGTCGTCTCTCGGTTCATTTCCGAAATGTAATGATTTCAAGCACCGCTTATGGTTACAAGAGCGGAGCCAAACGCGCACTTCAAGCCCAAAATCCATGTCCAAAATATTTTCTGGAAGTGAAGGTTACCACGCGGTAGCGGTGCGCTCTGTGACGTCGGAATCCAGCGTAGGCATCAAGCCCAAACTCTGCGCCCAGAACGAGTCCAATGGAGCGTCCATTGAAACCCTATCATGGGTTAGTGAACACTACAGGAAGTCCAATGTGCGCTTCGACTCCTGGATTTGTCTCCATAACTCAAACACTTGCCACCGAGCGCCGTCTGTCTTTCGAGGCTAGGCCGAAATAATCTTCCCAAATAGCTCCGTCCATGTGCACAGCGACCGTGGATTTCACCGTCGACGCCAGGCATCTTCCCTAAGCAGAACTAAGCGCACTGTCCAGATAGCCCTTCAGGCGGGGCGTTATCCGAAATATTGACGCAGTGGTAGGTCTCGTACTTGATGTGCAGCACTTTTGGTGCAAACCTCCGTACCGTAGGCTCTACCGATGGGTACGTAAAATTTGCTCTGGGCAACACCAGCAAGAGTCCCGAGCGCCAAGAATCCTGCCAAAACCTCTCGCAACGCAAAGTGGTTTCGAAATTGCAGTTGACCTGCTTCCAACTAATTCCTACGGACTCTATTGTTGAGGAGCATTCCCTCGGCTCAAATCGCACAGTCCTTGCCTTCACACCAGGACGAGTACGAGTACTGTTACCTACCTACATCATTATCGTACCACTAGTCACTCAAATTTGCTCTCTCAGATTTTTCTCCTTGGCATCGTTGTTGTAGGGCAAAGCTGTGACTCATCCTATGAAAATTAAGAGTCACTGTTTTCAGAATACATACAACATACCATTGCTTGACCTCGCCTTCTCGAAGTTTACTCGACATTCATCCTCTCGCCTCCAGAACTTACACCACTGCTCAGCGTCGTCTTCTCGACTCTCACTCCGGTTAACCTTGCAGCTTCATCGCCACAACATTACGAAATACCCATCACCGACAATGGCACTCACATGGACTAGATTTGTCCCAGACCACTACGAAAGTGCTGCCCAGTCCCCACCATCTCCCGCAGATACTTTTGTCGCGCATCCTTTCCCTTTCATGCGCCTCCCCGTGGAAATACGTCTACAGGTCTACAGAGACTACCTACTCGATCGGTATTCCCCCTCACCCGCAGAAATCCACGAAATGGTCCTTGACACTTGCGACTGGGAAAAACCCCCGGCTGAGATACTGCAAGTCAGCAAGGCGGTGAACGCGGAAGTCCAGGACCTCCTCCGACATGAAACTACATTCAACCTACGGATATGTTGGCAAGATGCCACATTCGATGGTCTCGCGGTCTCGTGTTTTCGGGCCAGGGGCAAGCCACTGGACTATGACGGCATCGCACACCTCAGGATCGAAATCTATCCTGCACACCCCGACCGGTATACCGACATGATACGCGTCTGGAGACAAGTTCAGAAGGTCTGTTCCGATCTACAAGGGGCTTCCTGCGTACAGAACCTATCCCTTCACTTCATGGAGAACCAGTACGCGACGTGGTCACTCGACGGCGAGCCTCGGGGGACAATGGACATGAGTTGTAATCCAAAACGGTTGCCTTCGGACGTTCTACATATCCTCGACCTATTCAAGCTCCTGCCAAACGTCGCCAAAGTACAAATACATCTACCTGTTTCCCTAAACGAGGATGTGAGCCTGCAAGAGTCGAAGCGAGACACCGAGGACGTGATGATGCAGATCAAGTCACTTGATCATGCACATCAGAAGTTGGTCATCAAGACCATTGAAGAAGCCATAGCAGAGAACGAGGAAGACTTGAAATACGTTGATGGCAGCAACTCCCATGACAAGCTGGATAGACTGTGCGGATACGGTCACTGGATTTCTAACCCTCATTTCGACATCTTCGAGAAGGTATGGCCACATAGAGACTCCGTTTTTGAGTGGGAATATAGACCACGCTCACAATACATCGGCGATGAGAGTCTCGAGAACGCTCCTTTGGATTATGTCGACCCCTATGACAGCGACGACTACTATTAAGAGACAGCTCCAGATGGACCTGCGTGACTGCGTACAACCCCTTCCACGCTTGTAGCGTATTCAAGGTTCTCAGCAGCCGCCACCCATATCGGAGTTGGGAGGCTATGCTTGGGGAAATGGAGGGAGAAGCTGGAGGATGTGAGAGCAGTATTGAAGGAGCGGGGAGTGGGAATTTGAACGAAGGGAAGGCAGAACTGAAGGAGGAGAGGACCGAAATCTGGAGGAAGAGGCAATGAGGAACGGAGAGAGGATATATTAAAGGAAAAGAGGGCAGAATTGGAGAGGCAGGGGACCGCGATCAGGAGGAAGAGACGATCGGACTTTGGCGAAAGCACGAGGCAAATTTTGGAAGAAGGGAGGGCAGGATTGATAGAATTCGGATGGTACTCGGATATTATCTAGTCGCCGCTGCGATCCATGGTACCAGTATTGGCATGCTGGGCAAGAAACTTGGCACTCTCAGGTCTTGGTATGTGCCATCCACACCGCAATAATGACTGCCACCATCACTCCGAGAGTCTTGGCCAGGTTGACAGCCGCGTGTCTGTACTGCGGCTTTCTCCTCTCCGCGATCCGCTTCGCAAACGAGGGGGGCGCATTACCGCTCGGGAAAGCCTTTTCCGGCACCGGTTTGTCGAGGAAAGCGCACAAGGGTTCCCTTTTGCCATGATTAGCATCAATTGGGACGTCCTCAAACACTTCACCATAAAGTATCGAAAGCAGGAGAGCGAGGCAACACACCAGCCATGAGTATGTCAAAGCTCAAAGGGCAAGCCAACCTTAGCGTTCGGATGCGCCTTGATCAGTTCCTTGCCAAACATATTACACCGCGCATCGGTGACAGCCCCGTAATTCCCAACCAGCTTGTCAAAGTCCTCCACACCAACCTCCCGACCAGGATCGTCGGCCTTGGCATCCCACAGTCGAGTCCAAACCATGCTTTGGTCACCCTTGACCTCGAAGCCATGATACACACTCTTGTATCCCAGATCCTCAAGCGCAAATTTCAGCGACTCGGTACCGCAGCGAGAAAAGCCCAGGGCTAGGACTTGCATCGGGCTGTCCCGGGCGGTATTCCGTTCATCGAAGGGATAGATCCACTGCAGGAGCAACTCGACCGGGTGGAAGAGAGTCATTGTTGACAATGGTATGAGAGGTCAGTGTTGATGAGATGTCAACAGGACTAAACGAGCTAGATTATATGGAGAGAGAGGGGGGACGAAACTTTCCAGTTGTAACATTCCGGAGGCTTTTATGAGGGAGTACAGAGTAAGTAGTACAAGCAGTCATGGGGAAGACGGATGAGTAATCCACATAGCGCCAAACAGTTCCGGAAGTGCACGGGTTTGGACATAGGCAAAGCGCGAGCGGAGATTACATTATTATTATCAGAAGATCACGAGATCACTTTGAACACAGACACGCTTCGACCGTTCATATAGCAGTCAAGAATGGCACTGTCCGCTTTCCAGCTGCCCGGCTACACAACATACCAGCCAAGCAACCGCACTTATGAGAAAAATATCGGTCAAACACGTACGAGAATCATACGCCCAAAATACTCATATCTCATAAGATTCGTACCAAGAAGCCTACTTCCGAAGTGCACTGGACCCCAATTCCTCCTCTTCCAACACCGAACCGGAGCGGAAACCCCCTTAGTATAGACCGTGAATAAAAAAAACACACATCAGTACAGCTCCCACCTACTCCCTCATCACCTTGTCCCCCATTCCACAACTTCCCTCTCCTCTACATCCCCGGACCCTCTCGCGCCCCCCTCGATCCTTTGTCCCGCGTTATCCAAAAAGACAATCGTATCCGCCGTCCGCCTCGAGCTCTTCTTCCCGAGGGCCACCTGCTCATGCGTCTCCTTCGTCTTGACCCATCGGTCCAGCTGCGAAGTTGCGGAACCCGAGGAGGAACTGGAGGAGTGGTTCTGTGTGTGTTGGTCCTGTGTATACGGATTCTGTGTGTATTGGCTTTGTGTAGAAGAAGGATATTGGGACCTGATGGTCAAAGAAGAAAGCCGTGTCAGTTGCATTGCAATACGGAAAGGAGGGGAGGGGAGAGGCGAATGGAGGAAAAGACCGCACTAACGGCATGGCTGGCCTAGCGTTTGCACAAGTCAAGAGCTTGGATCAAGAGTGCCGAGGTTAGGGTCCTAGGCTTCTGACTGCGTCCAGTACCACTCTGACAGCTCTTCCGAGGGGATGATCGGTATTCTGGTCCGATTCCTGTGACGGAATGTCTGCTACTTTTCCTGTTCTTGGAAGTCTCAGTGGCGATCCCATGCTACTTTATATGTCTCCCCCATCTTTAGCGAATACATCCTGGCTTCCTGTTCGTCCGCGGGACATACGCAATTGACCGGTCGACGCCGAACGTCCTAGCAGTCCTAGACGCGAAAGACGCGCTCGATAGTCCTTATGGATGCCTTTGCCATCGCCTTCTAAGTGTCATGAGACGGTACTCGCGCGCCTATCTTGAGATGTCATGACAAAGCTCTGGTATCTACGTCTCGATCGAGGTTCTCCCGGTAGTCCTAGAGGCCAACGATGCGCTGGACAGTCCTTATGGTTGCCTTTGCCATCGCGTTCTAGCCACCAAAGTCCAGTTCAGGACACCACTCGAGCTGTATTTGTCTTAGCGTATCATGATGAGGCTCTCCTATCTGGGTCATACTCGCGGTCCTAGAGCCAGGTAGCCTTGTCATCCCTCCAAGAGCGTGATTGACTTTATCCGGCTCCGATGGGATAGATCCTGCAGGCTCGGGGGCCTATGAGAAGATGTGACCGCAGTAAAGGAGTCATAGGGCGAGTAAAGATCAGACATCAAGGGTCAATCGGTGAGTATCATCAGGGGCGGGAACACATATGTGATTTGTCTGAGGTCATAAATTCATCGTTTCATTAGATCGCAACTAAATGGATTATACATCGAATCTTAGTCCTTGAGGAAATGTCTTATAGATCATGAAATCCAATCCATCGAAACGATAGCTTTCAGTCATTCTTGAAAGACAGCACAAGAAACTGAACGCCTATTTTCTACGAGACCTATGTCGATCAATTCCATCATCGTCCACTCTCCTTGCCGATAGTCTACTTTGGTCTATAGCGACACTTCTTTCTGACGAGGACATCCGATGTCTCTTCTTGAGATGCGGGCCTAGGTTGTCAGATCTCATGGGGGGCTTCATACGACATTCTGGATGGGGACATTTGAGCCCTGCATTTTTATTGTGTCTTGGGGACGTTCGTTGATGACGCCGAAAATTGGATCTGGCGTCTTGTGGGCTTCCCGTGAAGTCCTTGGAGCATTCTCGACAACTTAAAGTTGAAGTTGTTGGAGTGTTGGGAGTTAGCGGCGTTGGGGAGATGGAGGCTTGAGACAAAGTGGTCAGCGAGGTAGGCCGGGTACTGACTTCGGGTCTCTCTGAATCAGCCGTAGACCTCCAACGCACGTCGCTGATTTGAGAGGAGTCGAGGGTCCTAGCTCCATTATTTGTTGGATACCAAGGAGCAGGCGAATCGGAAAGTGGCTGGGTCGGACAGATAACTTCGAGCTCACTGGTATCTGGCCAAAGCTCGAAAGTGGATTCAAGGGCGTCGGGTCTGTCCTGCAATTTCGACATTTCCAGTACTCGGACCAAGTCGACGATATAATGATCATTACGCCAGGCTGGATACCAGTCTGAGTCCCTCGACGGCAGCGCTTTGTTACATTGGTTTGTGACGATATCGTGATATCTTTCAAACATTTCAGGTGACTCAGAGCTCCACTGGAATTTGTTAGCTGAATGAGTAGCAAATTGATGAAGACTTGCATCTTACTCTACCACTGGTATTCAAGGTGACCTCGACTTCACGCAGGTCCTGCAATAACCCACAAGCTATTCGGAACTCGGTATCAACCACTATCCTTCGAAGAGCTTCTACGCCGCGCTCATGCTGGAGCGGGCGAGTGATATGCTCGATCAAGTGCTCGATTTCGTCGGTCCGAGACTGGGCAAATACGGCCAATTCCTTGGGCGGATATTGAGCATTCCTTTCACAAATATCTGCCTCCTCGAAACCTACAAGTCGGTTAGAATGGCCATCTTAAATCTTGAATGGAATAAGTGTTGGCTTGCCGTCGAGGAAACTAATGCAACCTTTGAAAACCTCACTGTTTCTTAATACATCCAACATGTCTGCCTGGTTGCTACAGTTGAGTGACTCCCGGGAGATGCTGCTTCCGACGCTTGCATGGCGACTGCTATTGAATAACAGGGTAGGCTGAATCTTAGGTAGCCACGACCAACGATTCATAACCTTCAGAAACAAGATCTTGTCGTCCTTGTCGGAAAGCGCATGCTGCCACTGAAGAGCGTCGTAATAAAAAGTATCCAAGCCATAAAAATCCTGCTGATAGTGTAAGAGAAACGCGGCAGCAAATGCCAGATGTATAAACGCAAAGACGTCATCGAAGGTCTGTCCCAATCTGCCACGAAAGTATTCCCTCAGGGTCCCGATGCCTTTTTCGAACAAATCACATGGCGGCAGTGCAGCACAACGGAACCAGAGCTCAGAGTCTAATTCCAGCCTCTGCATCCAATCTTTGTTCACAGCGCCAACCAATGCCTGGAGTGTTTGGACCTGCACCTGCTTTGGTGCAGAATGAGTCACCAGGAGGGATCCATGATCGAAGCAATGTGGCAGAGACTTTGTAGAAGATGGTGAATCAAGAGCATTAGATAGGTGAGGTCGGCGTTGATGCGCTGAAGCAACCTCACTTTCGGAGCCTGCGGCTTCGCCATTGCTCCTTTGTCCTTCTCTGCTCTGGCTCTGCGGTACCATCTCCGGCGTCGGCCTGGACCTCCGAGGGTTCAAGATTGCCTCCTCACCTCTGGAGCCCGATGAAAAGATGTTGCTTCTGGACAAAGGTAATGGCGGAACGTCCATATGCCTCCTACTCCACAAGGCGACGCTAGGCTGTCTTTCTGAGCAAAACGACGAGTTGAACGGATAGTGCGGGTCACCATCGCAGGTCGGCGATGGCAGCTTGCAGAGACCATAATTAGCAGCCATCGTGTCGATCGAGGTAAAAAGGGGCACTGGTATCTCTGGTCTCACTGTCTCCATGCTCCCACTCATGAAGCTCGATTCCATGTCAATATCCCGTGCCGGAGGTGCAGAAGAAGATACAGAGGGCAAGAAAGCGGTGGTCCACGACTTTGAGGCTTCGGCATGTGTCATATTTGACTTTATCATTGACTCTAATAAATCGTCGACACCACTCCAATGGATAGGGCCAGCCAAGTCTGTCGACTCCATTCTCATGAGCGAAGGCTGAACACAGACGGACGACGGGTCAAACTCTTTGATTTGGAACGGACGATAGAAAGAATGGGAATGCTGTTGGGCCAGGATGTCCTTTGGCCATGGGGCTCGAGACGCTGTCGAGACCGCTGGGTGCGAGACTGGACGCTGAATTGGAAGACCCGGCTCAGAGCTGTTGCGAGCAGAGCGTGTATGCTCGAGATCTTTTGTTGTCGATCCTGAAGGCGATGAATCAAGAGATATCCCACCGCTGGTGGCGTCTTTATGATGCTCTACCCTTCCCGGATCTGGTCCCTCGCGGGTGAATGTGGATGAACAGGCAACTCCTGACGGTGAAGACACAAAGTTCACTGTTGGGCTTGTTGGAGAGAAGTTGTATGACCAGGGGGAGGAAAGTCCAAATTTTTGAGAGCTTGGGGAGACGTCATTTGAGGCTGGAGGGGTAGCAGTAGGAGCAAGGGTACTTGGAGAGACAGTATTCCAGAATGTATAAGGATTCCTTGGTTCGTTTGGACGAGTTCGATTCACGGACGAGGCATCGCCAGCCAGTATCTCATCTCTCATAACTTTGCTGTCGGTCGAAGATGAGCTCGTGAGTGATGGCTCGTGTCGCCTCTGGGACTCCCAGATCGAATCGTGAGCCGTCCAAAATGTGTCGGTCGACGCATCTGTAGGGGCACATCCCACAAACTCGGAATCAGTATAGGAGACAGACGTCCCGCTTGACAACCTAGGATTACGGCTCACGACTGAAAAGCGTTCGGAAGAACTGGTCGTTAATGGCGAATTTGGAACCGACGGCAACGGCCCGTTCAAGTTTGAAGACTTGCGCTGAGGCGGCGTGGGTAACGGTCTAATCCGGTCGACTGGTTTGTGCCTTGGTGACGATGATATTATTGTCTCAACGCGAGGAGACTCCAACGATGCCCCGGAACTGTCGCTACTCTCTCTCGAAATGTCAGTAGACACAAAGATTGTGCATCTTTTACTATCGCTCTGTGTATAGGGATCCGGGTTCGCCATAGATGTATGCCTAGGCCCGGGGCTTGGTATTCTGCAGAGATCATACGCCTCGGAAGCTTCCTGATCTACAGATGAGATCGTGCTCCCTGTTTCATGGGTATCAGGCCAGCCATTGCTGGATCGCTTAGCGGTAGACAAACGAATATCAATGGCTGGAGTTCCGTGCGTTTTTTGCCACAAGCTTGGCCGACCAGATTCGCTGTTGATCGGATGTAGAAGCTCTGGTGAGTCTTTCCGCTTGGACGACGCCAAAGAAATTTTCGGGGGAGATGAGGGGTCGTACATCTCGTGTGAGAGTGCTGAAAAAGGGTCGCACATCTCGTGAATTGGCCCTACGACGCTTTGGCGTGATGCTAGCTCCGGAAGACAGACGTTAGGGTCACGTATTTCGGCAACTCGGACGCCTGGGTATCTTGCTTTTTCATCTGACCATCCCGTCAACATAGGACAGTCGTTGGCCCGGGACGAGTTTAGGGCCGATCCAGGCGATTCGAATCTTTGATTGTCAAGACCTGTGCCAAGCTCTTCCTTCCATCCTTGCCGCATGCCTCCATCCAAGGCTCTTTGCTCCTTCAGTTCGGCTTTTGGAGCATGGGTTCGTTAGTATTATTGTACTTCAATGGTGAAGAAGCCGAGTACAGACCTGATCTTTTCTCAGAGCGTCTGCGACAGACCCAATTGAGAAACCTTTCAGCCAGCTTATTGTCTTTGTTTCGAAACCTGACTTTCGGATCATTCTCGCAGAGTTTGTTACACTTTAGGAAACGTTCGGGGCGCTTATGGAACGGGCACCAATACCACGCAGTCGAAAGGCGAGGGCAATCGGGAACGTGACGAGCTGCTAATTCTCTACTGTCAAAAGTCTTGCGACACCAGATCAAAGGGCACATCCTGAGCTCGTCTTCTTCTATGTCTGGATTGGGGGAACGGTCGATTTCGACCCATTCGAGGAAATTGCGTAGACATCCATATTCAGAGAGGGAGTCTAAGATCCTTCTATCGACACCGTCGCGGATGAGATGTCTCAAGCTGACATATAGGTGTCAACATGTATTTCGTTTAGGATCAAAGGACTGAGCACTCACGCACAAGGTGCTTCGCGGGCAGAAATGGGTGTTGTACCATTCATCGTGCGCGGTAGACCCAACATGGGTCTGGAGGTAGTTGTTAATGATCTGCGAGGATGTGTGACTGTATGCCCACTTACAGGCAAGGTGTCTCGCAAACAGAATCAGGAGTTGTACCACACATTGTGAATTGTAAACCGAAAATGTGTTAATACCTTTTTCAAAAGTCTGAGATTGTAAGAAAAATTGACTTGTCTAGGCCGAAGAATGAGAGCGCCTTGAAAAAGTACGGACCGCTGAGAAAATGTTGGGGAAGAAACAAGTTAAGAAGTTGGGGCTTCTGACATTGCTCCACACTAGGGTCATTCTTGTGGAGTGACAGCTCAATGAGGGTAAAGCCACATGAAAAAACGGTAGGCAGGGTGCTCTCGGCTTAGGACTCTGACGGCATTGAGACTCCCACCGAGATAGCTGCTAAGAACGGCATCTGCGAGTAGGAGGGACTCTAAGGACTGCAAATCTTATGCAAGCGACAGCCAATGCCATTCTGCGCGATTTCTCGGAAAAGCAACGACGTCCTATAGAGCTGGTGGTTTCCAAGAAAAGGCCTAGCTAAGGACATTGTTCTATGTGTCCTTAGCCTCCACCGCATGATCGGATAGGCGACGCCGAACACACAGCAATACATGATCTATTGTGCGGCCCAACGCAAGCTTCATGTTGGCAGTAAATTGGCACTGTCGGCCTCCCCCGAGCTAAACTGTATCTATCAGTCCTAATATCTAACACGTCTGGGCCTTATACGGCCACAAGGCCCGCGCCTAGGCACGAGGTACCTCATGTAGCCTATGGTCTCTCACCAAGTCCCTGGCGCAGACACTGGCTTGTGCAATCGACGCGTTCAGTAGGACTTTTTTCAGGCTAAAAAGCAGGCAAAGTAGGCCGGCGATCGATTATGCATCGCTGGTATCGATTCGCTGGCCTACATGACACTAACGCAGGTCGTTTGAGCGGCGACGCCTTGCTTTGCGGGATCCCACAGGCCAAGAGAGCCGGGTTTGGAGTGACAGATGTGGGACCGAAGGTCCAGGTTGCCAGTGACACCCCTGCAAGTCCTGGAATGGCTAAGGACGGCTACCTAGATCTGGTCAGTCCTAACGGCTTTATCGAGATCCATAGGCTCAAAACACAGCATGAACTCACCACAACACCTTCGCTTTCCCTTTGCCTATTTTCTGGAGGCCATACATTGGAGGGGAAACAGCCGGAGCCACTGGTGAGGACTTCGCACGCCAGGACGGCCAGCAGAGCACGGTATGGGAGCCGGCCGTTGGCGCTGTCAAGAGGTCAGCTGCTAAGCTGTTCGGGGAAGTGGGGGTTCGCATGACTAGATGGGCTGATCACCAATTGTGACAGCCTTATGGTGTTTTTGCTCCTGGAAAAGTCGTGCAAAACCCGGTCTACTCAATGAGATGAAGAACAGCAGCATGAGCAGATTTATGTGCATCCAGCGAAACTACTCTCTGGACTGTGCCATGAGTAGTAGATGCTCGAGGTTACATCGCGGTATGTAGGATTGGACAGTGTAGCCAATTGGCTCCGAGCCCCCACCTACCTGCATACAAGACGCAGTTGCCAGTCCAAAAGGGCGCACCGACCGCATGAACCATCGTCACAAGGCTACTCGTACATTGGTGGGCCTAGATCGTAGAACGGTACGAAAGGCAATGAGACGATGATATGAATCTCCCTTTTCCTTGACCAAATTCCTGTCGTACGTACTTTTGCATTGCATCGCATCATGCGTGGGAATCCAACGATGAATTTGGCTCATGCCAGATGGATGTAGAGGTAGTGAGTGAGTAGTGAGGAATGTAGTAAGGGAAATGCTTGCCTTCCAACGGCTACTCCGTGAGGACATGGAGCGATCAGTAAGCCATTTGTGATTGTTATCTGACAATTGCCTCGGTCCCTCAGAGCGTGCTAAGCTCATTCTTCGCTGGCTAATCCCCTTCGGGTTAGCCCCTTACTTTACTACGCTCCTACGGAACCTTATTTTTATTTTTTAATTTTATTTTTTTACCTTTCCTTTTCTTTTTTTCCTAATTATTTTTTTTTTTTTATTAATTTTATTTTTTTTTTTAATTTATTTATTTTTTAAATAAAAATAAAAAAATATTTTTTTTTTTTTTATTTTTTTTTTTTTTTTTTTTTTTATTTTTTTTTTTTTTTTTTTTTTTTTTTTTTTTTTTTTTTTTTTTTTTTTTTTTTTTTTTTTTTTTTTTTTTTTTTTTTTTTTTTTTTTTTTTTTTTTTTAATTTTTTTTTTTTTTTTTTTTTTTTTTTTTTTTTTTTTTTTTTTTTTTTTTTTTTTTTTTTTTTTTTTTTTTTTTTTTTTTTTTTTTTTTTTTTTTTTTTTTTTTTTTTTTTTTTTTTTTTTTTTTTTTTTTTTTTTTTTTTTTTTTTTTTTTTTTTTTTTTTTTTTTTTTTTTTTTTTTTTTTTTTTTTTTTTTTTTTTTTTTTTTTTTTTTTTTTTTTTTTTTTTTTTTTTTTTTTTTTTTTTTTTTTTTTTTTTTTTTTTTTTTTTTTTTTTTTTTTTTTTTTTTTTTTTTTTTTTTTTTTTTTTTTTTTTTTTTTTTTTTTTTTTTTTTTTTTTTTTTTTTTTTTTTTTTTTTTTTTTTTTTTTTTTTTTTTTTTTTTTTTTTTTTTTTTTTTTTTTTTTTTTTTTTTTTTTTTTTTTTTTTTTTTTTTTTTTTTTTTTTTTTTTTTTTTTTTTTTTTTTTTTAAATTTTTTTTAAATTTTTTTTTTTTTTTTTTTTTTTTTTTTTTTTTTTTTTTTTTTTTTTTTTTTTTTTTTTTTTTTTTTTTTTTTTTTTTTTTTTTTTTTTTTTTTTTTTTTTTTTTTTTTTTTTTTTTTTTTTTTTTTTTTTTTTTTTTTTTTTTTTTTTTTTTTTTTTTTTTTTTTTTTTTTTTTTTTTTTTTTTTTTTTTTTTTTTTTTTTTTTTTTTTTTTTTTTTTTTTTTTTTTTTTTTTTTTTTTTTTTTTTTTTTTTATTTTAAAAATTTTTTTTTTTTTTTTTTTTTTATTATATTTTTTTTTTTTTATTTTTTTTTTTTTTTTTTTTTTTTTTTTTTTTTTTTTTTTTTTTTTTTTTTTTTTTTTTTTTTTTTTTTTTTTTTTTTTTTTTTTTTTTTTTTTTTTTTTTTTAAATTTTTTTAAAATTTTTTATAATTTATTAATTTTTTATTATTTTTTTTTTTTTTAATTTTTATTTTTTTTTTTTTTTTTTTTTTTTTTTTTTTTTTTTTTTTTTTTTTTTTTTTTTTTTTTTATTTTTTTATTTTTTTTTTTTTTTTTTTTTTTTTTTTTTTTTTTTTATAAAAAAAAAAAAAAAAAATTTTTTTTAAAAAAATATAAAAATTATTTTATAGAAATTTAATAATAATAAAATTTTTTTTATTAAGAATATAATTTAACTCTTTAAGATCTTATATTATATACTCTTTATAATTCTATATTAAATTATTATTTTAAAATAATATATATTTAAATAAATTAAAATCGTTTAAAAAAAATTACTACGATAGAAGATATTATAAAATTTATATTACTAATTAATATATTATTTTTATTTCTTTTCGATATTTTAATACTTTTTATTATGAGAATATAGTTTTTTTTATATTTTTTTATAAATAATTATTATATCTTTCTAATTAGATCTTAATATACCTCTCTTTATATATATATATTTATATATTATATAGATTAAATTAATTTTATAATAATAAAAGTAGATTAAAAATATATAATAAGCGATTAGAGTTTAATTTAACTTAGAGCTAAGACTAAAATTCGATTTAACTTAGAAAAATCTAACTTTATAAATTTAATTTATAGATCTTTACTTATAATAATTTAATATAATAATAATAACGAGTAAAGGTCTATAAATTAAGTTTATAATTATTTTTTTAATTAGAGCTATCGAGTTAATTTAATAAGCGATATCTAAATATCTTTCCTTTTAATAATTATAAGATTAAACTTCGAAATTCTTAAGACATTTAAAAGCGTAATCTACGCTTTATAATTTAAAAAAAAATCTTAAGATTTTAATAGAAAATAGTAAAGTTATTAAATAATTGAAAGTAGACTCGATAGAATAAGAGACTTTAATAATTGCGAATACTAATTTATTTATTCGCGATAACTTAATCGATTTAATTAAAGGGCGTAGTAACTTTAAATTTATAATTAATTATATATATAAATTTAAGATTTTATAGCTTAGCTCTATCTTATTCTATTATATATACTAATAAAATATATTATATAATTTATATCTTTTAAAATATAGATTTTAATATATTAATATAAAGTAGATTATATTTTAATAAGAAGTAGACATTTTAATATTACGTCGAATTTAGCGGATTTATAAAAACTATATTTTCTAATAAACTACGTTTTCTAGTAATAATAGATATTTTTTTTTTTTTTTTTTTTTTTTTTTTTTTTTTTTTTTTTTTTTTTTTTTTTTTTTTTTTTTTTTTTTTTTTTTTTTTTTTTTTTTTTTTTTTTTTTTTTTTTTTTTTTTTTTTTTTTTTTTTTTTTTTTTTTTTTTATATTTTTTTTTTTTTTTTTTTTTTTTTTTTTTTTTTTTTTTTTTTTTTTTTTTTTTTTTTTTTTTTTTTTTTTTTTTTTTTTTTTTTTTTTTTTTTTTTTTTTTTTTTTTTTTTTTTTTTTTTTTTTTTTTTTTTTTTTTTTTTTTTTTTTTTTTTTTTTTTTTTTTTTTTTTTTTTTTTTTTTTTTTTTTTTTTTTTTTTTTTTTTTTTTTTTTTTTTTTTTTTTTTTTTTTTTTTTTTTTTTTAAATTTTTTTTTTTTTTTTTTTTTTTTTTTTTTATTTTTTTTTTTTTTTTTTTTTTTTTTTTTTTTTTTTTTTATTTTTTTTTTTTTTTTTTTTTTTTTTTTTTTTTTTTTTTTATTTTACCAAAAAAAAATTCCTGTAACAAACCAATGCCCAAGATGGTGGGTATGATAGCTATTGTGCATGGTACCACACCTCTGATTGGGGCCTGAACTGTAGTTGTCCTTGCTCTGCCGGTGTCCATGATGCCGTGCTCGAGATGTGGACGGGGTTGTGTTGGAAAAAAATTCTTCCGGCAGGCAGGGCAGTTGTTGTTGGCCTGAAGCCAGGTGACTATGCATGATGATCCTACCGGATGACCGCATGGCAGATCAACCTCCCACTCGACTACCCCAGTTAAAGTGTTCAGCGTGTTGTAGTCTTCTAGACAGATCATGCAGTTTGCGCCTTGGTCGGAGCGAACGCGGTTCTCGGTTGTGCTGAGAAGATGGGTGAGGAATTCTCGAGACATGGTGCGATAGAGAGGATTTGGTTCTTCGAGGGTAGCTAGAGATAGGGGAAGATGTGTTGTTGAAACGGTGAAGAGAGGCGAGTTGTAGGTATAAGTAGGTGATGTTGAGGGGAATGCCGAGGGGTTGACAAAGACTTGGTTAGGTGTCTGGTAAGTAAAGACACAATGAGTTGGTCTGAGAACAATCAATTCTTGGAAGCCTGCGAAAGAAAGAAGGACCTTGTCAGCATTACAACGAACGAACGCTACGGCTTTGTTTTTTCACAAATACCTCTGTATCCTGTGTGTTATAAAATCTAGAACGCACCAATGAGGCATCTCAACACAGTAAATTGGTGTTCGTAGGTCCCGCTTCTCGCAATAACCACACCAACTAATCACAAAAGCGAAAAGGCAAGCCCCGACACCAACATGGGCTGCACACACTCCCGCCCTTCCCCCAAAGAGACTCAAAGACCTATCCCCGAGAAATCACGTTAAGACACGAGAAACCTCGGCGGATAGTCCGGGAACGATCCTGATTTGAAAATATTCAAGTATGCCAAGTTTCCAATTTTACGAGTAAAATATTTCTTACTTCCAGGTAGGGCAGGGGAGGAGGGACAATGTGTAGAGTGATTGAGTACTTCTGGGGGCGGTGGTTGAGACGGTGGAGGTTTTACTGCTGTCCCAATACGAATTTGCGAAAAGTACGCCCCAAGCATTCAAGTAGAGTAAAATACAACATCGATCGAGGTTATACTTGAAGATTCCTGAAGATTAGCTACCTATCTGTTCTCAGAGCAAGCAACGACGAGAAAAAACTCGTCTCAATACACGAAGACAGTCCAGTTGGCCAATCCACTCGTGCCGACCTGTGGTGCACTTATTAAACAAGCTTGAGTTTCACGTAATAAGACTTCAAGGCTACCCACAATCTGGACCTCAAGTCTCCCATCACATGCACTCACTCCTCTGATTCTGGCATGTCTGAAAAGATAAACGTGTTGCTCGGAGGGAACAAACAGTACTCTGGCACGTCAACCCATGCTCAGTCGGCGGACCCATCTTCATTGACTATATCTTGCGCAAGAACAGCCTTACCGTTGATATCTTGTTGAAGATCCGCGACGATTGTCCCAAAAGATTGAAGATATCGCTTTGGAAAAGACAAAGACGTGGTGATCAACATCCCGAGCGCTTCTATGTCTTCAGACGGCTGAGTGATATGGCAGGCTGACGGGGACTATTCTACCATGACCATCCACTCCACATACGGTGTGACACGCTCGAGGGGAAATAATCTGTCTCGAGTAACTCGTCGTTTGGGACGGACGGAGATCAGTGCATTCAGCAAGCTCTGAGTGAGGGACGTCTACTTGCTGAGCTATATCCTGGAACTCCAGAATCCTAAGCACAGCAGGCGCTGGGATCTTGTCTTCCACTAAATGCTCCCCTACTGGATTATCGTGCCATTCGTTCCCTACTTTTCGGTATTTCGACGAAAAACTGCTGTCTTCTTACTGGTTCTAGAAGTAGTCAAAGTAGTCCACATACATTTCGCCCCGAAAAGGAGTTCCCGTCTATTGAAGACCAGGTCCCAAAGAAGGGAGCTGGTAGTCGATAGCCAGAGAAGATCTCATAGTTCAAACCCCAATAGCATGGGCTACTCAAGCGGTTGAATGGGACTGGCTGAGTCTACCAGAGGTACAGGAGAAGATGTACTTCAATAGAACATTTCAGTTTGACCAATAAAGAACACAAGGAGAGGCACGCGAAACACAGCGGTCTTCTTCTCGATTTCCCGGGAGGCGGGGCCGGAACAATCTTTCCCCGTAGAGTAGATGCCAAGACATCTGAATATTGGGCGGCTTTATTACACCTTTGCGCCATGTATTCCCACAGCAAACGGACTATGCGCCCCTACTACTCGAAGTCCGTCCATTGGATCGAAGAATTTACTGCCCATGGTTCCCCTTGATCCCACCAATCTTTGGTTTCGGGCAGGCCAAGCCACGAGGTCTTAAAACAAAACAACTATGGACTACCTTCGAGATGTCCTCCGGACAAACCGAGGAGTATCATTGCCACTGACTGCACTTTTGGCTTTGTCCACTGTTATCGGCATCGCTGTTTTGGTAATTTTACCCTGATGGAGAATGACCGCTGCTTGCTGACGCTCTATAGTTTTACCTCGCCCTATTCATCGTCGCCCCCATACCACGCGCTCCTTTAAGATCAGAGAAGACCTACAGAACTATCGAGCCTGGCGAGTACTCCGGAGAGGCCAAACCACTACCTTGCTGGCAAGATAAATATAATGCACAGGGAGAGGCCGCACGGCGCAGAGGGGACTCTACAGAGACAGATCTGCAGGTCGAGGAACCCGAGGTCTTCATGTCTCTCGTTGTACCAGCGTTTAATGAGGAGGAGAGACTCGGGGTGATGCTGACTGAGGCCGTGGAGTACTTACAGCATGCGTACGGCAACGAAGCTCCTAAGATGCAGGCCAATGGCAATCGCCCAAAGCGAAAGGACGCCACGCAGGCAGTTTCAAATGGCTACGCGGCGTCAAACAGCGGTCGGCTTCCAGGCTGGGAAATCTTGGTAGTCTCAGACGGCTCCACAGACAAGACCATCGACACGGCATTACAATTTGCGAGAGACTTGGGAGGAAGAAGTGCATCCTGTATCCGGGTCATCAGTCTACACGAGAACCGAGGCAAGGGAGGAGCGGTCACACATGGGATGCGTCATGTCAGAGGGCAATATGCCATCTTTGCTGATGCGGACGGTGCCAGCAAGTTCGAGGACTTGGGCAAGCTTGTCAGGGAATCTAAGAAGATTGAAGATGCTGAGGGTAGGGGTGTGGCTGTTGGGTCTAGAGCGCATCTTGTGGGAAGTGAGGCTGTCGTCAAGGTTTGTCGAGTGGCCGCATTAGAGATGAAACGAACGGTGCTGATGACCAATCTGTAGCGCTCATTTCTTCGAAACCTGCTCATGCACTCCTTTCATCTCCTCCTCCGCCTCCTCACGCCTCCTGCCACAGCCGCTATCCGGGACACCCAGTGCGGCTTCAAGCTTTTCTCTCGTTCATCACTACCATACATAATACCATACATGCACTCGGAAGGTTGGATATTTGACGTCGAGATGTTGATGCTTGCGGAGTCAGCTGGTATACCGGTTGCGGAAGTACCCATTGGCTGGCAAGAAGTTAAAGGCAGTAAGCTGAACGTGCTCTGGGATAGTTTGGGCATGGCTTGGGGATTGGCTGTTCTTCGAGCAGCATGGGGTCTGGGAGTCTACAGGCGCTCGTGAAAATATAGAGGGGGGAAAAGCATAGGTAGAGCATCGGTAAAGGCCACTTTAAACGGGGCCTGGAGTTTGGGATTCGTTGGGAATTAGACCATGCAAGAGGACATCTACGTCTCACAGAGATATGCTTCAGAGGTCCATAGCATTCGGCCTTGCGATTCTGCGGTGTCTTTCACCACATCACTATCTCCCACATTGTCTTGAAAGTGAATACAGGATTGGGGTGTTTCACCACCACCAACGCATCCAACTCAGCGCAACAAACAACTGGGATGTGAGTTGCAGCCACGACGCAACCGACTCATCCAGCTCAGCCAAAGCCACACTCTCTCACAAGGCTTCCTGCGAACAAGGCTCACCACACCACCGACTGCTGCATCCTAACCTTGTCAACCAGATCCAACGTTTCCCTGATGACAAAGTCCGGGTCATCCCTCTGGATGAAATGGCCGCAGCCCTTCGCAACGATCGGACCCTTGCTCTTCTCACGATCTGTGACGTGCACAAGGCCCTGATTGTACTTATGCCACATTGGATTCATATACCTCATCGACAACCCAATTGGCGTACCCATGGTCCTCAAGCTCTCATTCGCAAAGGCTTCGAAATCATGCCCGACGACCGTCACCCAAGGTTTCCCGCTTTGATTTCCTAGCATGGGCCCGTCACTGTGAGGTAGCAACCTAGCTAGACTGCGCCTGCTGAGACCTTCTCTATTCACCACATCCGGCCTGAAAATAGCTGCGAACTTCGCCCTCTGCTCCCTCAAAACCTCGACAGTCACATCATCTGGCAGCTCTCGCTTATCGAACCCCGGCGCATCAGGATCAGGCCAGAAATCGAAATCAGAATTCGCCATAATAGAATCCAGAAACAACACCGCAGCCACCAGATACCTCTCAGCATACAATCTCGCGATCGCGCAGCCAATCGAGTTAGCCACGAGCACGACACGCAACTTCTCCCCACTCAACAACTTCAGGCCTTGACTGAAATGCTGAATCAGATAATGCAGGTCCTCAGCGGCATCCTTACAATCATGACCATGACCCTGCTCCCTGCCTTGATCTAAGGGATCGCGATCTTCCGTCATTCCGACGCCGTAGCGGTCGTAGGCTAGCATTGACGGGAATTCTGGGGACGCGAGACTTTTGCGCTGGTGGATGATGCCAGATATGACGGGGGTCCAGGAGGATTTGTCGGTCATGAGGCCGTTTAGAAAGACAACAAGGACCGCAGGATCGGTGCCAGAGACGTAGGAGCAGGCGATGGCGGCGGTGGGTTTGTGGGGAAGGATCACTGTTGTTGCAGTGATCTCTTTGGGGATGGCGACAGCTTGGAGGGGTACTGCCATTTTGAAGGGAGTGATCTAGCATTCACTCTCCCACCATTAATCGGTTGTTGTCTGTTGTTGCCAGAGAGGGTCGATATTCATATACAGAGAACGCGAGTCCATTCTCGAGGAAAGAGGATACTTATCAGCTGGCGTAGCTTAAGGCGTACTGCCGCTTCGTGAACCAGTCTCACGTCAGCAACGAGAGTAAGTAAAAATGTAACCGACGGCTGCAACACAGTCTTCGATCATGGAGGATGAGGCCTTCTCATCAGAAATGATGAAAGAGTATCGTGATAGACCCGAGTCACATGAAAGCGGTCAGGCAACTTTCGGCACTAGCGACGATTCCGTCTTATCGCCGCCTAGAGTACGAGTACATGTAACTTCCACCTCCCCGCCATAAAACATCTTGCACAAGCATCAACAGCGACATCAGTCCTCTACCCATTTCCAAACATCCTTCCATGAGACATACGCAACATGAACTTAATCCACTCAACCCTCGACACTCTCCGCGACCGCTGGGCCCCAATCTCGCACACCTCCACCTTCCGCACCACGGGCCAAGTGACACCCGAAGAATTCGTCCACGCCGGCGACTACCTCGTTTACAAATTCCCCACCTGGTCCTGGTCCGACGCCTCGACTCCTTCCAAGCGCGTCACCTACCTGCCTCCCACAAAACAGTTTCTCATAACGCGCGGCGTGCCATGTCACAGGAGACTCGACGAGAATTTCGCGGGCGATGCGGGGCAGGATGAGGCGATGGTGCAGGATGGATTTGCGGCCGGAGGGGAAGGAGGAGGAGGGGCAGGTGGGGAAGATGACGGATGGTTGCGGACGGGCGGGTTGGCTGCGAGCCAAGAGGCGAGGATGAGGGATGTGCGGACTGTGGATGAAAGCGGGAATGTAGGGGAACGGGAAGAGGAAGAGGAAATACCGGATATGGAAGACGAAGACGACGATGAAGAGGCTATAATCCGGGACCCGAAAGCCAGCGGTACTACTGCGTAAGTCCTCGCTCTCCTACCGAACCCCTCGTCGACAAGGCCAAGGCAAGTACGCATCAGCTGACTCAGTCAACATCCACCACAGACCCCTCCGAACCTACACAGTCTACATAACTTACACCCCCTACTACCGAACCCCCCGACTCTACCTATCCGGCTACTCCTCGTCCTCGCACCCGCTGTCCCCACACCTAATGATGGAAGACATAGTCGGCGACTACGCTGATAAAACCGTGACACTCGAGGACTTTCCCTTTTTCGACAACTCAGTGAAAATGGCGTCCATACACCCGTGCAAACACGCCAGCGTCATGAAAGTGTTGCTCGACCGTGCAGACGCGGCGCTGAAGATACGGCTGGAGAAGGTGCGGAGAGGGAATGGCGGTGGAAAGGGAGCGGTAGGGCAGGGGAAGGTGGAGAGCGGGATGGAAGGGTTGGTGGACGAGATGAATGCGACGCAGATTGCAGATCGGAGAGGCCATAGCAGTGGGGTAGCTGCCGCGGGCGGAGGAGGCGGTGACGAGTGGGAGGTCCTGCAGCATGAGGGTGGGGTCTCGGAAGAAGACGAGGTGGCGATTAGGGTGGATCAGTATTTGGTTGTGTTTTTGAAGGTAGGATCCCTACATCCTCACTCGCCCCATCTGGGGTTAGATTGGTGGTTGGGACGGCTGACATCTGCTCTAGTTCATGGCCTCGGTGACGCCAGGGATCGAGCACGATTTCACAATGGGAGTCTAGGTCTAGCCTTCTGCCAGCACTATCATTACATGGCGTTCAGCGCCGTTTACATTAGACGATCATCAAATTCTGCCGGATACTGGGAGCGCTCATTGATCAGGGAGAGACTCAAAATCATCCACACAAGACGCCACTCCAAATCCATCACCCTCCATATACTCAACGTATCCATCAACCGCATCTCCTCGATATCTACCCACTTCCTCACGCCCAGTCCTTCAATCACTTCGTCCCCCATCTCCATCCTCTTCCCCAGATACACGCACACACACCATCTTTCCCCTCCCAACCACACCCCTCCCCCAAACAAAACGCCCTCCCCAGTCCCCTTCCTCAACACCCACCCACCCAAGCGCCCAAACCACCACCCACGCCTTTCTTCCCCAAATCCCCAGGATACCGGAAGCCGACTCGGATAAACCGCAGCTGACGTTTCAGACACTACCGAGTGGCAACGAGCCGCCGAAGCGCTCGGGGCTGCGAAGAAAATGCCCCACGAACGGTGCGGGTGGAAAAAGGGCGACCGGTCGTGCATGATTGTGGCGTATTCGGTTGGATGTAGTTGCGTGCGTTTTGGTTCGTGGCTTCCGGGTGGGGAAGTTGCGCTTTGCAGCATTGCGGGGCGCGTGTAACTTTCTTTGTCTTTTCTTTTCTTTTCTTCTGTCTTTGTTCAGGCACTTGCATGAGGAGGATTCTGGAGCGCGGAGACGCTTGAGAAGGAAGAACGAATTCGCCACCTTTTTTGATTATCGTTTTTTTTTGGTTGTACAAACGGTGATAGAGACAAAATCGCCTCGCCAATCGTGCCGCAAACCCGCCATTCCAATCCCGGTGCACGCGCAACCCTCTCACCCCCTCGACAGCGGAGTCTCCGGACCTCGCTGAAGGGGCAAGTAAGTGATCGAATAACTGGGATACCCCACATCGACCGCCTCCCCCGTCTCATAATCGTCCGGCAACTGCTTCAAATTGACCGTGACCTGATTATACGCCGTGCCCCCGTCGATCATGCCGATCATATACATGGGCGTGTAAATATTGTCCATGCAGGCGTCGTACGTCGGCTTGGGCGCGCTGCCGGCGTACTGCGGGAGCCAGAAGCCCATGACGCACTCGGAGCCCGGGTCGGTCCAGTTCCACCGGCCGACGGGGACGGAGGAGGCGTTGATGGCGGCGCAGACGTCGAAGAGGACGGGGAGGCAGTTGTCCCAGGGGATGGTGAGGCCGGAGCCGTCGTTGAGGAGGAGGGCGCCGTAGGCGGAGGGGGCGGCGCCGAGGGTGATGTTGCGGTTGCAGGTGTCGCTGGGCGTGAGGGAGTCCTGGACGAGGGGCCCGCATGCGTCGAAAGAGTGGGTTGATGGGAGGGTCGCGGCGAGGAGAAGGAAGATGGGGAGTCTAAGGGAGGTAGCGTTCCTCATGTTGCTGTATTTGGTTGCATTTATTCACTCGTATTCGAGACTGGCCAGGTAGACTGCCAAGGCTTGATATTTGGAGTTTCAGAGGTATTTGGAAAGTGGAGACGTACCTTTGGACTGCGCAAAATATAAGAGAAGGGAGGGCTGACAACAGAGGGACATTCAATCGGCATGACTAGGCGTCATGCCGTGACCAATTGTCTACTGAGCGTATGGAGGATAAAGGCATATGATGCCGAGTAATCAGCAGTCGTATGCGAAACGCTATGTATGGTCTGCTTAGAGGCGATCACGCCACCATGTACGAATTACAGCGGTTATCTTCCGACGGGCGCGCATAGGCAGGAAGAAGCGATGAAGTCTTGAAAAAGTGTCGAATCACACGAAGTATATCCAAAGTCTATCAATGAATCTTGATGCGTAATAAACTGATAAGATCATAGTAGCGCTTTCTCAATGCACTATACTATTCACTCGGTTTGAAAAGGGAGAGGCTGTTGATAGAACTAGGGAGTGCTTCTGTAATTCTGGAAGGAAAGCATTTCTGGAGAGATAGAGTCGCAAGGACATAGTGACAAGGCTTGTATTGGGACACACGCAACGAAACGTCAAAAAGGAAAATATCTGACCGAAAGAATTATGAAGGTACCATCAATCTTGCGTGTATAGCCGGGCGATTTGCAACCACCGACTGACACTCCACTCCGCACTCCGGACAGTTGCCGAAAAGCGAGTTTCTGGTGTAGCTGAGACGGTGCCTGGTCGATCTTGAAAGATTAGCGAGATGAAGACAAAGATAGACTGGGAGTATGGTTACTGATTCTCAGTGTTCTCCTCAACATCAGGTTCACTAGATTCGGACTCGTCATCAAGAACACATCTCACATGAACGAGACGCTCCTCCATGTATGCAATAGCGTCAATCCGTTGGATGTGGGAGGATTTGGGAACATCTTCAGCGCTTTCGACTGCCCCGAGGCCCTCTTCTTCAACGTCGATCACCCACTGTCCCACCTTGCTGGCATCATTCGCATTCCAGGTCCCTTCTTGCCGAGGTAGGGACAGGCGAGAGAGGAGAGACAGCGCTTGCCGGCGTACAGCGGGATCTCTGCAGTTGACCACTGTCAACTAAAGAGGTACAATGACACCCAGATCCATCGAAAAGCTTGAATCTGATCTTCAAAGACCCTGGCGCTTCCACTAGTGGCGCTGAAAGCGACACAGTGCTCCTGATGTGGTCAAGATGGACGTCAAAAGCGCATTGTTCAGGACTGAGGCTCGTTCTGAGGAGGATTATAGCGGTAGTGTGATATGTTTTCAGGAGCATAGCTGCTCTGAGCTCTCTAGTGCCCATCTGTGTGCCTGATACTTGTAGCATTGTGTCGAAAGCCTGAAGCCATCGTTGCATCAAGCCATCAAGGTGATGGCGTTCCAAACCACCGCACTGGGTGGCTCCTCAAAAAGATTGACAGACTCTTTGATGTCGTATGTTGAGTGGATAAAGTCGAGTGTTGCGTTGAACAAATTGTATAGGCAGATTCGCGACTGGTTGAGGCTCGAGAACGCACTTGGGATTGATTTCGTTGCGGTATCTCCAATGAACCGGTGATGCTCGGAAAGGCCTGGGTCGACCAGTGACGTTGCTTGTAAGTTGAGGTGAAAGAACACCGGAAGGAGGTCGTCCTCAATCATGCTCGTTCCGGACGAATGAGTTGATTGCAGAAGCTGGTCTTGCTGAACTTGCCAATCATGCAAGATCTTCAGCCCGTTCTCCAAGTGCAACCCCCCTGAGTCGTAGTTACCCAGGAATGTCCCGAAAGCGATAAAGAGGACGCAGCAAATCAAGGTTGACTGGACATTCCGGTTCTCATTATCTCCAAGGTTCTGCCGGAAGTGACCGAGGGCTTGATTGTACTGCTCGATGCTGTCTTGGCGACAGACCGTTGTCTGAGCATGCGGTCGGATCAGTTCCCGCTGAACGTCGAACTTCTCTTACAGGGAGCCAAGTGCAATGACCGCGTGGCATACGGCCGGATCATCATGGCTGACCTGTAAAATCAACTGGTCCCAGAAGTTCGAGTCGAAAATATCCAGAGAACTCGACGACGGAACGTTGGCGAGAATACTCGAAGTACCTCCGTTCGTCTTGAGTGCCAGGTAGATTAGATGATGGGGTTTGAGTAGTGAGAATACTAGGAGCGGGAGATCTGTCTTTGGTCATCATAGCCTGTGGAGTGGCTCGACCAATCTGCGCGGGAAGGTAGCCATCGCAAGTCCTTCCGGTTCTGCGACATTTCAAACATGCAGGTTTCTCCTCGTCGCACTTTACACGTCGTATTCTAGGGTTAAACGGTACGAGCTTAGTCTTTGTGAAGCACTCGGACCTATGACAGCGCGGTCAAGAGTGTAACTCACTTGCAGGTAAGACACCCAGACCGAACTTTCCTTCCAGCCGCCAACTGAGAGCTGCTCATAATTAAGACGCTTCGGGTTATTAGAAAATTGGAGATCGAACAACTCGAACTGCTTGATCAATAAGAATGAGCTCATGTTTGGGGGTCTTTGAGATAATTATGGAGATCCAGCTGCAGCTTGAAGAGCAGAACTGGCCCCAAAGTGGCAAAGGGTGAGAAGAAGTCCGAGATCCTATAGTGCAAAGCAGTGACAGGCATTTTAATCCCCAGAATTAAGATGTTGCTCGATCAAAAACCCTCATTGGCTTAGCCGGACCGCAAATGATTGCTTCTTGCACACAAACAGGGCTCGGGTCACCATCAAAATCCACCAGCGATGACTAGCCAAGGATTGATACCTACCCAAAAGGCTAGGTTCAAAAGATTGTGTATGACTAGTCAATTTTACGTTTGAGGTTCGCAGAAGGTCTTGCTTCTTTCACCCTAGCGATTAGGTGCCGCTTCCGTCAACTCGTATCCGCTGGAAAGCCAATGAATGAGGTGCTGGGATAAGCGTATAACCATTGAGGGTGCTAGGGTTGCCAAGGCCTCACAGACAGAACCTACTCCTTTTCATCGCGGAGAAGAGGCTTTGCTGCGGCTGAGAGGCCATGCAAAGAGAATCTCGTGTGACTACCTCTCCAATCGTGAGACTATTGACAAAGGTCACCACGGCCCTCAACTTGTGTCGAGGAAATCTGGACCATGGAAAGCAAATTCTTCTTGAAAACAAGACCCGCTACCGAGCGTGACCACATCAGGCAGGGCAAGAAGTGTCCATTGTGGCTTGGAAGAGTGGCAAGGTCCCGTTTTCCCTTTGTTGGTGTGATGCATACCAAATCAAGGCCGTGCTGTTGTGGCATTGAAACACGTTGTTGGAGGATTGCAACTCATTGTACGTGCTATTTCACCAACTTTGCAAACGCACCAAACAGAGCTTTGCTATGGTTCGGAGCGCAACATGACAGCCTCCTCATGCAGTCCCACATAGATTACGACGCTAGGGACGGACTCCATGGCAAATGTCCTCGTGGCTCATTGGCCTTTAAGCTGTTTTTATTTGACGCTTTGCATACTTGGACTGGTTCCGAACACGTTTGCAGGCGCTTGGAGGGAGAGCCTAGAAGGAGCGAGGAAGATGGTCGAAAAACAACAACTCCAGGAAAGCGGATTCCGCCGCTCATCAGGCTAAGCACAAGTAACAGCTCTGTCTGGACAGGAAATTTCGCGTACTTGACAGAAAACTTTATAGAGATGTAACTCGAGGCCCAGAGGTCTTAGGATATTGATCAAAGTGATCCTCCCGTATATGAACGGTCTTGTGGAAGTGGTTCACTGTACCTATGCCCTTCCGTCTTTGACATTGGCTTCTCGTGGCAATAGTGTCACCGCTGACTTATTAGCTTGTCACAAGACAAGGCTCCTGCTTCGATCCGAGACCATCTCTTTGACCACAAGCCCGGCGTAATTAAATGGTATCTGGACCATGAGGTTCGATTTGATAGCAAGGCGTATCATTTAGGGCGCCCTCCCCACGACGTCGTTCAAAGGATGAGCTGAAACTGTCAGTCTGACGGCCGATGCCAGCGCTTTGATCGAGCCGGCGTCAGAGGAGAAGGCAAATCTAAGTCGATATCCTCAAGTCCATCGACTCTATCAGAAAAAAAAAGCTCTGACTGCCTAGATCCATGCGGTGGGATATGAGTCTATCAGTATCTCTCGAGGGACGTGCCTCTTTAATTGAAAAAAAAAGGACCGATCTTTCTTCTCAGTCGAAACCCCTGAAGAAGCGTCCACTTTCTCCGTCCTGACGTAAGATTGAGGTCGACGACAACGGCGGCTTTCTTGTCAATGACCGGGTGAGCTTTCCCTTCTCCACCAGGCCGTTAGCGGACGTATACGTCAGTCAAACCATTGTCTCTCGCTCGCGAAGACTCTATTCGATCGACTCTACATGTGATGCGTCTTATAAGCATTTCTGAATATCCACGGCGGTGGAGAACAAAGCATCGAAGGCAACGGTATCCGCTTGCATGAGGTTTCGCTTCTGAGCTCTCTCGATCACACCGTCGCGTAGTCTGATTTTGAAATCGTTTAATTCGGCCTCGGTTTCCCCTAGTGCTAGAAACCACTCAACGACCACTAACGTCCTCCTATTGGGATACGTGAACTTGCCACCTAGGTCGAATCCTGAAAGGATAATGAGATACCCTCATAGCTATACTCATACCATAAGGAGTGCGGCCTCATGATTGCGGGCTCGTCTATCCATCGGATACTGCATGGTGTCATGAAAGCGAATGATTAAGTACCAGCTCAGCCAGACTCTGATCATCGAAAGCAACTATCCTACTTTCCATTCATATCCAAAAGTTCACCAACTGTAGTAAGGGGTCTTCATCACTGAAGAAAGAACAGTATAAAGAGTTCTCGATGAATCCCCGTCATCTTTCAACTTCTGCCTTTCGAGACATCCTGAGGGTAATCCGTTTACTTTAGTTGTCATGATGTTGGCGCTAAAGGTCGTCATTACCTTAGTTGTGGCCCCACTAGTCGCTTTGCTTTCATAGATAAAGTAGATTGTACCAGGCAATCGATGCCCAGCTCCGCAACAGAGAGTCAGACGCCTAGATAGCGCATGACTCCTAGTGGACACGAAAGGATTGACCAAAGCAGATTTTCGACATTCCTTGCCCCCTTCGTCCATCCTCTTCGACAACCACAGATATCGAAGCCACTCAAGCCTCAAAATACCATTCAAACCACGACCGCGTCTTTCTAGCAGTCGTACCGAAGCAAAAGTGTCGCCACTTAGCTAGCCATCGATCCAGCAGTCACAGCCAGAAGATCCACCCTCAGATTTCGACTCGTAACAACAAGTCTATTGCCAACAGGGCGTCGAGAACGATGGCCAGTGAACCTTCCATTCAGCAGGCTAGAACCCAGGCCAGATGCCGACGAGGCATAGGAAGTCTTTGAGCGGCAAGCCGCAGATGTGTTCGCAATCACTCGAGAAGATGTGATCGCTCTCGGAAAACATCCAGAAATTCCTACACGCTTTCCCGACGGGAATTGGGGTACGGGCTTCGGTGCTTATGTGGCATCTCTGGACGTGTTGCACAAATTACACTGCCTCAACGGAGTGCGCAAGATGACCTTTGCAGGTTGTGGCGAAAAGAAGTTCTTGAAGAAGACGCATAGGACCCTCTGGTCGATCCACTTGAGGCACTGTATCGACGTGCTTGCGCAAGACATAGTGTGTCATGCGGATGCCAACGTTCTCACGTACATTTGGATGGATACGCAGGAACATCTTTTTGTTGATTACAGTATCAGCCGAAACGGCAGGAACTTTGATGATACATTGTCTTGGAAAGAAGAGCATAAAGTGGACATGGATGAGTTTGTAAAAATGGAGAAGTCAGTGGGCGTTAGGCAAGTGCCAGCTGAAGACGAGTACTATGCGATGTATGGGTCAGAGGGTAGTGATCTCTTTCCCGGGGGAGTCGGCTATGTACCTACCAAAGCTGAAATCTGAGTGAATTTTTTGTTTGCCCAAACACTCGTCTGGCAATCGTGATTGGCATCATGTTCTTCGATTTGACCAGACATAGTAAATGAAGGTGACGAAGTTATCATTGCTCATGGATCCAAAACATCGCTACTCTGACGGCCCACGGGCACCGGAGAGTGCTGGTTGGTTGGACCGTGCTATCTGGAAGACTCGATGTACGGTGAAGTATGCACTTGGAAAGAGGACGGCGCTGGTGAGATGATTCTAGTATAAATGGGCACATGGATTTCCTAGAATGCAGCATCGAAGATGTGGAAAGAGAGTGGAACAGAACAATAGGACAGATTTGAATCCGATATGAAGGAGCTAAACATTTCATTCTGAAGATGAGGTAAAAGGGCAAATCTTGAAGGTGTAGGGTGTGCACAGTACAGACACAAATGGCGTAGCGTAATCGAGTGCCTGGATGTAACTGTGTACTCTGATATGCAAATCAAAATGGTTTTACTCGAATTGCTTGGAAAAGGCGCCTACGTTGATTCCATTGATTCGAGAAGCTTGGAAGACGCCTGCTCCAGGATGGAAAATATGCAGACTGGGCACGCCTTTCGAGCCAAGCTACTCAGAGATATCTCGAGTGAACCAAGTTAGCAACTGGACGGCATTGGCAGGCAGCCTGGAGTGTCTATATTTGTACTGAGACAGCATGGTACGCTGTCACCGAGCAAGCACCCACTTCTTGACCCCGAATACTAGAGCTCCGAATCCGATGATGAAAGAGCTAGCGATCAAAAACGGCGGGAATCGCCGTGACCAGACCTGAATGCCCTTTGTATTGTGGATGCTGGAGGTTTGGATCAAGGATATTGAGTTTTCGCGCTGAAAGATGGGAAAAGTCGTCATTGAAGGCAGCGATGTAGTCCGTGCAAAAGCCGTGACGCATCTCGACCACGCTCGATTCTCCATTCGCGGCCGAAGACCGCGGCATGCACTACCCCGTCCTCATCACAGCACCACTCGCGAGTCCCCACTCCCATCCCCCAAGCGACGCTGCCGCCGGGCCACGGTCTGGAAGCCTGGGCGCAAATTCCGACCATTCCCGTCCGGAGCCGCATCTCTGGCGCCTAGCATTCTACTTACTTACTTCGTCTTCGATGCCCCCGAGCTCCCTAGGGGATCGCGGGCAAAGAGCGCGAACATCCCACCCTGTTCATCAAGGAACGAAGCGCACGACCCCAAAGCGCGCGCGATCGCCGACGACGCCATCGACGAGCCGAGTACGTGGGCGAATACCCGCAGCCCGGTGGGTTACGGAGCATGTGCGACATCTACCGCGCGACCGAGGAGGACGTAAAAACGAACACGGCGTCCGCGGAAGAGAAGCTGACATGCCGGTCCCGTTCCGGCGGTGGGGAGTCGGGATGGAGAGTGGCGCAAACGGTGACAGTATCGAGAGCCTGGACTTCGGACACCAGCTGGCCGAGGGGTGTCCCAGCCAGCTCGGGAGTGTGTATCTCGAATTTTCCGACCCCGTTGTGCTCGATTTGAGGTCGCGATATAGACCATCGCATGGACGAAGGACTTCACAAAGTATGGCTGTCTATAACGCGGCGTACTTGGAATTTGGAAGGCATCAGAAACCGCATTCCACGCCATGCGCATTCGGATCACGCAAAGCAGGGAATCCGACTTGTCACTGGTCGCGGACGCTGGTTTCGAACGGGAGAGAATGGCAACAGGCTAGACGATGGATCGGATCCGACGGAGATGAGACGCGAACAGGGGATTTCCAACCTTTCGGAGAGTAGAACGTGGATGTTGCAATGGATCAGTCTCGCATCCAAAGTCACACGGAATCCGACTTTGCGAAGCACCAAAGATCAAACCTTGAAATTCAACAATACAGGACGTTTGACGCTGTGTATCTACGCCACCGGACGAGGCCTTAGCTCCATAGTAGCGAGCAGACGTCTTGGCTAGCTCGCGATCAATCATGTGAATGTCCACAAAAGGTAGTAGAGCAGCTTCTCGTGTGGAAGATCGTGTATAAAGTCTGAAATACATCACCCCATGCTCGTAAAATCTCATGTACAAGAATGTATGCATATATGTGCGTTCCAATAGAAACCCGCATAGTAAACCATCATCAAGACGAAAGAAGTGAAAATCCCTCTCCGCTGTCCAGCAGTCGGCTCCCTGTTCTCCCACCTCAACCCAATCTTATATTCTAAGAAGCATACTTCGCCCCCACCGCATTCACACTTCCCCCACTCACAAGAATCCCATCCGTAGCCATGAAATAAGCATACCTCTCTACACCACTCTGCCCATCCAACCAGGGCAGTATCTCACCAAGGAAGCTCTCTGGATCCGTAAATGATTGAAACTCTGTAACCCACACCGGCACCTTCTCCCCAGTCGCTGGGTTCACAGCTGCTTCGATCGCCGACTGAACATGAGATTGAAAGTCGCTGACGTCGGAGGAGACTGCGCAGCCATTTTGGCAGCCGTACCAGTGGATTGGGACGAACGATATGGGGCACCCTGTGCATTGTTCTAGAAAGGGGGAAAGCCAGTCGAGTCCTTGGGGGATCCCGGCGCCGTTTGTGCCGGCGCCGTTAGTCACACTCGGAGAGCCGAGTAACACGTTGTCGCTGGCGTATGGTTTCATATACTGGTTGAAGCCCGCGACAGCGGAGCCGACGTCCATATTTGCTTGGCTTTCATTATCGGGTTCGTTGAACGACATGAGGTAGTTGGGCCCGGAGCCAGAGGTTGCGGCTTTGGCGGCCGAGTCCCAGTTGTCTGAGTGAATGGAGGCAGTGCCCCACAAAGTGGGAACGTACTGGAACTTCGATGGGAGGCCTTGAGGCGTGTCGTCCCAGTTGTAGCCCCATGATAGTTGACTGTAGCTGGACCAGATGTTGAGATTTCCCGAGCTAGGGTTGTAAGCAAGACCGCGCTTTCCAGAGCTGCTGGTAGTAGTACCGGAGTTACTGTTGCTGCTGGTGCCGGAATTGCTGGTTGTTGATCCTTGATTTGCGGCGGGCGATGGGGAGGGCGAGGCCTCGACGACTGGCGCAGCCTGCGCGGGAGTCGGAGCAGCGGCGGGAGTCGAAGTAGTGGTGGGCGTCGGAGTGGAACCGCCACCGTAGTTGACGGTACTCCAATCTACGTTCTTGTAGAGAGAAGGATCGTTCCAATTCACGCCCGAATACTCGTCGCGCCTGTTTTTGCGATGGAGGGGCCAATGCGCTGGGTGGGCATAGACACATTCGAGGAAGAAGGCCGCCAGGGCTAATTTTGGGAGGGATAGATGCATAGTGGCGTCGATACTCGTATGTAGTTTGGGATTCTCAGTTGAGTGGCAATAAAGCCGAATGAGAGTCTGCAGTCTGTTGTCTGGTGCGGTATGCGAGTCGCGTGTAACAGTGATTGTAGGCACTGACCTATGAAGTGAATGAGTGTGGTGGTAAGGTTGACAATAGTCGTTGCGCAGCGCAGCTGTATAGTGATAAGGTCTGGAAAGGAGCGTTGATTGAGTGGTGGCGCCACGTGAAAATGAATGAAAGAGCGTCTACAATGAAATCATTGTTCGTGTTGATTGCGTGGCTTGTATTTAAGAAGAGAGCCTAATGAGTGGATGAATGTGTTATTGACAAAGGAAGCCGCGCGAATCAACAATAGTACCAGGCGAAGTAAAGGAAGCATCCTGGGGAGGAAGGGGCCATGTGCATTTACACAAATGCGACCTTCCGTTGCGAGTGAAAATGGGCACGGTAATCGGTACTTCCAAATCCACATGAGTTGAAACCGCTTGCAAAGTCCATCAGGACCAAATCATCAAAATGCAGCATCTTGTGTAGTGTCAAATATCGAGCTAACAAGTGGTTGGATGGTGACCGCTGTGGCTCAGGAATTAAGCGCTGGCGAAGATTGCGGAAGATCGAGAACTCCAGATCCCAGGGCCAAGATCTTCCACTCACTCGGCCTTGGTCTCAAAATAGAATAAAGAAAAGGGGCACTCCTTTGTCCTCGAGTCTCGACTCCTGAGTATACATGTACATCACGGGCACGAGGAATCATGCGCACTGGGCCTGGCGCTTAGCTAATGTCGAGGAGTGAGCCTATGAACAGGTGACAGAATCATCGACAACAAAGGGAGAACACCGCTCATTAGGGAAAAAGGAGACTGTGATGATATCTCTACTCTAAACGCCAACAAAATGATTCAGAATGAGCCTCTATCCTGTTCAATCATCGTCATCTTCGTGGCCTTCCTCATAGAATCCTACAATAGCGCGGCCTCCACTGAGGGCCAGACCATGAGGTGGGTAGCACACGTAGATAGGGCCCTCCACCCCACCCAACTTTTGTCTGAAACCGCTCTTCTGTGTGAGTTTGAATTCTTTCGCGATTGTCTGGTAGGTGCGCTGGAGCATCCTGACCCTCATGCCAGACATGTGGTGCGAAGCATGCAGCTCGGAGGAAGCGGCGCCTCGGAAAGTCAAGTTGATGGTGTCTGAGCCCTTGGCCACTTGCATGGCATGCAGAATGGCATGCTCGATGGTGCCTGCTGGCGCGCCAGGGAAATGTAGACTGAATTTGACCTAATGGCCATGCTTGGGAGACAGTTGTGCAAGGACAACGAGAGACTGGACCTTTCCTTCTTTGTCCTGAGCAAAAAAAGTACCGTCGGTGCATCATGTCCCGCCATGGGGTGATATCGGAGATATGGACTTGCTTTCCTTTGCGGCCTGCCAACCAATCTTGAATGCGCTCATCGGTTTGAGACCTGAGATCCTCTGGCACCTCCTCTCCTTCCTCCAATTCCTTGACTGTTAAACCTCTTTCTCTGCATGACGGATCTTTCTTGCAACGTCGTGATCATGTGAGCCAACGCTTTTTGTAGCATCAACACGCTCTTCAGCCGCGCATGTAAAAGTCTTCCAACCGAAGATCGAGCCCGACACCTCCTCGAATCCAGGGCCCACTAGCACCCATATAGGTTTCAGGTGGGAGAGTTCTTTCTTTAGCCACTTCAAGAAAGCACTTGCTACCTTGGTGTATTGGCTCTCATCACAATGGATTGCCAGGCAGTATAGCGTGTCCGTGAATGGGAACCCAGGAAAGCGCAGCACCTGTCTCCCCCGTGACGCCAAATCCGATTACGCTCCTCCGTCCAGGAAGTGTTTGACGCGTCTCCGTAGTTGGCAATGTGGTTTTCAAGAGGCTGCGTTGTGCTCATGTCATGACAGGCTGACCCTTCCCAAGGCGGATCAAGAGTACTGTCTTTGGGGTGGCGGAGCTGGGGCGCCTGAGGTTTGGCTGGGAGACTCTTAGGATCTCGGTGAAACAGGGATGCGAACCGTATATTGCCAAGCTGGAGCAAAAGCATGATAATTTTCTCGAGTCCTATGCCTGCGCCTGCATGTGGCGGTGCAGCGTATCAGAAGCCGTCCATATGATCCTCCATACTTGAAGAATCTACCCCTTGCGCCTTCATCTGCTCCTCCAACATCTGTGCATCATGTATACGCTGCCCGCTGGTCAGGATCTCTTGGCCGCGTAGGAACAGATCGAACGTGTTCGTAACTTTCGGATCGTTGGGGTCGGGCATAGTGTAGAAAGGCCGTGCGGAAGCTGTCAAGTTGTCAAGTATGTAGTAATCTGTATGGTACCTCTCGTTAATGAGCTCGCCAGGCCGGATCTCGTCTCTCGTATGTAGGTCTTCCAAAGGCGAGGGGGGGTTGCCACTCTCGTCGGTCCAGCTGGAATCTATAAGCATCTGCACTCCCTCCTTGAAAGGTATCCTGGGGGTCTTATCTAGCCACACCAAATCCTCGTGCGGAAAATGTCTCTTGGCTGCTCCAAGCTCATCGCGAAAACGTTCGTATATACCCTTGAAGATATGCTTCAGCACTCCATCGATCACTTCCAAAGCCTCATGGTAGTGCACTTCAATGGCCATCTCAAGATCCAGACCAGTGTACTCTGTCAAGTGTCTGTGGGTGTTGCTGTTTTTTGCCCGAAAGACCGGCCCAATTTCATAAACCTTTTCGTAGTCTGCAGCTATACACATCTGCTTTGCCAACTGAGGACTCTGTGCAAGGAGTGCGGGTCGTCCAAAGTAGTCAAGCTGAAATACACTGGAACCGGATTCCGTTGCGCCGCCTTGTAATTTGGGCGTGTGTATCTCAATAAATCCCTAAGAATCAAGATAAGAACGGAAGAGATTGCAGACCCCGGCATTAATGCGAAAGATGGCCTTTGATGTCGATGTGCGTAGATCGAGTATGCGATGAGTCAGTCTGGCGCGATCTGTGATGTGGCTTCCTGTACCGGCGGCGTCGTCGTCGTCGTCCAACTCCTTCTGCCTAGAAACCTCATCTTCGTAGACTGTGAAAGGTACTGCTTGAGGACGTCTAAAATACCACATGGAGCTCGCGTATTGAGACTGACGTCGTGTTTGGTGGTGCCGGTCACTGGCCGATCAGGTTTCTTGATCTGGCCTGTGACAATAAAAATCGAGCCGGTTGGAATGGCTCTATCCATTGCACCATATGTTGTGAGACAGCCCCTTCTTCTTGGTGTATGACACCTTATACAGTTCCCAACTGTTGCCGGAACACAACGAAAGCCAGCTTGGCGCTCATCTTGCGAACAGTATGGATGCGGCATCGGAAGGTGATCTCCTGGCCAACGTCCTCCACCGATCCAGTCTTGAGCTGGACTCGCTGCTCACGTTTGCGGTCTCTCGACTGGACCATAGCAGGTCGCCATATCGACGTCTGATCTCCTCAGTCTCCTGCTGACGTGCCTTGCCGTCATTCTCCCTTCTGTGCTGCGTAGCCTCCTCCCTCTGTTTCTCGTTGTTGACATTGTTCTGGCGCTTATCGCTTCTGTGGGCGAATTCTCTCGTTTGGTTTTTGCTTAAAGGTTGGCCGTCTTAACTCAGAAGCTCGCTGCTGGCACTATCTGTGGCGCGTCCGTTCGTATTCGTACCTTTAGTCTTGGGCCGTCTACCGCCATATGATCTTGGCTGCTCTTTTTCCCAACATGCTTAATCTTTAATATAGCATCGCTGAGCAAGGACATGGTGGAGGGTTTAATAGGAAGTGATTTATTGAGGGGATGACTCAGGCTGGGGGCTTCTTACAAAGTGAGAATGCAACTTCCTCACATTTGTCAAGTTGGTGATCGGAAAGGCAATTCAATTTCGGAACCTGAAAATGAGGAAGGGTGAGGTCAAACGTTCTCCTTACTTTACCATTGATCTCTAAGGTAGAGTACTCCGGGTCATACGAGTACTCTACTCCTAATGAGGCCAGCCTCGAGATCAGCTCGGTTAGGTACTTGACCTGCCATCATTGGTGGATAAGCCTCATACAGCTGTGACGGACTCAACAACTCTACCCTAACAGCCCCCATCCGGACAAGGGAGAACCCCATAATTAAGAAGCTTGACATCTCACTTAGCCCTCTCGTCCGCATGATGTCCACCCAGATCCGTCCCGTCCCCTCAAACGAAGGGCCCTCCAAGACCATCCCGATACCCGCAAATCATCAACGGAAGCCACATCCACGATGGTGGCTTTCCGCTCAAGCAAATGTCTGGCGATTCCTCGAACAAGTCGGCCTCTACTTTCACAGTATCCCAACCCCATCACCGAAAGAGCCCTCCTTCCTCCGCAAGTTCCCCACCACCGTGGTAAGCGGGCAGGCCACCATCCTCCATCTTGCCTTTTACGTGCCAGATGACTACCGGAGTCAAATCCAACAAGGAAGGAAATACCCATTGGTGGTCAATATGCATGGCGGGGGTTTCACATTGGGAACGGCAAAGGATGATGGACGATGGGCGACCATGGTGGTAAAACAGGTGGAGGCCGTGTTCGTGAGCGTGGAATACAGACTGGCGCCCGAATATCCTTTCCCAACAGCGGTGGAAGACGGTGTCGAAGCGCTGCTCCATCTAGCAGCAAATGCCGACGAACTCGGTCTCAACCCGCACAAGATGGCTTTGACTGGCTTTTCAGCCGGAGGCAACATGGCATTCACGATGCCTCTCCGCTTAAGAACGCATATTCAATCCACTAGGAACGAGTATCAGTCTAAACCCATGGAAGCCTCACAATCGAACGGGACGGACAGGACACTGTCGGGTCCACCGCTGCCCGAGATAGTCTCTATAATAGCATGGTACCCCAGCCTAGACAACCGACTCACCCGGGACGAACGACGAGCCTCATGTGTCCGACCTGGGAAGACATTGCCACCAATCCTCACATCCCTCTTTGACGAATCCTACCTACCGGAACTCGAGAACAGAATGTCCCCCTACGCTTCTCCGGCTGCAGCAACCGACGCGGACCTCACCGCTGCCATTCCGGAAGGCGTAGCGATGTATTTGTGCGAATGGGACATGCTCTTACAGGAAGGCGAGGTATTTGCCGAAAGGTTGAAAGGGCTGGGGAAAAGGGTTCACCTTGTGATCATCAAGGAAAAGCGACACGCATTTGATAAAAGTCCATATCCCTTTAGTGTAGATCCAGAGGCTACATTGCATTACACGGAGGCTTGTACCATTCTTAAAGACGCCTTGTTCGACTCGTAGTGGTTTAGGCATAGCGAGGCTGATGGCATTATCAGGGACGTTGTCGATGCATAGCGTGGCCTGAACGGACTAAAAGTATATACATCACTCTGACCATGTCCCTCGTGACAACCGCAGACGATGGCCAGCGCAACCAAATTCGATTCCACACCCAGAAACCTCATAGTATATACTGCCATACCTATCATGCACAAGGACCCCCAAATAGAGCAGATCCCCACCCATCACGCAGTCCGTCCTCGCCTGTCCGTTCCCAAGACCCACCCATTCCGCCTCGTGAAGTCGACAGATACCAGCTGGACATCCGAGACGAAAGGGCGCTGCACGATGACGGAACATCGACCGCGAAGGATGAGAGAGCGTGCTTTTGGCGGGGTCACGGAATGGTGCGGTTTCCAGGTTGTGGGCACCGTAGAAGGAAGGAAGGAGGCGGGATAAGTCGTCAGGACGTCAATGGACTGACGTTTTCTTGATGGCGATGGCGCTCTTGGTGGGACAGTGAGCCGTTTGGTTGGTAGAGCGCATCGATTTTCTTTGCTACCGCGGATTATGGAGGCGGAGGCGAAGGCTTGAGAAAACGATGCCTTGGCTCGAATACTATGCATCGGCTCTGTCCCTTGATCCGAGACTACCATGATTCGATGTGCCGTGTGGCAGTCGAGTCGTGAAATGTCTTTGGGTATAGAGTGAGTTCTTGGGGAGTCTGATACTGTGAAACAGGTCTTTGGAAGGTATGAGGAAGTAATTTTCAAAGCCTATCGGGACATAAACACCTACACCAGCAGGGTTTGCCATTGCTCGGGTCTGTGGCACCAGCGATGATCGACCTTGGCGAGTGGCTAGCCTAGTAAAGAGATTGTCCCATGCCTAGGGATATCGCTGGTCGAGGTTCGAAAAACCTGAAGCCTTCCACAAATCGACATAGGAGAGAGAAATTTTCCATGATGGATGAAGATGCTATAGATAAAATTGCAAGGGTATCAACTATAAATGTCCCGTGGTGTCTGGCACTTAACCCACAGTCCCTGACGGCGCAGGTGACAACTGCGTTACCAGGCCGTGATATCGCCAACTTCGGCTTCGCCAAATGTGCTGCTTTTTCCCATTGTCGTCACTCCCTGCTGTTCGTCACCCCCGTCGTCATGTAAATTGAGTCCTGGCGCCTCCATGATATCGGGAAGCACCTCGTTGAAGAACTCTACAATGTGCTTATTCACCTGCTCGAACTGCAGCAAGAAAGCATCATGGCCTTCTGGACTGTCGATTTTCCGCAACCTTGAGTCTGGTATTGCGGCTGCTATCTCTTGCTGTTCTGCAAATGTGAACAATCCATCGCTCTCGATGCCGATCACCAGAGCTGGCTGCTGGATCTGAGACAGTGCCACTGCGGCTGGATTAGGTATATCCGGAGGTACCCGATACCTTGAGACGTCATGTGTATCCAGCTTCCTTGTGATAGCGATGTAGCAATTGCTGTCAAAACGCTTCACAAACTTTCCTCCTTGGTACCGTAGATATGATTGGGTGGAGAATTCCGTCAGGGGTGCTGGCGGGGTAGGTGGCACGAAAGTTGTAGCTCCATGGAACTGAGGGTCAGTGAATTGAGCTGCCTTGTCATTCGCAACAGATTGCGGCGCATCGGATTGAGGGGTAGGAGCTGACGTGTCTTCATGGACACTGGGCGGTCGAGTCGTGCGAGAGCTCCTATGACCCTCATTGTGTACCGCCCAGTGCTCATTCGATGGTGTTGATGGACGTTGACTATCATTGATGGCCTGCCTTCGCGAGGGATCTGGAATGTTTCTTCCGAACCTTGCCACGAAGGAATCGCGGCTTCTATACGTCAGCAACGCCGACATGCGAGCAGCCCCGAGCCCTGCTGCCGGTGGGTCATTGAACGCGTAATAACCGTCTTCGTATTTGGGATCACAGTATATGCTTTGCCGCTGCGCCTCGCCCCAGCTGATACACCAAGCGCTATGACAGCTTGAAGTTGCTATTGGTACTATTGCTCGAACGTAGTCGATGCCAAAGTAAGCATATTCCAGGACCAGCATGCCTCCCATAGATCCACCAACAGCCGCTGCAATTTTTTTCACACCCAGGTCATCGAGAACGAGCTTGTGTATGCTGCTGTATGTCAGATATTATGGGAGAAGTCATGTAAGAAGCACGTACTTGACGTCGTCCCGGATCGTGGTCAAAGGGAACTCGGGGCCGTAACGCTCGCGGTTTGCATCTCCGTGCACACTGGTGACAGGACTTGCACTTCCGTAGGGACTTCCTAAGCTGTTCAGACAGACAATAAAGAACCTGGTCATATCGAAGGCACGTCCATGCCCTCCCATCAGTGGGCCCCACCAATCAGCGACATCGGCACTTCCAGACAGAGCATGGCATATCACCAAGGCGTTACCTCCCTCTGGAGCCAGTCTCCCCCGAGTGGTATATGCGACTGGAACATTGCGGAGAGTGACTCCAGACTCGAGGGTGAAGGATGGTACGATGGCGATGTGCTGATTGGGAATCAGAGCAGCGAATGGGTTCTCAGGCTGGCTGGAGGCTCTCTCTACGGGATTTAGCATTCGGTCGAGACATAAGACTTAGGGCGTTTGATACTGACGGAGTCGCTGGGTCAATGGAACATCAGTGGGCCCATCTCCCTCTGCTGTCATCTTTGAAAGATGGAAAATAGATGCATGTGTGACGGCGGGAAGGATGGGGATGTGGTGCCCCCACTCAGTCGGAAGTCGCACGGGCGTGGCCGCTTGAGCCACCTTCGAACGACCTTCTGCCTAGACATGGCGCGATCTGCTGCCTAAAGTACCTTAAAGCCGTGGTGGCCGCCCTCCCTAAATTTGGGCCTCCACTAGCTAACTTGAAGCACTAGAGTACCTAAGCCAGCCGCCCAGTGTTACTTCACTTAATAATAATTAATCATAAAGTTTCCTTTTCTGCTCCAGAATTTATTAATCTAGGTGAACAGCTTCAGTGCCCGGAGTACTTTCGTATAGTTGTTTGGCCTTTTCAAGAGACATTTGATTGGGGTTTTTTCTTTCCTCCTTTAAACGGGATTTCTTGCGCAGCATTCTGTATGTCTACACATCTATCGGGCCAGCGTAGCTGATTCGACAGTGTTCTACGCAAGAAGCTCTTAGTGTCTGGACCGCGAAGATCCGATTGCTTCCATCATGCTGCCGGTGTTCGATAAAATTGATTTCTTCGCCTCCTACAAAAGCTGGAGGTGAAGCATCGGTAATTGCAAAACCTCCGAATGGTCAAGTACCAGCATCGCGGTATTCTTCCTGGCTGTCCCACCCATCGATCCCTTTATAACAGATTTGAAGTCCCTTCGCCCTGCCCCTCTAATTATATTGCCCCAGCAGCTCTATCTCCCCCTTCATCAGCAGCAGCAGCATCCTCGCCCTTGTTTACCTTCCAACCTACTCCAGCGCATTTCATCTCCCCCCTCTTGCTCTCCGAGCTTCCTCTAGCAGCAGCGTTATCGGCCTTACCTCTTTCGCAGCTCCCACTCCAGCTGCAGAATTAACATCCTCGGCTCCGTAACCAACCTGCTCCAGCGCAGCACCCTCGGTTCCGATTCCGATCTGTTCCAGCGCAGCATTACCGCCTTCGCTTCCCCCGAACTTCCTCCAGCAGCAGTAGCATCAACGCCCTAGACACCCTTTCAACATCACCTCACACAAAGACGAATCTCTACTGGCCACATTGCGCAAGGATAACCAATCCTTGCACTGATCGTCCACGCAATTGCTTCTTTTTGTTGCTCGTGCATACGTGAACCGAGGAAGCCAGGCAATTTGGGTGCGAGGTCAGCATTATGGCTGCAGCGAACGCAGCTGACTGCCTTGAGCTTCCCGCAGTCAAGCGAAACGGGATGCCTTTTCCGCGCTAAATGTCGGTCTAGAAGTCTGCTTCTCTCCTCTCCCCGTCTCACAAGTCACAATTCTTGTGCGTCCAGTTCGCATTTATAATTCTTATCATTATTATCCCTTCGATGTGACGCTTATCACACCACCAACTTCCAAGACGGTGTAACACTTAGTCCGATGGTCCGATAGATAAATCCTCAGTTTGCCAGCCTACTACCTTTCTACCATTTTCGAGTCGCTTTATTTTCCATGATACCAAGGTTGTAGCTGCATGTCAGCTTACCTGCTTCTGCATTGGAGTAGAATTCGTCAATCCTACCTTACCTTATAGGGATATTTTCTGATTTCCTTTCCTCCGTTCGAGGCCCGGGCCCCGCGCGGCGGCGAAGGATTCGTGCCCCCCCGCGGCTGAGGCTGAGTGTTCGACTTTCGTACTTGAACATCTTTCTTTCGCAACAAAGGAATAGATGAACTGCCTGTTTGTGCGTACACACGCAGTTTCCAGCACCATATCACAGAGCATAGTTCATCGGTGCAATGTCGCCCCAACTTCCCCAGCATGTTCCTAGCCTGGCTCATGATATCATCATCACCTGTGTAGTCTGTCCAATAGTAACCGCAGTTATTGTTTGTATCAGAGTCTGGACCAGGATATTCGTCACTCATAATCTTGGTTGGGACGATTATGCGGCCATGGTCACTTTGCTGTTTTCCATAATTTTCAGTGTTGTCCTTGGCGTTTCCACGCGATATGGAATGGGTCTTCATCTCTGGGATGTAAGTTCAGGACCCGAGTCTTTACTCTTCAACCACAATCAATCACAATCAGTGTCGTCGTTCCGGTCATGGGATATGTCTCACAGGCAAAGCCTCCCCTTCAGCACCATCCGAGTCCCTAGACATCTCTCATCATTCATTTCCATGTCTCGATGAGGGAATGCTGACTCCAATACTCGCGATAGATGACACCGGAGCTGGTGTCTGACCACGTTAAAGTACGAATACTCGTTCCCATGGTATTCCCCAAAGCCCTGGCTGATGGGTCCCACCACAGTGGATATACATCTCCTCGGCCATGTATCTACTCAGCATCCTCGGCTATAGAATAGCCCTGCTGCTGATGTACCTCCGATTGTTCGGGGTCAACCAGTCTTTCAAGTACGCAACGTGGGCCGTGTTGGTCTTCGTTACTGGCTATTTATCCGCCAACTTCATCACCTTGCTCTTCGGCTGCACGCCAATATCGAAATACTGGAAGCCTGACGAACCCGGCCACTGCATTGTTCTCGTTCACGCTGACTATGCCTACGGGTCAATGAATGTCATTTCCGATGTGTTACTATTTCTTCTACCTTTGCCGATGGTATGGCAGCTGCGGCTGTCTCCTAGAGAAAAGTTCGGACTGGTCTTGATATTCATGAGTGGGATCGCGTACGCCACTATCCACTCAAATATTACAAACGGGCAGACTAACCTCCCCGCAGCAATTGCGCAGTGACCACCGTCCGATTCGCCCTTCTAGTCCAAAACCTCAACGCCCCCGACACCGCCTGGCTCGACGCAAGGACCTTCCTCCTAACGTAAGGATTCCGCCTTCTTCACCCCCCCCCCCAACCCAGACCTTCCAGCACTGATCCTCTCTCTTCTCTACTCGTACAGCGCCGTCGAAATCAACACGGGTCTGATCTGCGGCTGCATGCCGGTCCTGAAACCCTTCTTCCGCCACCTCCTCTACAAAACGCCACCGGATCGGTCGCCCCGGCTTTCCGACGCCCGGTTCGGCGCGGTCTGGATGGGCAAGTGGCCCGACGACCAGACCCGGGGCAATTACCGGAACTGGATCGAGTTGGAGCACGGCAGCGACAAGAATTTGGTCCACGTGATCGTGGACTAACGGGTTTGGCGCGGGGGGGGGTGTGGATGGGGTAGCTGGGAGTTTGCCCAGTGGATCCAAAAGTCACTTATGCGAATGTTTTCGAACGAGGGATCTAAAAACTTGGTCGAAAAAAAAAAAAAAAAGCCATGCACGTGTCAGAAAAATCTCGGAACGATGGTGGACTGAGGGGGATTTGGGATTCGGGAGCTGGGAGGTTTTGCCCGGCGGATCCAAGGTCGTGTACGCGTACTCTAGGCGATTGCTTGGGAAAGAAATGAGGGATCTGAAGGCTTGGCGGGATGGTGTTCTGGACTCTGTGCGGTGGAAAGGCGTGCGGACGTGTAAGAGTAATGTCGGATGATGAGTTGGTTGGTTGGGAAGGGTCTATCATCCATCACTCACTCACTCAAGGGGTCGGCGAAAGGCAACAGCCCGTGGTCGATTGGCCCGACGGGCTTTTGGCAAGCTGTGGAGGAAAAGTGGCGGTTTGGATTGTGGATCTGTTGTTACTGTATAGGCTGTGTCCTTTGATAACCTTGTTTATAATGTGAGGGCAGGACACGTTCATTTTGTATTGGCATAGAATTAATGCTAGGCTATTGAACGTAACGCATGTACACTCTCAAAACCAGTGGCTAGCCGCTATTACTCTTAAGAATGAGCAGCAGCTGGCCACGCTGTGTGTGTGTCAATCCTTTGACAAAGTCCATGACTCCATGGGTATCATGCCGCTAATTTTTTGCGTCTGCCTAATAAAGAATGAACGCCCTATGAAATGCTCTTGTAAGGTCACTAACCCCCCATGCTCACAACTCCATTGTTCCAACGCGGCCTCCAACCTCACCCGTGCCACCCATCGCCCCCTGCATGACCCGTCTTTCAACAGCTGCCACCATCTCCTGACCCTCGGCCCGGGTTCCTACCCACGCCTTGAGCTTCATGTGCAGCAGTGTAAGCACATCATGCTTAGCAGCAGCAATCTGATACACAGCGCTCTCAACATCCCCCCGGCCTCCGCTCACCAGATTGCCGAAACTTTCAGGTGGCCTCATCAGGTACGGGACGACTATGCCAAGAGCTGGCTGACTCATGATGGCCTCGATTCCTGACTTTGGAAGCGATGCAGCGTTACACTTGCTGGCTAATTCCCCTTCCGATGGAAGTCTGAACGGGGTAGAGCCCGAAGGTTCGGTATCTGGAAGTGGTGACCATTTCGCTGTAATGACCGCTCCGATCAACGAGAGAGCCGACAATGCGCTCTCTTTGAGCGCCACGGTATCAGCTGCAGCCACGACACGTCCCCAAAAAGTCGAGATGTTTTCCATTTCCAAGAAGTAAAGTGCCCTTGCAGCGGCTCGTTCTTCGGGCTTACCCCCGTGGCTACCATGCAGAATGTGAGCCAAAGCCGCAAAGGCGTCCGGATTTGCGGGCTTCACGGGTATCAAGAACAACGGAGAGCTGGCCTGTGTCCTCGGTATGAGCATAACACGTGGGAGAGATACCAAAACACGAAGGTCGTGTTTGGGGATCTTCCCCTGCGCCCACTGGATCGAGGAGGTGTTCTCGACTGCTTGTGTAACGCGCGAGAGGATGTGGCCCGCAAGCGGTGACGAAAGTAGGTCCTGAGGAAATGTTGAGCAGTAGGTTGAAAGGTATTTTGCCGACGAACCGTACAGATACGTGAGGTCCAGTGAATCTTGCTTCTCGGGTTCAAGGTAATATGCCAATGCACGGTCATGGAGTCCATTGCTTCGTAGGAAATGAAGCGCATATGTGTGGCTTGTACCCAGGTAGTTGGCATAAAATTCAATCAAGGTCATATGCATTAGCACATCGTCCTGGTATTCAACCATATGAATGGCTGCAAAGTGCAGCAGCCCACCGTTATTGACACCGAATTGTTGCTCAATCTCTGGTATCTGTGACGTCCTCACGGGACTCGAGTCGATCTTTAGGAGCATATCCAGCAGTCTTGCCTGAGAGACCGTCTTTTCTCTCTTGGACAGTGGCCCTTCCTGACCTGCTGTGTTGAGGCTACAGATCGAAAATATGGAGCCGTAGATGTCTCTGTCACGCAAGATTCTCCTCCAGATCAGGCCCTCATCCATGATCCCACTGTCACTCATGGTATGCTCCCCTTCATTTGCCAATAATAGCCCCACTATCACGTCATGGGCCCGTCCTGCCACTGCCGTATCTGGGGTGCACAGCCATAGTTTGACCAAAGCTGCCACCACGTCAGCCTTTCCAGCCACTATATCGATGTCGCTTTTCCGGTACGTCGCCTTCTCGAGGAGGGAGAGGACCGCGAGGTTGATGGAGGGTAAGGAGGATGTAAAGCCAGCTGTGAAATCGACCGGTGGTTGGATCGTGAGAACGCGTGTGAAGTCATATGTCGCCGGCAGGGCGAGGACGTTGATGAGGTTCGTTACCGGCGTAGGGTCTTGCTGTAGTGTTGGGAGGAGGTTCGAAAGCTGGTTGAGGAGGGTATCTCTCCATGATTCTTCAATCGTTTCTGGTAGCTTGCTATCAGTACATACGAGTTCCAGGGGCAGACAGCCCCAGCAGCAGCCGTCCACGATGGAAATGCGGCCACGTGAAGTCCTGAAAACAAGCGCCACATACCAGTAACCTGCCTGTCAACGTGTTCCAGTAGCTTGTCATTCAGGCTTTTGCTAGGATCGTTTCGTACTTCTTCCAAATGGGAATGCACCTGGCCTAAAAGCGCTGGGAGAGCCATGTCGCGTCGTCGTCACGGTGTGATGACGAGGAAACGAGTAGGTATTTTGCAAACACGCCTTCCTCTTCCTCCACAAAGCAACCACAAATCAACACGTGACGGCGAGCATGGAGGCCAACAAACTGTGACCATTAAAGCATGGCCTGAGGTCTTATTCACAATGCCGGGCATTTACTACTACAAGCGCGACAAGTACCCGCCAAGATGGAACCAGCTGCAGTGAGTGGATTGGATTCAGCCCCGCCAGTGTCCCCGACCCCACTATATAAAGTGACTAAATCATACCTGCACGGAATTTTGCTGAACCATCTCAAGGCACGATCGTTGGACGCAAAACCACTACGACATGGCTGGAGCTGCGAAAGCAAAGCAAGGTCCCCGCATCAAAAAGGAAGGCAAAGGCGACCTCTACAGAATCGGCGGGGTAGACCTCCCCTGGGACCCCGAACTCGATCTCGACAAGCCCAAGCCCACGCCTCTATACCCTGTACTCAATTCACCCAATCCCTCCTTCCGACCACCCCCACTGATACCTGCCCAGGCCTTCCAAATCCCCAAGCCAAAGCCCCTGACCGAAAAGGAGAAATCCCAAGTCGCCCACTTCCGCAAATTGCGAGAAAGCATCAAAAACGGCCCTCTCTACACCGTGCTCGGAGACAATGTACGAGTGGGCAAGTCTGGGACGTCGGCTGCCGCGGCGTTCAATCCGTTCGAGGGGATGCCGAAGTATAGTCAGAGGTATACGAAGAAGAAGAGGATGATTCCCAAGTTGGATACGAGACCCTACGGTTCGTGCTGCTACGGAGACAGATTGGTGCGGGTAATGTGCTGAAGGGGATTTAGTGCTCAAATTCTTCCCCAAGGAACTCTGGTCCACCATCGATCCCTCCGCTACCGAAACCAACGGCGTCATCAACACGGACACCAAAGGCAAATCCTTACAACTCTCTGGCTACGAGAAAGACGCCGAGATGTCGGAGGACGAAGTGGATGTGAAGGAAGAGAGGGACCCAGATGATGAGGACGTGCCGGAGGGGGAAGAGGTGGATGATGAATTCGATGACGAAGAGGATGGGGGTGATTACAATGCGGAGCAGTACTTCGACGACGGAGGGGATGATGCTGGGGACGACTATGACGCTGGTGGTGATGAAGGGGGAGGCAGTTATTATGACTAATGGAGGTGAAGGGATTTCTTGGTTCAAGATGCATAGCGAGGAGTCAAGAGTGTTGCAGGACCCGGCATAGGAGCGAAGATACCATTGCTAATATTTGGAGTCAATCATACTTGGTCTACAAACATGCCCCTGCGCCCGAACGCCTGCCCCGAAACCCATGACACCAAGTACGCTTCCATTGTATGCTTCTCGGTCACAAATGCTCACAGAACCTTGATGCTCGATATCCACTGCCATCACCAGGTCCTCTTGCTCCACCTTTCCTGCTCTCGACAGCGAATCCCTCAGCGGCCCTGTTCCAAACCTCATCCCGCCAACCGCACGTGTGGCTGCCAGTCACAGGGCCCATGTCACTGAGTCCAGCTCGACGCATAACGGGGTGCTGGCCAAAAGCCTGGGTCTTCTCCCTTGGCCTCGGCGAAGATACCCTCGGAGCCGGACCCGCCTTCCTCACCAAGATATCCTCCATCATATTCCCACATGTGACCATGGACCCCGTGACATCCTCATTCGCTTTCCCATCATCCATCTCCAACAACCTCCCAGCCTTGCTCTCCCCCTCTCTCCTACATCCCTCAACAGCGACGCACTTCTCTTCCTCTTCTTCCCCCGCACCGCCTTGCTCGGTCGAGGGCAGTCCGACTCCGAGTCATCAACGAACACGTCGCTGTCGCTGTCGCTCGAATCGTCCGATTGGACAGGAGTGGGCCGGGGCGCGCTCGGTCTTGTGGGAGTGGCGTCGCTGTCTGAGTCCTGGCCCTGTTCGGAGGGATAGAGAGTGTAGGCCTCTTCGACGCGCTTCCTGGCTTTCGTTGCTGCTTCGCGCTGGGGTCTGGCGCTCATTGCCGGAGCTGAAGCTCGCGCGGCTGAGGAGGAGGAGGGATTGCTGTTGGGGAGATATAGTTGTTGGCAGAGGATGTGAGTCCCGCGGTGGGAGGTGCGGACGTAGAGGGAGCGTAGACTCGGCAGACATATTTCTTGGTGGTGATCGTGACTGGCGAAGATCAGTTGTGTGAAGATTGCGAGGCTGCTGGTTCTGAGAGACGCGAGCTCCATTGTGGGAAGCCGTCAGTATTTAATACCTGCGTAGCGACTGAACTACGAAGAAGACAAGGTAAGACAAGACGCTGAGGGTTTCCAGATTTGTCCTGCAGTCTCAGCTGCATGTTGCCGTAGTCTTTCAGACCTGACTTACAGGGACAAAGGCTTAGTGAAACACTCTGTGATTGCAGTCTCAGACCAGAACCGGGTTTGCAGATGTGGCATTGTTGACTGACATTCTAGGCATCATTGGCCGCAATCGACTTTCCCTGTCGGGCAGACTTTCATGGTTGAGTGTGGTAAGATGTTTCTTAAATGTCCTGACTGATCCAGAGGTCTCCACTCGAACGGCAACCCGGCTGGGATGGCTAGCATGTCTCTTCTCAAGTTTGTGTATCACTATCCGTACACAAAATCCCTCGCTCTGCCCTTGACTGATCATGTTGGACGCTTGTCATACACGTACTCCGGTGGTCCTTGTCTCGATGGCTTTCCGGGATTCAACACGGCCTTCCCACTGAACCCGCAGCCTATCTTGCCGTTCGAGAGATATACGAATTGTTCACCTCTCGAGCGCCCACCATCCCCACAGTCTCAATGTCTCTTGCCGTCTCGCAAATTCTCGCTGCAGCTTTCTCTTGGTCACCTTCCTCGGCGACTTTCCTCTTTGCTCCTGCAACCGAGTGCTCCTCATCCATGCCCAACGGTATATTTTCGGCTCTCACTACCTTCGCTTTCTGTCTTATGCAAAATGGTATCTTCCCGCTTTGTCCTCGGTTCTGCCTTCTCATTTATAGATGATAATGCTTCTTAGTTAACGATGTAGTCCGTCATTGGAGATTGGGTTTTCGGTTTTGTCAGAGTTGTGGCTGGACTGGCTGTCTTGGAGCTGGAAAAGTCCTCTGATTCCGTGGCTCGTTCGATAAACAATAGCGGTCTGTGGAGGCAACGCCCTGAAGGTTTTAGTTGCTGCTGCTCGCTGTGGCGCCTCTTGAAGCAGCGATGGCATAGTTGTGGACTCTAGAGGTGATGATGTAGAGGAAATGGGCTCGTTGTGGGGTTATGAGGAAGCTGATCAGAGATCTTGGGAAAGCCGCTTTACTTGTCTGGAGCGGAAGATCAGTATCGGGACATCAGGAATATCCAAGCATGCCACGTAGACTTACTTGCATGTCTAAGTTATCTTCTAGAGACACTTGCGGCTTCACATTCGCAGTGAGCAAAGCCGCAAAGACTGTCTAGAATGGACACATAACAAGACGTGAGGTTTAATTCAATTAGCCAATTCCATATGATCGGTACGGAAACACTTTTGGGAAGGGAAGTCCGTTTCTGCATGTTAACACCGAGAAGTCTCTCTTCCCCCTTAAGGCTCATTGCTCAAGCTAAATGCCAGAGCTTCTACCAGTTTGATCTCCTCTTCATCTATCCCTCCCGTTCTCATCACTTCGATGAGGTCTTCCTCCGACTCCGTTGGCCAGAAATCGTCTTGTGGTTGACCTGTGACTTCGGCGTTACTTTGAAGCGGGCGTCTCAGCGGCTCTCCGGGCGTCCCAGTTCGTGCGTCTCTGGATCGTTTCTCCACGCCCTTGCCTTTCGATAGACCTGTAGGATCATATCCTCGATTTTCAGCTCTACATTGGATTCTGCTCATGCATGCCACCTCTCCAGGCAATGGAGGCAGGCCTCGCCTAGAACGTATTTCTTCGAGTCGTTGCTCCGCCTCTTCCCATTTAGTTCGTTCCTCGTCATGTTCTGAGGGTTCTCCACCCGCTAGGTAATCGTCTTCACCTAGTTGTAGGTTGTTGCTCCTTGCCCTTACCTTTGTCGAGTTTCCGTGCAGCAACATGCTCTCTCACATTCTCCAGTTGTTGCTCCTTGCTTTTGCCGTTATCATGTTTCCGTGCTCCCTCAGGTTCTTCGGTCGCTAAACCACTCGCCCCGCGTAGGACCATGAACTTCCAGACATACTTTCCAACAATCGTTCTCTTTTCCTTGGGCCAAAACCCATAATCACCCAGATCAATTGCGTAGTCACCGACTTCTTCGAAGCCATCTCTTGTACAGATTTCGAGCGAAGTACGGAGCTTGCACCCATGTAGCCCATTCTGTTCCGACCATAACTCGACGGCGTGCTCAAGCAAGCCATTTGCGACGCCTGCCTTTTGGAAATCTGGATGCAAGACAAGTGTGTTAATAATGCAATGATCGTGAGGAAGATGTTTGGCCTGCAAACTGGAAGAAGCCTGCTTGATCGTGTCCCAAACGTTGCTTTTTTTGCCAGCGCTATCGAATTGCCACAATTTAAGTATGTGCGAACACATTGCCGTCCATTCCAGTCTTGCTCCATAGTCGGCCCTGTTTTCCACTTCCTTTCCCTCGATATCAAAGCTTAACGCTACCCACCCCACGATCTGGTTCGACGATTGTAATCTTGCGAAGAAGAATTCATAGTCCTTTCTTGTGATTAATTCTTCGATTGTCCTCGCCATTGTATCTTTCCCAAAGGGGTACAGGTACATGACTTGCGCGAATTTGTCAAGTTGGTGTAGTTCATGGTGGAGAAGGATCAATTCGTCCACACTAGGTCTGCGCCTCCACCAGTCCGTTCTCGCCCACCGCGAGATGTCCACTGGTACTCTGTTAGGCATGGTGAGCAGAAGTAACGGCTGCGAGTAGCCGAGTGAAAATGTGCTAGAAAATCGAATTCGAGGTGGATGTAAAATGTTCCGGCGAACACTTGGCGAGATTCTAAGCTGTCATGCTAGCATTGATAGAAAGACTATGAAGAGCGATTGTTTGCTGTCTTCATTTCCAGCCAAGCATTCGGCAAACATCGTCTGACTCGAAAGTCGAGTTGGAAAATTGACGCCACGAGCGCAAAAACGTCTTCGGGTATGTTGTATTGCCACGTAAGGACATGCACTCATTGTCGTCACTCGTCGAGTGACCCCCAATCTGGAAGCAATCACATATCTCATCACGAAGATCGACTTAAGCTGATGTCCTCACACTAATGCAGGATGACCACATCATGGCATGGTTGGGCATCATGGCGTTTAGAGCAGCTTTGGTGGCGACAGTGAAGCAGCAACTCAGATCAAGACCGGTTTCTCTTATCCAAGGATGATGTCGAATTTGGGTTCAAAACTGGTATGGGACTTGTCTGAAAATCGAGACGACCCGCACAGTCTGGTGGAGATGGATTTCTAGTAAACGCACGGGAACTAGAAACTGTGGCTGGCTCAAGCCGAGCTTCAAATCTTACACTCTGTATCAGCAGATGAGTACACAATTGTTGGACGTTGGAGACCAAACCAAGGGTTGGGAGAAGCCGACAAGTCTCTGTCCTTCCAGCGATGCCGTCTGACCGGCAATCTTGTATCCACTATGACTCAAAGCACGAATTTAACTGCTGTGACAAGCCAACCAGAGATAGCTTTGGCTTGGAGACTTTTTGTACCGACGATGCTTCCAATTTGTAGATACTGACAGAAAGTCGTGGTAGGACGGGAAAAAAGCGAGATGCTCGAGACGCACACGTGACTCTTCTCCCGAGGCCTTGGCGGATCACAATTAACCAATCTTGATTTCTTTGGTGATGCACAATACATGCATTGTGAGTCGTAGTTTAGCGGTCTCGAGAGACTTGATGTACGCAAAATATCCCCGGTGTGGTTGTCTCTCCTGGATTTTATACATCCTGCACCTCAAAGTCTCGCGGTATCTACTTCAACCGTTATATGATCCACGTTACATCTGGACTAGAATGGCCAAATTCGAGAGGTAGACAGAAGTGGAATATACCTATGACCGAGGACATGAGTACTTAGAGAAAAAGCAACATAGCTGCCAAAGCAAAGACTCCGATGACAGGAGTGGTCCCTCTCGCAAAAGCATCCTTGGATTTCAAGACAACGGTCGGACCGGTGTGGCCTGCAATCCAGCCATGTAGAGGGCTATAAATTTCGATCATACCGGTGATAAGAATCCCTCGTGCTTTTTGTAGTATTCCTTTAGACAGATGGGAAGGGCATAACTTCGATCCTGATAGAAGCCATTGTTGGAGGTCTTTTTCTGAGAGGTCATTGAGATGCTCTATCCAGTCCACGGGTCCATTTCAGTATGGGTTTGTACAACGGTATCGTTCGAGGTAGCAGGTTCCTAGACAAAGGGAAGAGGTCCGCAATATTTGCTTTTCCATCATCGCCTCCCCAACGAACACACGAAGGACTCCCGTAGAAAGTCTCGACTTTGCGGTTGATGGTCTGTCAGCCTCTCAAGTATCTCAAATGGCGGTGAGAGTATGACTCAACCCGAGACGGCGCAATACGACGAGAATGGAAGGAAGAATGGCCTTGGTCTTGTCAGGTCTCGGAAGTCTTGGAATTTGCAGGAGTTTAGGGGGTCTACCGCTTACTCGTCAGCACAAACGCAGCCTCTGCTCCAAGTACATTGGATGATTTACCCCAAATCCGAAGTTTTCTGCGTAGTTTCTACCAACATCTGCTCATCATATTTTCGCTCAAGTAAGCAGGGAAGGGCATCAAACGCCACCAGCTACAGTACGCGTAATCGCCACCTTGCCACATATTGCCACCCACTTAGCCGAATTTTTTTCCCGTTACGGCTGCCTATACGTTCCATTTGTATTCCGTTGAACTCTTCATGTTTCCAATATTGGGTACAGCATGGCCAAGCTCGCGGGTGCCAGAAATATCCGGACACGCCAAGAAGTCTCTCCACCTTGTCAGCTGAGAGAACTCGATGATTGTTCTCTTCAAGGATAAACTTTTGCAGAGAGATCTATTGTATTAATGAGGTCCTTCAATTATCTCGCAAGAACCTTCAGCTAGGGCTCTTAATTGTGAAATTATCATCGACTTTTCAATTTTTAGATGTGCGGATATTTCTGGCACCCGCGAGCCAAGGAAGACCCACCTGCTTCTAGGAAATGCAGAGAGGTCAATGCCTTCGGCCCCAAGCCAAATGCACTAGCAAACAGTGGAGACGGAAGCGGAAGGCTTGCGAGGCGACTTTGCTATTGGTGCGACTCCCTCCGCTGCGAAATTCAATGCAAAGGCCATAACAGAAGAATGGCCGAGTTCATTTCACGAGACGTAGGCGGTCATAAAGCTGACGGGAGACCCATTTGCCGGTTATTCGCTGGCAATAGAAGCAGTCGTTAGAATTGCAAAAGTCGGTGGTGCTGACTCGAACGTCCGGTCTCGCCGAACATGGTCGCGAACCCGTGGACCAAGTGGCAACACTGATCCGAATTCTTCACCGCCGAAAACCGAAAGCTCTGGCAAAGTCAGCCGTGGGAAAGAATGCCTGTTTTCCGAAGTCTGGTGAGCTGTCCACGGACAAATCACGGATCGCGCCTTCCAACGCGGTGAAGAATTCCAGGAACAAAGGCTGATTAACCTTCATTTCCGTCTTTCGCATGATCATTGAGGCAGTCATGCTTTCAAATCAGCTGTTACTTCTTGCCACTGAACGCGGCACTGCCCCATAGGGTCGAGCACATCAGTTCGTAAGTTCTCTCTGTACCTACTCTGCAACTTTCAGCTCTCGGCGTTCGTTGCGCACAAAGTGGGCAATGAAAGTTACGATTCTAATTCGGTGTGGCCACTGAACCGGAGACAGTGGGCGATATGAAGCGAATCATTTGTTCGGCAGATCATACATGTAATGCAACGAAAAGGGGAACCAATAACAAACTGTTTGGGGACTCGCAGAAGACAGATAAACGGAACATGTACGTCTACAGCTGCGTGTCGCATGATGATGCCCAAGCGACGATCCTTGAGAAACAATTCAAGTGAGGAAGAGAGTTGGTGGATGCCTCCCATTTGTTCGCAACTTGTAGATTAACACGAAACTTCATGTAAATTTTGTAGAGTCTCAAAGTCCTATCCCTCGACTCTGGCAAAATTCCATGGGCAGGACCCGTTCGAGATACCTACAAGTAATCATGAGCCTTGCTCGTTCGGGCCCACAGGGCACGTCCACTGCAGAGCGGAAGCATGCATATTTCCCTTCTCGGGTCGGTATTCTAAGTAGATCTAGAGTCTTACCGTCGGCTGACTGTTCCGGCGCCTAAGCACAGCCTCAGAATGCCTAGCGACATAGAAATTTCTTACATGATTATAGTGTGAGGCCATTTGAGCGAATTGAGGAACTCTAAGAAGAGGACCATATTTCGCATCTTGTAAGGCGGCAATTGTTCCCGCATGCTAATTCATGGAATGGTGTAGTATTAACTTGTCTAAGCAAGATAGCGACATCTTTAAGCCACGCGTTGGACCGAGATGTCGTTCCAGCTTAGAGGGTATTTGATCCCATAATAGGTTCGATTCCTATTGGCGCTGGTACAATGGTGTAGTGGGTTTTTTATTTTCTGGCAGCGCCAATACTGCAGTGTTGCCGTTGCATCTTCCCCGAAGGTCGTGGGTTCGAATCCCAGTTGTATCTGGTCTGGCTTGAGTGCAGCAGCAGAAGTGTTGTCCTTGTCGTGCGGGGGCACGCACCTGTAGTTGCGGTCGAGCTTAGAGGGTATTTGATTCATAATAGGTTCGATTCCTATTGGCGCTGGTACAATGGTGTAGTGGGGTTTTCCTTTTCTGTTCCTGCAGAGTATTGCTGTATAGCCATAAAAAAGGGGCCGCATCTGTGGAGCCAAGTGTCACGGCAAATAGTCTTCGTGGTTGAAAGTATGTTTAGGTATTCTCTTGTTCGTAGCCTTGCCATGTAATAATGCTGTAAGGCTTCCAGGCTAGACCATCAATGCTGAGATGCTTCCTGGCTACCAGGCGTACGCAAAGTTTCGACCAGCCTTTGGCGTCTGGTATCAACGACTGGTATTTGATGGTGGAGACGAACACGCGTCGCTAGCCGATGGGCAATCCAAAATGTCTGCCAATACTGCTGTCAGCGTCCTGAATTCCACGTGAGTATATGTAGATATCTTAGCAATTCTCAGACTCTTCCAGACATGCTGCCGATGCCCAGTATTGCAGAACTAGACGCCTAACTGAAATGTGTCTGCGACCTCCTGAACTCCGCCCGACAGCGTAATGGCCCATTGCACCATTCTCATTGACCGCATGCTGTAAAAGGTTGGCCGCTTCGTCCGTAGCATACCAGAAACTCTTGCATACAGCTTGTCAAATCTGGCCTCTGCTCACCCCCAGCGATACCAATAATGAAGCAGGTCCAGCAATAGACGCCCGTTGACTCCACCATCCATACTAGATAAAGATAATCAGCAATTCATTGTCCAGGACTTTGCAGGCTCAACTTGCGTTTTTGAGAGGTTGGAGTCCCCCCCAAAGGTGTCGAGGCGACAATCATACACTAGGTGACTACAATTTAGGGGTAAGCACAACAAAATCTAGTGCCATCGAACCTCATTCTGATTTGTGTGTTTCGTCGTCGTCGAAAGTCCTTCTTGAGGTGACCCTATTGTCGTGTTGACCGCTGCCTGAAATGTGGTCTGGCGGCGTGTGAAGAACTCATCCAAGAACATCAGGGGCGGGTGGGTTGTGTTCTGCAAATTCGTGTGAAATTGGAGAGAAGAGTAACATTCTCGCCACCAAGTCCAGTTCGAAATTTTCGTTTGCCACCACCAGCCTTTGGTTGACTGACTGTGCTCATGCAGTGACCTTTGGAAGTGGCGAATGCGAAGGCGAAACCCTTCAACCTAATTTAGTATTCCAAAAGCGCGAGAGAGTGTCTGTCACCATTTTCAGCGGAACAAGATGTCGCATGCTACGACTTACGATGATTATGAATGTTGTTACCTTATCAGCGGTTGCCGCCCAGATACACGGTCAGTAAAGCGAGGTTTACTAAGACCAATTTCTCATTGAGTTTGGATCATCCTCACACCGCACATCTACAAGACTAGGTTTCCAGGAAAAATCTGCAGCTGCCGAGAAAGCTCCACTGTATCCTTGTTGAGAGACGCCACTGCAACACCAGCTGAAAATCGGCACAGCAATGCATTTCAAGCCAACGAAGCGTACGAAAGATGTCGTGGGGCCGGAGTGAGGACTCAAACGGGCCATAGGCATCGGATCTTGGTGTGGTTCTGCCTAAATGAATGGATGTTGCCTTTCAATAGTTCATTGCGATCTCCGTAATGCCGCTGGACCTAGACTTGCGATTGGAGACGTAGACCGAGGACTCTCGCGCCGCATTTCTGGCGAGCCACGATCCACGCCACGAAGATTATTCGTGTGGTTGCTTTTGAAAGAGTCAGGAAAACGTCTGCAGCAAGCCTAGCACCCAGGGCCAATACCTCCACCAGCTTCCAGAATAGGCGTCATTTTGCATTCTTGGCCAACTTTGATATTGAAGCGTAGCGTGACTGCAGATTGTGCAAGGCATTGATGGGCCCAGGTGTACATCGGTTTGTAGTCGCTAGAATCTGGGGTTGGAACTCATTGCAGGGTACAACACTCCGGTTCTTCACAGATCCGAGGCTCGTTTTGATCCCCAAAGCCAGTAACCCTTACATTAATGACCCACACCTAAGGCTGCCAGCATTTGCATGAATCAAGACGGGCTTTCGGCAATGATAGACACTCGTGTGTTTTGACTTGAAGCGATACAGTCATACCTACCATCAATCAGACCTCGCTCTCCCCTTTTGACTTCACAGCTTCGGCCAGATTTCGTTCTTGATTGAGCTTTACCGCAGAGATTGTGGTGCAGCAGACGAGGCTCCGGCTTCCTGATGGATCAGCTGAGGGCTGACGCTTACAAGGCAATCCAAATGCAGACCGCTTTTTCATTTCTATCTAAGGCACTGGTAAGACCAGCTAAGCGTCCCTGTGGAATCACGGCATGAAAAGCCTCAAACGTTGCAACCGGAGTAGAGAAAGGCTTTGGGCCAAAGGTCAAGATCTGTAGGTTATGAAGCTCGCAACTCCATCTGGGACTGGTCAAGCCGGATTGGTGCTGATACAATTGGAGCCGCACGTGCATCCTGGATGTTGTGCTTCAAGGGGGATTGCCAATTTCCATTTAAGTACAACAAACATATAGCTCACCATACGTCGTCGAAGAACAAAGGTCAACGGTAGCGCAGAGCCTTACTATGAACTGTGAAATGAGCAAGGCGAGTTAAGGCAAACAAACATCCAGCAGGATGGTCTCATATTGTGGGTTGTCTCGTAGTCAGGACTAAAGCAAGGCTCGATCCTTGAAAGCAACCTCTCGAATCGACAGCCTTGCATATTATCAGGCCTCCGCCCTTGGAGATTGCGGATTTTTGCCTACTTATTGCCTGCTTTTTCGCTCGGCAACACTAGGCGCCCCGCCAGTGGTGCGCGATCCATTTGAGGCTCTGCGAGCTTTTAATCGCCAAAAGGCATCCATTCACCATCTATATTTATGAAAGGCCAGAGCAGACGTGAATTTGCAGACGCTCACTGTCGTAAAAGACCCTGGGCCTACCTTACCAAAGTCCAAGTTCATTCGCCTCCCGACGGAGACGCCGATCAATTGCCTTGGCTAGTGGGGGCGAGCGATGAGCGACACTGACACTCTGTTCCGAAAGTACAGTCACCTGCTACATGGCCATTTCACCCCAACAGCTGCAGAATGCTGATGATAACACTCAGCCACAACATAAGCACGGGATGCTCTAGCCGGCTTCCTAGTCATCCATACGTGCATAGGAATGGGCCAGCCATCCGATCTGGATGCCAAGATTCAAAGTCGTCTACGTCCTGCCGCTGGAGGATATGGCAGCGGCTACACATGTCCAATCTGCGAGAGATGGTTTCAGGCATGGCCCAAGGCATGGAAGCACGCCAAGGAGGCTCACCAAGACTTTTTCGAGGACATAGGGTCGACAGAGGAGGTTGAGGCAAAAAAGAGGTTTCAGGCTACAAAAAAGTACGTTAACACACTGTGAGCGTGACCGGAAGTTAGCGTATGGGTCAAAGGCTTTGGCTGAGCGATCCCTTGTCCCAATCATCATAAGTCGGCTGACACACGGACCTCTAGGCAGAAGCAGCCGGACCCTAGTGAGGTTGCAATCAGTCCAGCCCAGTCGAAGCCTTCCTCCGTTGGCAATCGCATTACGCCCACCATCGAAGGAGATCTGAGGCCCTATCCTTCTAATCGACCTAATTCTGCGCCGGGCGACGGACAAGGAGATGGAAAGAGAATCGATGACTTTGGACATCTTACGATTGGCCAAAGGCGAGCCACAGGCACACATGATAGACTTGGGGATGAAAAACCTGTTCTAGAGAGCAATCCACGTAAAAGGGGAGCGGAAGGCGAGTCTGGCTCGCCAGTGCTACAACCATTAGCTGCACAAAGACCAATCTCCATGCTTGCGAGGGCGCGCCATGCGAAAAGCGGCTCTCGTGGATTCTCGATTGGTAAGGAGGAGTCCGATCTCAACCGGCAGCAAGCGACTGAGAACGACCCGGAATTCAAACGCGGTGCCCCTGGGTCAATCAAGCCACTGTGGGATCCGAATATAGATGACCCTAACACACGTAAAGCTGCCCGAAGAGATAGGCAGCCTGGTCATGTAAACAAGCCCCCTCGGCGTCCACATCCTTCAAGGGAGCCCAGGTCCAAACCAAAGAAGCCAGACGTTGTTGATGAACAGCCGAACGTTGCGGATACTCGGGAACAGACCATGTCTACTGAGCCCCATGTCACTCATTTTGATAGTTCAAGAAAAACTAGGATTTTAGCAAAGAAAGAGCCACCGCCTTCCGATGGCGACTCTCCACCCGGAGATGAACCGTCTGAAGGCTCGGAAGCTGAACCTGAGATGCTCCTACAGCCCGACACCAGGCCTATTTCTCATGAGCAGCTTGTAGTGGAAGTGAAGGGTATCTACGCTGGTTTGGTCATGGTCGAAGCTAAATGTATAGACATCGACGAAAGGCAGTCGGCTGCCGCCCAGGAAAAGGACCCATCCAAAAAGATCGACTTAAAGAATGATCAGTGGCAGTCACTCATTGCACTTCATAAACAACTTTTACATGAGCACCACGATTTCTTTCTGGCATCGCAGCATCCTTCTGCGAGTGCAGCTCTAAGCAGGTTAGCAGCTAAATACTCCATGCCAGCTCGAATGTGGCGACACGGGATTCACGCCTTCCTCGAGGTCTTGAGACACAGGCTTCCACAGTCACTGGAGCATATGCTTGCCTTCATTTACATAGCATACTCGATGATGGCTCTACTTTACGAAACGGTATCCACCTTCGAAGATACTTGGATCGAGTGTCTTGGTAAATTCCGAAGATCCCAATTCATTTTTTGTTTTACTCATTTTTTGTCATATAGGGGATCTAGGAAGGTACAGGATGGCCATTGAAGATGATGAACCCAAGGACCGCGAGGTTTGGAGCAACGTAGCCCGTTTCTGGTATAACAAAGCAGCTGACAAGAGCCCAAATGTCGGCCGGCTTTATCATCATCTGGCCATCCTTGCTCGCCCTTATACCCTCGAGCAGCTATCGCTTTACACCAGGTCCTTGACTTGTGTCACTCCTTTCGAAAGTGCCAAAGGAAGTATCATGACCCTCTTCAATCCCATTCTCAACGGCAAAGAATCAGCAACCCGTCGATCCTCATTCGAAACCATCTTCATTAGAGCACATGGGATTCTCTTTACTAAAGGCCCCGCTGATCCTTCGGACCGATTCGATAGGGCCATCATGGAACTTGAAGCCGACGACCTATTAGAGAATTACATTACGAAGACTGCTGCCAGGTTCAAGGAAGCGGGAGTCTTTGCTGCTGTTGCGAATATTGCTGCGTTGTTCGAATATGGCATTGCCAAACACGGAGTACCAAAGCCAATCCTTCGCTTGGCATTTGAGGCCTCTGAAAATGCTAATCAAGTAAAAGACGAGCAATTCGGGATATCAGATTTTGACGCTTTTATGTCATGTTCTCCCGGACCATCCGTCGAAGTGGTTACGCTGGCTTCCAAAATTGCTTTCGGAACATTGAGCATTTCTCTAAGACGCCCCGAGGACCCAAACGTTCATCCCTTAGTGCATGTATACCTTGTATTCCTTCGAACCTTTGTTGGTGTCGAACAGGCCATGAAGTGCATCGAAACCTCCGTTCCGTGGAATGGACTCTGCACCTTCCTCAATTTTCTATCTACACCGTCTCGAGCTGCGGATCCCAGCTTCCGTTCCAAAGACTTTCCGGAACCAGAGGAAGGACCTGGACGCCCACTCCCCGAGGATTTCGTTATGCGGGGCCAGCTGTACAGCCAGTGGTACTTTCCAGAGGCTTGGTTTACGGATGCGATGATCGATGATGATGAACGTACATTGGATTTGCCATCCATGGCTAAGCCGCGTGCAGACAGGCTCTTTTGGCTTGGGCACAGCATAGCTTCTGTTTGTCTGACCACAATTGCTTTGGATATTGCACTAACTCTGTACTAGGCTAAGAAATGGATACACTTTGACGAAGTGGGCAGATGCTTCTCGCCTACGGCTTACGCCAACGAGATTTGTGAATGCTCAACGGCGGAGACTCTGTCGGATCAGATTGAGATAGAATCTCAAACAGAAGCAGATTCCAACGACGAAGACAGTACGATGGAAGATGCGGGTACCATTCCCGAGACACCTCGAACCATGAGTCTCGCTCTGTCCGACTCCCAGGCTGCCTCAGAAGAGTCGACGCGAGCATCGACCCCAACGGAGAATCGCACTGAAGATGTCCCTGCCTTTGAGCGAGACGATGTTGCTGACGATGTTACGATGAAGGACCTTGGTCCTGAAAAGGCTATATTAGCAGGTACTGCGGATGAGGTTCGTAATCCAAAGGCTGCTTCATGGCCATCAAGTACTGTCATCCACCCCAGTTCACCACCTTGGAAGGCAGGAAAGACTAAACAGGAACCGGTCGATTATGCCTCGGATCCCCAGAAACTTGAAGAGCTGCTCAGGCTCAATGAGCCAGACTCTTCTGATTTGTATAAGGCATGACGAATTTCGGCATTTTTCACACCTGTAGTCATCATAACGAACAACAATGCTACGGACTGTGACTCGCATATCGGGCTTACCCGATTGGGCCTTCAACACTCATATCGGGGATTCGGTCACCGTGACTTCATGCAATGCCGCCCCTCACCGGACTGCAGTTGCCTCACCATCAGCCCTCACATCGTGGGCGAACCTGCAGAAATGGAACTCGTCCTTCATCAGGCTACAGCATTGGCTGGCATCGCATGGCTGGATTAAGCATGCAAATGTCTTTGCCGAGACCCCTACTGTTGCTCTCCTACTCAAACATCAGAAATGTCAATCTCGCGCATTTACGGGCCAACCAGACTCGGCTTTCTACACAGCGCTCATACGTTCTATACTCATGACGGCATTTCAGCTATATCCCCACTGCTTTCTTAGCCGTTAATTTGTGTATAGCCGGCGGAATTTCGGGAATAAGATTTAGAGAATGGGGGATTCTACTGGGGCCGAACCCATTGCGTGGAAAGTACATGCGCTCGAGCAGGGAACTACCTGGACTCTGAATGTCTCACATTGCCTGATGACTGCTGCAGCTTCTGGGTGGGGTCAAGGAGGGACGCAAAAATCAAGGACTGGACAATCGAGTGGGGGTGTTGCGTTAGTGCATAATACTCTAGCACAAGCCTTTGGAACGGATACTTGATGGCTTTTCGTGGCAGCCAGCGAGTAGGCTGTGGTTTGTGTAATTCAGCCTGGTGATCACAAGCTATGCAGGTAAGTACGGCAGTACCTCGCGGCTAACATTCCATCAAAGGAAGTGCTGATGGGAGAGCTGCGTATGCGTCTCGCACAGTCCCTTGCCCAGTCAATGCTGCACGTTGCCGGGGGCGACTCGGTTTCTTAGGTGCGGGTAGGAGCATATGAGGAGGCCTGAAATCAAGTAGGATATGTGGGCCAGTAGATTAGAACAATGGTGAATGTCATGAGGCTGATCACTCAGTCGAACAATCGATGTTTGATGTGTACAGACCAATCAAATCAAACGGCTGCTGTGACTTTGTTTCACGGTGGATTCTCGGTTTCTCTACGGTTCTACAGAGTTAGTGTTAAGACTTTTAATACGTCCTCGGAATTCAACGGAATCTTGGATCTGTTATCTGTATTTTTCCAACTAGCGTGAAACCCAGTTTCGACAGAGTCCACTCTCTCTCCAAGCAGAGGGAAGTCACCCCCGCGAGAAACTTATCTAAATCGATTATTTTTGAAGTCAGATCTCTAAAAAGCGTTCAAAAATTCTCTATCTAGGATTTCCGAGAATTTAGCTCGACAAGCTTGATACTCATATTCACTAGAATTTGCAACTAGGATTTGCAATGTTTAAAATCTACTTCTTAAAATTTATTATTTTACAACAACATAATTAAAAACTAGAAAGAAAAGTTAAAAGAATATAAAATATAATTATTAGAATTTTTTTCTTTTTCTAAATTAGACTGTCAGACCAGCATAGGTGCGATATTAGTATGGGTGAGGTAGAACGAGGATAATAAGGCTACCGAACTATGTAGGTGGGAAGGAGGCATGATATCCGATAACCTCCCACATGTAACAAATCCATTTTTCCTACTACCCCTCGTACCATCTCTACTACCACTCTACTCCCACCATATAATCTACTATAAATGGCTTGTATCTAGTCTAGAGACTACATAGCAACTACCCTATCATGAAATCGCTTCACACAGTCCCCTTTGCGACATAAGAAGACTTTATATACACTGCACCCCCTTAGTCCTTGGGGAAATACCACTATTACCACTAATCTCTCTATCAAAACCCCTCCCCTTAATGTCTATGCGACATTGAAATATACGTACGACTACTCTTCAAGTTCTACCAGTTATGATTACCTCGTAAATGCCCTAATAGTATAATAATAGAGGGTGAGGTAGATTTGTTACATTAGATTCGGGAGGTTATCGGATAGTAGGGATGTCTCCGCCAAGGCCCGCTAGCCATAGGGCTGAGGGCTGAGTGATGTGTCAAGGGTACGCTCGTAACATAGACTTAAATTAATAAAACTATAAAATAGTATATTAAGATATAATCGTCGAAGTTTATTACGCTATTATATAAATTAAGGAAGTGATACACGTACACCCCCTTTTTATACATGTACACTCTTTTGATACATGTACACCCCCAAATCGATCAGCTTCCGCGCGGCCGCTAGCCGCATAAAGTATAAACCCGCACATAGCCGAAGTAGGGCACACGAGACGGACAGCGAGGTAGTCGGCAGCGAGGTAGTCGGCAGCGAGGTGGACGTGGTACGCCAGCCTACATGCAGGGTAACGAGATCATATTTGATACCTTTCAGCTGTAGGAAGGCCAGGTGGCCAATAGATAGTGAATATTCGAGTACGATAGGCGTATTTCTAGTAGCAACGAGAGAGGGTAGCCAGCCAATCAGCTGTCGCCATAGAAGGACAATCCAAAGACCTCACCATCCGACGATTTGAAACCGTCTGATCTTTTAGACTATTATCAGGAGAGGCGGGAAGGCTTGCCTTGCTACCACCAAGAGTCTCGACAATACACAGATATTCCCCAGGAAGCTATGTGCGAGGTTTATACCTTATGCGGCTAGCGGCCGCGCGGAAGCTGATCGGATTTGGGGGGATGTATTAAAAGGGGGGTACATGTATAAAAAGGGGGTGTACGTGTATCACTTCCCTAAATTAATTATTATTATACTCGATTTTAAGAATTCTTAAAAATATAAAAATCGTATTTTATATCCTCTTAGAATTCTTTTTAAGTTTCTTATTATAATGCTATGAAATAATAAATTATAAAGATTAAGTTTTAGAGATCGTAAATTCTAGTAGATTATAAATTCTAGTAAATAAACTTATAGACTTAGCAACATCGCAACGAATCTATATATTCGTTTTTCTAATAAAAATAAAACCTATTAGCATATATAACGTGATATGAATATATCGATAGTTTAGTGCTATTACTTAACAGTCGCTAAAAGATAAAGATAGTCTCGTAAATAATACATTTTGAATATAGTTCTCTAAGGCCCCTTCGGTAACCACATATTTTCAAAATATGCCAACGTATATTACCCCACCTCTTGGCAAATGGAATGTGGGTTCAAAACAGCACTAGTAGACACTTGAAAATGTGTTAAATATATTTACGGTTTCGTTCGGTAACCTCGTAATCTCGCTGAGTAAGAATCGAATGTAGGTGTTAGCAACTCAGCTAAAAAGCTTGGTCCGGGGGTGTCTGCGCTTGACAGCCAGACACCCCTATTTGGACCTAAATAGGGCCCCCCAGGGCCTTCGCAGGGCCCCCGTAGGGGCTGCTGCTAACAGTAGGATAGTCGAAAAATACTTTCTCGTCAGAGACAATTGCCTTCCTACCTACCATTCAACAGTCTTATGGCTGACATACCTACTGCTGCACAGGCTTTGGCCATTGTTAATGCTTCTATTGCCCCCGTCGTTACCCCGTCTCCTGTCATAATGAGAAGAATAGTACTGAGCAGCAGTAAGAATGACACTTGCAGCTACCTCTTCAAACAGAGAGTCATCCATGACTGAAATATAGCTATTGTAGTCATGAAATGTGGCTACCAGTCATGGAAATGAAAAATATCGCTATTGCAGTCATAAATGTCCATTATTTCTGTGTGCTTAGCGCACATTGGGCCTCAAATTATGGGTCGACCCATAATTTACATATTTTCAATGTGCAATGTGGCCTGGCAAGTGAAAATATGGTTACCGAACGTAACCGTGTATTAATAGTACGCTAAGTTGAAAATATGTTGGCATATTTTGAAAATATGTGGTTACCGAAGGGGCCCTAAACTCAGGTAGCCCCTTAGCGTAGTTTTACGCCAAGCCTAATAGACGCCCTTCAACATCTCTGATACTTGACGACCAATACAACTTTCTCACCAAAGGAAGCTCGTCTGAATCACAGCCTCAAACGTCGGCTTTTCAGGCGACTGGCACCAATCACTGATCGCACCCACATCATCCAATCCTGACCATGGCCCCCACCCCAACCTCTTTGCTCTCCACCCACCAGTCCCCCTCCTCCGACCTCCACATCAACCTGCACCCTCTCATACTCCTCACAATCTCCGACTACATAACCCGCCACACGCTCCGCCGCCAGGAAACCCCCATAGTAGGTGCCCTCATCGGCCAACAGTCCGGCCGCTCAGTCAGCCTCGAGCACGCTTTCGAATGCCAGACCGTGCAATACAACGGACAGATACTGCTGCACGAGACGTGGTTCAAAGACCGATTGCAGCAGTACAAAGATGTGCATCTGGCTCCAGCTCTGGAGCTGGTGGGATGGTTCACCACGATCCCGGTGACGGGGCCCGAGGGCGCGCATGTGCCCATCCACCAGCAGATCTTACACACCTACAACGAAACCGCCGTCCTCCTCGCCTTCCACCCGGCCAGCGTGCTCGAAGAAGGGGCAGCGGTGGGCGGCAAGCTCCCGCTCACGATCTACGAGAGCGTCTACGAGAACAACGAAGGCCAAGGCATGGAGGTCGACGGCGCCGAAGCACCGCTGGAGCTGAGGTTCCGCGAACTGCCCTACAGCGTCGAGACCGGGGAAGCGGAGATGATCAGTGTGGACTTCGTGGCCAGGGGCGGAGGGAACGCCACGGCCATCGACAGCGCAGCGAAGGATACGAAAGGGCAGGCGTCGCAGAAGGCGGTTGGGCAGGTGGACAGGAAGGGGAAAGCGGTGGACAGGGAGAGTAAGGCCGTGGATGATTCGAGCATGTTGAGTTCGGAGGATGAAGAGCGTATGCGACCGCCATTCCACCCTTCACTTCCCGCAATGCCGTTGCTAATAATAGAGGCAGTCATCGCATCCCTCACCGCCCGCGCGAACGCAGTAAAGATGCTCCACGCCCGCATCCAACTTCTCAAAGCCTACCTCACATCCCTGCCACCATCCTACCTCACAACCACCACCACCACCACAGATCCCCCCTCAGACCCCACCACACCCCCAACCGACGCCCCAATCTCCGAAATCAACCACCCGCTGCTCCGCTCGATCCTCGCCCTGCTCTCGCGACTCCCCCTCCTGTTACCACCAGAACACCACTCCACGTTCCGGCAGGAAACGCTCGCCGAGAAATCGGACGTGGAGCTGGTGTCGTTACTCGGGAGCCTAGGCAGGAGTGTGAAGGAAGCGCGGGAAATGGGGCGGAAGTTCGGGATGGTGGAGGGAGCGAGCAGGGGGAAGGGGAAGAGCGGGTATATGAGCATGGCCGGCGGGGCCATGGATGATGTGTGGAGTCAGGGAGTGAATGGTGATGGCGGGTCGGGAGGTGGATCCAATGGGGAAGGCTTGAGTATGGATGGCGGGTATGCAATATGAGAAGGCTATTGGGCCGGATGGCTTGAATATTTTCAGCTCCAACAGAGGAGCAATTCCATTCCTGCATGAGAGTTGATGAAAATAAATGCATTTAGAGCGGCATAGCATCGGTTTCCACCCATCCAGATTCTAAGAGTAGCAATGCCATCAATATATGAAACAACATTTGCTCCTGTCGCTCCTGCTGCCTATCAATCGCTCAAGCTAGCGAAGTAAGCGGGTATCTCTGCGAACTTTAGTAGCCACAGCAAGTAGTGTAAAACCGAAGGAATATCTTCCACCCCATGGTTTCTCTCCGTCAGGTTTCAAACCTGCCCTACTCTGGGCCGTGAGGCACTTCGTCGCGGCTCAGTACCCATACCCACCTGGCGTCATTTCCACGCGCAGCAGATAGCGGAGCTTGACCTGGGCTATGTCGTAGGCGATGTATTCCTACTCTCTGTCAGCGCGGGGTTTCTGGGTAGAATGGAAGAGGTGAGAGCGTACGTTGTACTGCAGATAGCTAGACGCATAGTTCGCCGGACCTGGCTCCTTGGTCGTGTTAGGCTGTCACTTTCGGTCAGTATCACCCCAGTCCTCAACAATCTGGCTGGAGCAAACACATACCATCATCACCCCTTTTAAATCCGCATTCACGCAACCCGCATCTTTCCAACCCCTAGGAGCAGTAGCACCTCTACCCCAGGTGGCAATGCATCCGTGCTGTTTAGCCAATTCCGCAGCATCAGAACGGCCGATTTCGAGTTCGAGCATCGGTTTGCCGAGTTCGACTTCGCAAAGGAGAAGGAGGCCGGTGTTACTGGAAGCATGGGACTGGCAGTAATTGGCGGATTTGGAGGAAATGTCGGCCTATTGTGGTGTCAGTAATGGGATTGCATGGCCTGTTGCATGGCTTGTCGGGGTTTTATTTGGAAGGAATGAAAATGGGCGTGTACCAGGTAGACGCCCTTGCCAAACGCGTAGCCGTTTACTGGAGCTTCTGGAGGAGCGATACGAAGGCCTTGAGACAGGATACCGCCGTAGTTGGTGACTCGAGAGCCATGCCAGAGAAGACGGCGGTCGCTACCTTTGGCTTTTGCGTAAGGTGACTGCTCGAAACGCTCCTCTTCGCCGTTACGCTCGATGCGGAAGATGTCTTGGACCTGGAGATACGGGGTAAGTGTCTGGAGATTGACTGAAGCGGACAGAGCTGTACCTTGAATGAGAGATGATGGGTATGTCCGTGAGATTTGATCAGGTACTCCTGGAGGAGCGTGAATTCGTCCGAGACGATGTTGACTGAGGAGACATCAGTCAATGAGATTACGTCACAGTTCAGAGCCAGCAATGATGGAGCACTAAGAATGACAAGACCACAATCTGCTACAAGAGAGGAATCAAAGCTTACGAGGCGTCATCTCCCGCAATCCTAGCCCAGCAAATTGGCGATCGAGCGCATTGATAGCAACGTCTCCCCCGGTGTCTTTCATGATGACATGAGCAATCTGCATATCGCTCAGTGATTCCATCAAGCTGATTTCCTTCTTCAACTTCTCATCGGATGAGATTACTGGCGGTCGGTTCCGACCGAAAGCATGAGGGATGACGGTATAGAAAGCGTTACTGCAAGCTGCAATGGCGTCAAGCCAAGTCATGTTGTGCTTGCTGTCGGCGACAGATGGATCCATAAGCAGTTCACCAAGGTCTCTGAGGATCTCGAAACCCTTCTCCAAAGTGCGCTTGCTCAGCTTCCCTAGAGGTAGCTTGTTTGCGTCGTAGTCCAATTCCCGCATCGTATCTGCGAAGTACTGCTGGTTGAAGATTAACTCCATGAGTCGCTGGACGGATTTTGGAAGTGCACTGTCAGCTCGCTCGACATGGCTAACAGTGGCCCCCTTCTTCGAGGCTCCACTGGTGCTAGCAGTAGGTAGATCTTCCGCATCATCATCATCATCATCATCAGAGTCGTCTTCGTACTTGCGTTCGATGAAGGTGTAGTATCCTTTCTGCCTACTTCCCTTTGGCGCGTCGAATCTGTTGGACCAGGTGACTCCAGCTTTCTCTTTGAACTTCTTCTCAAAGGAGACCATTGCGCTTTCCAAGCTACCATCCCCAAGAGTCGTGCCTTTCCCTGATTCGCCAACTCTACCCCAGCGTGTCCAAGTCTTGTAATCGCCAGCCCCAGACACAAGAACCTGAACACGGTAGAACTTGTTGTTGTTTTCCCCTGCGTTTGTTTGGTTCAAGGCCGCATCGTAGATCATCCCATCCTCGCCAATGTATACTCGGTGAGTCCCTGTTACCGTCAGTTGGTAAGGCTTCCGCCTGGAAAGACTCGCGATCAGAAGTCTTACCTGCAAGAAGGCATCTCTCGTCCACTGGGATCAGAAGGGAGCCAGACTTTGCTCTCTGTACATCCTTGTGCTTCTTCGTAGGCGGCTGTTCCACAGCTTTGTCGACATCGGAATGGTCTTCTTCGATCGGGGTCGGGCTTCGCGGCCGCTTCCTGCCCTTACCTTTGGTGTCGTTTTGTTTGGAAGGCGCGAGGTCCATTGAGCTGGTAGCGTTGTTTTGATCAGAACCTGTTTGATCGAGTGAGAATTGAGCTTCATCGGCCCGGGTTTGGCTCTTGGTCGAAGCCGTGAGCCAGTCGAAGCTGACGATTTTGATGTCAGGCAATTTGCTAGCTTCCTGGACTTTTACAGAGACAAGCACCGAACGTTAGCTGAGTGTAGAGTGAAGGAGGAGAAGGTAGGCTGCAAAGAGCCATGTTGAGGAGATGCGGTGAGCTGAGCGAGAGGTGAAGGATGACAACAGGGAGAGATCTGACTGCTTGTTGGAGACGACCCGAGTTTTCAAGAGAGCAGATATTCAAAGTCAGGAACAGAACATGTAAAGAGACGATTGACGCCATGGGTAGTTGGAAGGATGAATAGCTGAAGGTCTCACCTTTCTCGGCCTGGGCTTCGATGTGCTTAGCAGTTGTAATAAGGTGTGTAACCCACCAAGCCTCCTCCTCTTGAGAGATCTTGGTGCTGTGTTTGCCGCCATTCTTCTTGATCAGGGCTCCTATCTTCGCTTTGCGATGCAGAGAAAGGTTAGAACTCGAAAGGTGCCTTGTTGAATCTTGCGCTGAGCGTAAAGCAGCGTGGTATGCCCAAGATTATTTGCTTACCATGCGTCTCGTCGAACTTCCCGCTCAAGGCTATTACGCAGTCTTTGAGTGGAGTGGCCATGCTTGCAATTAGTTTGTTTGTTGAATGTCAATATTCAAGATGAGGGACGGAGATGGGAAGATATATTTCCATTGTTATGGTAATCTTTTTGGCGGCAGATTTCCGCCCCTCTAGGCTTAGCGTCAGGCACCGGGTACATATTTCTTGGCGTTTTTGGAGTATGTGAGACACTGCGCAACACTCGTATCATGCAGAAAGAAGAACTTGAAGTTAATAATATAGCGAAGTAAAAGCTGTCGTCTAGTCATCCCAAAGGTCTGTAAAGACAAGCAACACACCGTAAAATTCTATGAGAAACCTTCTCTATCCGCTTTTCCATGCTCCAGGGTAAGATGCTTCTAACGGCGTGCTGGGAATCGAATGGAACTCCTCGTCCTCATGAGCTACTGCCTTAGCAAGTCCTTCATTCTCCTTTCCAATACTAACAGCAAGTCCGCTGTTCGCCTCATGGTCCTCCATCCTAATGGGCGTTTCTGCAGGCGCACGAGAGTAGTCTGATCCGCTCATTGAGACTTCATCGAAACCATCCTTCTTCGGCGACAGCCTTTCGGAATCATGATTGGGAGCTAGGTGAACTTCAGTCAGCTGGTCCTCAAGCCCGCCTTGAGCTTCTGGGCGGGAGCCTTCGCTTTCGCCGTTGATTTGATCATGTGGTCGACCACCGAGATTGATACCCAACCCTGATTCTTCATGGTCTTGTGCAAGAGGACTTGTGGGTAGATCGAGACTAGCGCTCTTCGACCCTGAATTCCGGTAAGGACTTCGGGGTGGTAGAGCCGGTGGTATCCTCTTAGGTATGGTAACCACCTTGGCTTTCTGGATGACTGGCATCTCGCGGGCTTCTTCCTCGTGACTATCCAGATCATGAACAGGCTCACCATCGTCAACATCATCTGCAAGGTTCTGTGACGTCTTCGTGACTGGGCTATGGCTTCCTGGTCCTTTGGCTGAATCTGCGAAGGTTGGCATCTGCAGTGGCTCAGCGGTCTGCGTGCCCCGATCGATGCTGGCAATGCTGAGCCGACCACTGTCTCTTCTGGAATCTCTCTTTGCGACACTGTTCTGTCGATTGAAATTGCTGAAGATTGGGCTGTGTGGTGAAGGTTTGTATTCAAAGGCATCGCTGCTTGGCCTACCCTTTGTGCCAGCTTCTGTGATCTCCTTGATCTCCATACCTTGCTCCTCTAAGGCGTGGACTCCATAAGGGTCTGGGTCATCTTCCGAGGGTGGCAGACCGAACCCCGTACCTGGATCATCCGCCACTTCAAAGTCCCCAGGTGTAGGCTCGGCTGGTGCTATCAAGCCTTCATCGACATTGTCACCCTGAGCTGCCTTGATCGTAGCCATGAGTGTCCGAGTCTCGTATGGGTCGTGCCTGACTTTGCCTGCTAGGATTTCCGCAACAGACAATTTTTGTCCGTAAAATCTCTCATTCTCATCCCCTCGCTCGATGATCAATGTCCCATCGATTTGCACTCCAGCGTAGAACCCTCGACTCTTCATGTAATTGAATACGGGTGCCTGTCTCTTATGCAGCTCCGTCTCCAATATCCCACCTATCCCAACCGGCCCAGCCACGACACTGATCTCCCCTCCAAGCGTAGCCCGTACTTTGGTGAACGCTTCCAGCGCCTTCTCCGTGTTGATGACCACCACGCAATCGTAGATGTCGACACCAACCATGAATCCTAGGCCTGCGGTGTGTAGTAATATGCCAGAAGGCGGTGACCAACTGCCATCCTCCTTCCTGCCAACCAGAATCCCCGATCCTCCAGCTCCACTGACCCACAAGCCTGTCCTCATAGTTGTAAAGATTGCTAGCCCCTTCGCTCTCTTGATCACTTCCGTCGGTATCTTCTTTATTACCCTCTGTTTCCCGCTAGGCTTATCAGCATCAATGACACCGTTAGAGAGGTGGTTCTCGTCCTCCACATAGAAGCCATCTTTGCAAAAACTGCGCAGGATTCGCGCAGCCTTGTCTGATTCTTTATCGAGCGTAGTTGGCCAGAACGCTTCCGATCCTAATTTGTTTGAGAGTTTGTTCACCGGAGCACCAAGTTTGTCGACGAGGTTGTATACTTTGTCGAAGCCTTGTTTTGAAGTCGTCTTAGTCGTAGACCAGCTAGGAAGCGCAGGGAATTGGATCGGCATATTGGTAACTTGGCGGGTATCAGAAGTGCAGCGCAATTGGTTGGAAGCGCATTAGAGATTACCTCCTTCGCATGGAAGGCGAAGAGCTCTAAGGATGCTCGAAGAAAGCGATTGTTTAGCCTCCACGGCGCAATGTTTGCTCAAGGTGTACTGTTGTATGCGATGTCTTGGAGAATTCGTACTGCAAACGCCGATCTTCCGTCTGCTTCTGCTACTCGTACCGTGTTCCTTCCGGCAGACACCGAACCACTCTCCCATTCGACACTCATGCCAAGAGATACTCAAGCTTGAACCTGCAGCCCAATTGTTAGTGCTTTGTCTGACCAGGCCGCCCCCAGATCTTTGACCTTCAAATATCTCCAAAGATGATTCGCAGAAGCGGTGAATACTAGCCCTGGTGCTCCCTCGGGAATACTTTTCGGCCATGGCTCGGAAGTCCGAGGTGCTATCCCGTATTCCCCACGTCGTCATACATACGAATCTGTCTCGAGACAATTGCAGCTCTCAAGCATGAAAAAAACAAGTTCAACATTGATGCTATGCAAGGCGCGTCTACAGCATGGCTTCGAGAGCAAAATCCTTCCTGTTCAACGTAGCTGAAGAGCTCGGCGTGTTCTCCATAGCACAATCCTCCAGAGATACTAAGCTCTTATGTCTGCAGCGATTCACGCGACTGTTTGCCTACGGAGCGTCGACGCTCATACTCGCCCTCTATCTCTCGAGTCTTGGCACCTCGGATGCTCGCATTGGACTCTTCATGACCCTCACCCTCCTCGGAGATGTCGTTATCAGCTTCCTCCTTACACTTGTCGCCGACGGGCTAGGAAGAAGGCGGATTCTCATACTTGGGGCGGCATTGATGAGTGCAAGTGGTGTTGTGTTTGCCCTGAGTGGAAACTACTGGGTTCTGGTGGCAGCGAGTATATTTGGTGTCATAAGCCCGAGGTACGTACCTTCTCGCACCTTAAGACGGAAGATGCTGATTGTCAACTAGTGGCAACGAAATCGGTCCATTCAGAGCAATCGAGGAGTCCACACTTGCCCAGCTCACGGCCAAAGAGATACGCAGCGACATCTTCGCCTGGTATACATTACTTGGCAACGCGGGCACGGCATGCGGTTCTGTCGCCTGTGGCTGGATAGTACAGGCGCATCTCAGAGGAGGAGAATGGTCCGAGACAAGTGCCTACCGAATCATATTCGGCATCTACGCTATTCTGGGAATCGTCAAGCTTCTGCTCGCTCTCATGCTAAGCGACAAATGCGAACCCGAACAGCCAAAGCAGGAATACGATGAGGTGCATCAGATGGACGACGTGGAGTTTGAAGGTCTGCTCTCGGATGACGAAGACAGCCAAGAACAGCATGTCCGATCGAAGGCACGCGCACCGCTTCCGGAAATGAAGAGGAAATCGATCTGGCCAGCAATCTCCCCTGCCTCGCGCAGTATCCTCATCAAGCTCTGTCTGCTTTTCGCCGTCGACTCTCTGGCTTCTGGTCTCGTCCCCTTGTCTTGGATCACCTATTTCTTCAATCGCAAGTTCAAAATCCCAGAAGGCCAACTTGGCACCCTGTTCTTCGCCACGAACATCATTTCCTCCATCTCAAACCTTGCAGCGTCTTCACTCGCCAAGCGAATTGGATTGATCAAGACCATGGTCTTTACACATTTACCTTCGGCCATTTTCCTCGCCCTTATACCACTGCCTAGCCATGCGTGGTTGTCCATGACGTTCCTCATCCTCCGGTCCTGCATGCAGAACATGGACCAAGCCCCCCCGTCAAGCCTTTCTTTCCGCCGCAGTCTTACCTAGCGAGAGAACGGCTATCATGGGTGTCGTCAATGTCGTGAAGACTCTCAGCCAGAGCGGTGGACCGATTGCTACAGGCTGGCTCGCAGAGATTGGGAAGTTCTGGGTGGCTTTCTTGATCGCTGGGGCGATGAAAGCAAGCTACGACTTGGCGATGCTGAAGATGTTCTTGGGCTACAAGAGCCGTGAAGAGGAAGAAGAAGAAAACAAAAGGCATCACCAGGAAACGGAGAATGGTACCGCCTGATCGATAAACGTTTGAAGGCACAATCTCTGCAAAAGAGAATCTAGATCTCGTATATTTGCCCTAGAATAAAGACCTCCCTCGCCCATCCATTGTCATCGTTCTTAACTTTCCTTGCGGTCGTCGGCTGTTTTATGGCTGACGAACGAGCCGGGCCCATTGAATTAACGTAGTAATTTCTACCCAGTTTATGATAGGCCAGCAGCAACACAACCCGCATCTCTCACCCCCCTCTAACACACCAGCACCAGCACCAAATCATCTCGTCCTCCCCCCTCAGCCCAATCCCGCAGCGACCCCATCCCCCATCCCATCCTCTCATGCATTGCGGACCGGAGCACGAACCCCGACTCCCGACCAGCTTTCGGCTCTTCCGGGTCAGTCAGCCGGAAATCACCAGCGCCTGTCCTCTTATCCTAGCACGGCTTTCAAAGTTGGAGTCTCGGCGCCTTTTCAGCACTTTTGGCTCACGATACGTTGACGATGTCTCCTTTTCTTTTCTTTTCCTGTCAAGAGACGCTACGCTACCTGAAAAGCGACGGGGGCGGTGTTGAGTGCGCCCATTTCCGGACAGCGTCAACTGCTGAAAACCGGCGAGTTTGAAGTGACCGGACACGATCCGTTCCGTGTACATTTTTGTAAGAGTATGTGGCAAAGAGTATGTATAGGGGTCGATGGAATTGAAAAAGTCCGACAGTTGCTAGGGAATAGTAACGATTTCATAACTTCTTGTTTTCAAATTCCCCTAAAAATCGTTGTTTTATCTACAAGGAATTTCCTCTATCAAACCATTTTTTCCTTCCTCTTATGAATTCACCATACCCTCTACGCATACCCCTTGCCACATCCTCTCACCCCCAAAGCAAAAGCAATACGAGGTGAGACTGCTCAGAAGCCGCCCAGGTCCCCCACCTTACGGCTCGACGACCACCCATCAGCGCGGGATACCCTCCCAACCATCGCAAGCATCCCTGCAGCACCATTGCACACGCAGTGCGGCTCACCTCCTCTCTCTCTCTCAAGAGCTCAGGGTCAGTACACGACAGAAGCGTCAGAGCGGCACTCAAGGCGAAAGCTACGTACGACCGACAGCAGCGAGCTGTTCAGTCCGCACACGGTACGCTCGCCGGGGGAATGATTTTTTCCCTCCGGTATAGCGGCGCCTGTGCCCGTTCAAAGATGGAATATACGCGGTGTTGGCTCTCAGTCGTAGCTGCGTTTGGGAGTTCGAGTCTGCGTCAGGATCTCCATGCACACATTTGGGGAGTCATCTCAATCCTCTTGGCGCGGCGTCACTGATGAGAGATCGATTGCATCCGCGAAGCACAAACCCGATCTATCAGGTCCTTCATTTAGCCAGCTTCTCTTCGAATTCAGTGCGACGAGACCTGAGATGCTTAAAGGGGAATTGAGACGGGAACGTCAGATCATGAGTGAAGGAGAGCATAGGACACTTGGGAGGAAGGTCATTATTGGTGTCGTGGGACTGCTGCTTACTTTTGGTGGTAATGTTGTTGGTGGGGCGTGGCTTTGGCACGAGGATGGTTAGAGATGAGAAATCTCTCGACGTCGAGCCGTGAACTACGACAATTAATATACTACATCGACTCGAGACAGTCTCATTCACTGTAACCTTTCATTCCCAAGACTGTCAGATGTATCGAACATTTGAGCTTGTAGGGCGAATCTACAATTATATTTCGTTGGGTCTCCGGAGCTCGCACTCCCGCAAACCAGCTGGGTTAAAACATATTTATGTAGCAGATACAGAATCATTGAGGATTTGCGCGGGCCACAAGGGGCAGGTAGTCGGTATCCTGTACTAATTCTTCCATGACAAACTCTTGTGGTCGGCTACACGACGATCAGCAATTTCTTGCTAAATCAACGGGATCGACAACATCAGATGCTTATCCAGCGGGCCATGAACGTCTTCGTTATCTCCTTGGCTTCATCTACCAGGCCTAGCTCAAGCATGAGCTGCACGCTTCCCCGAATGCCAGACTCCAAGGCGGAGGCAACTAGAGATCAGTCAGCAATTTTGTCTTTCTCGAGCAGGACTTGGTTCTTGTAGCATACTCCACGCGTGCGTATAGCTCGAGGCGAGTTAGCAGGATGATTTTCAATGAAGCTGGGATATGGACTTTGTCGGAGAAGCGGATGGCTTACCTCGTATGTTCCCCAACAAAAATCATCTGCTCCAACGTCAGCCGGCTTACCATACAAGTCTGCAGGGAATTCACTTGCATTGTTCTCCGTCTTGAAGTAAGCGGGAATATACAGCTCGTGCATGCCAATGGATGGCGACGCCCAGCTGGCGCTCTCCAGCGGATCGAGCACCCAGCATCTCCTGTTATATTTGCCGGTGTACTGAATCCGCGCCACGTCTCCATGTATCTCAATCATCGCGTTCAAGACGTACTGAACATGCTCTTCTTCCGTCAACGAAGCAAACCGAAGACCGAAGTCCCCATCTGTATAGCTCGCCAATATAACGCCTGGGCCTGTGGCATTGAGGTTATAGCTGGGGTAGCAAATTTCGCCAATACCTGGAATATCTGTCGTAGTGGAACAACTGCCAAAGATTGGCAGCTCAAAGTGTTCCCAGAAACGTGTTTGAAATTGGAGCGCGACCTGCGGCTGATGAGCCTGGGACAGTTCTGGGAAGCTACGGAAAGCAGATTCTCACCTTGCAGACAGTGGTATACGGCACAGCACTAATTGCATCCGTGAGAGTTGGATCAAATACTGTTCTCAGTCAGCAAGACAGACCAGTTTCACGGGTAAGGAAGCACATGCAGGTGTTCGGGAACCGCCAACTTCGGACCTTGGAGAACGGCACAGCAATCATCGCATAGTCATAGGTCGCATTCTGGAATGCAACGTCGGTGAAGCTATTCTTCCATGACAGCTGGACCTGGTTGGTCTCGGGCAGAAACTCCGCTCTCTCGATCATACGATTCATGGTCGTGATAGCACCAACATGCGGATAGAACGAGTATGGCAGTCGGTTAAGCCCCTAAAACTTGCTAAGTGATGGATGCTATGCACTCAATGTTTGACCAAAGCTTACCCCGTCAATGGTCCTCCACTTTGTAGCTGAAAAGTATTCGCAGTCGTAGCTGGGGTGTTGCGTCAGCACATCAGGCTTCGCAAGTGAAGAGTGCACCATACATATCTTCCCAAAAAGAATCTCCGCCTTCTCCTGCCGCTGATGTTGAGATTACCTGATCGGTAACATTGAGCGAGTACTTGAGGACATTGTGGAAGTAAGCAAACTCCGACCAGTCGTCACCTCCAAGACCATCCAAGCCAGTGTCAAGAAATGCCTTGTGGGCTGTGAATTGATTTTTTGCTGCAGCCGCCATGAGAGTCGGATCGCAGACTATATCGTTGTAGGTGTTTGTCAATTTGGTGACAAGTGGATCGATGGGGATTTGCGCAGTCAAATTCTTGTTGTTCTTCGCCTCAGTGATGGTTGGCGGTAGGCCATTCGGCTTCTTGATCCCGTGGAAATATTGTAATCCGTTCGGGTTATTCTGGATCCAGGGAATGAAATTTACGGTGAAGTTTGTATGGCCTTTGTTCAGCGTGTTCATAAACTCGGCAAGCTGGAAGGTGAGCTTCATGTCATTGACTTGCAGCGTCTCGTTTGTTCCCGCATATTGGATACTCTCCGGGAAGCGCATAGGTCCCATCTCCTGGTATTGGTAATCAAATGGACCGCCTTCCAGATATGCTGTGTGGACGCGACTTGAGATTGATGGTACTAACGGTCAGCGCGCATGCTCGCCTCGCTCCCATTGCGGCTGCTTACCCTCCAAGTCTCTGGCCGGCCTCTATTATCTCCAAATTGTGGAAGCCACTCATGTTCAGACACAACTGCGAGACACGTTAGGACCGCTAATTTCAAGATAGTGTCACCCACAAATGTCATCAAGCCAGCCATGCCAGCTCCCACAATGGCAATTTCTGCGCACTGGATCAGGATTACGCCCACATTTTGCTAATACTTCCCGTCGAACATACTCTTTGCCTTGGCCTCATTGACACTGACAGTTCCAATCTCCTTCTGCTTTAGCAACTCGACCCCATCGAACCAAGGACCCTGCGCATCGATACCACTTGCATTGGTCATAGGGATGCTCGCCCTCTTACTTAACCTCGTCCCTCGATCCAACTCTCGCTTCTTAATCCAGGGTCTGCTAAACTTGTTGACCTCCAACGGCTCACTGCGCCCAACGAGCTCGTGCCGTGCGGACCAAGCGGAAAGGCAGCCTTTTGTGGGGATATCTTCGGGAAGGATCCAGACCAGACGGTCGGAGCCTTGTTCGATTACTGTGGAGATGGTGTGATGCGCTTCATGCTGGCTGGTTGAAGAGTGGCACCCGCCGTATGAGACTGTGAAAGGGTAGGCAGAACTGTCTACGCTGGTGATATGCACGTTTGCTGATTGAGAGTCGAGCGGAATCTTGACTGAAAGCTTCAGAGGCAAGTTGTTGGAGGTAGCAATGGTGAAAGTGGCAATGAGGCTCAGCAGCCAGATACAATTGACGCTCATCATGCTGCAAACTTATCGAAATGAAGCAACGGTTCGAAGTGAAAAGAGATGACGGGGCTTTGAGGATTTATATATGCTTCTATCTCTCGATCCCATTGACTGGCAGCGTGCATATTTGGCTTGGCGCCAAGGTGCATAAGCACGGAGGTGGCCTGTCGATGGGATCCTTCGGATAAAAAGACGTTGCTGCACCGGCTGCAAAGTTAGTACTATCCATGCAGGGCTCTTTCTCCCTAAGCCGTCCCCGCACTTTTCAATACCTCGTGATCGCGGGATGACAATACAACGTATGCACAAGGTAATCAGTCTCAATCGTAAGCTGACTTACCCATATCCCGACAACTACATGGCTTTGTAACATGCGTTGATAGCCTGATGATTGGACTCGGTCCGAGACAGTTGTTTCTCTCGAATGCAGACCACGTGCACATCAGCTCCAAGA